CAAACACACTGAATTAGATAGAACCGATCAATTTTGAAACAATTCCAGAAATTAAAAGTTGCGGGCATCGTATTAGTTTGTATAAAGGGTTTTAATCTATTGGTAATTAATGATATTTATACATCTTAATTCGTATATGTAGAAACACCAACATGCCTTCCTCGTGAGGTTCATCGATTTTAATAACTTAGGTCTTCACCTGTACTGATCTTTCTCATGCATGTTCCTTTCCCTCTTGGGTGAAGATTGCAATGAAATCTCTGTTTTTCCTAACAGGACAAAGGATACAGGACGACCATGGCATTAACAAATGCCATTGACGCATTCTCATCGAGGTTAACTAAAGAAGGATGTCTTTAGGGTTTCAAAGTGGTGGAATTTAGGGCGCTTGCCGCACCAACTTCTTGGCTAACAAACTCACTGGTCAAATGGAGTCACATCCATCCATGTCCCTTTCTCTGTGTAAGTATTTTGAACAAACAAAGATATTTTTTAATCTATTTCTTTCTAATTGTGCTTTACATGAAGATCACGTTATGATTAATTTCGATCATCAAAATCCACTGTGATTCAAGAATCAACATATAAAGCTTTTTCTGATATATCTTGTCGTGGGTTCGGGAGAACATGATTCGTGCTTAACTATTTATTTTTTTATGAAAAAAAGTTTAGGAGAAGGGAGGCTACCTAGGGAAGTTTCTCTAGGATTGCTAAAAATAATCTGAAACTCTTTAGAAAACAGTGTTTCCTCCAACCCGAGAAAAATTAAAAAGAACATGGGGTGGCTGCATTTCTACTTTACTTTTGCATCACTTGCTCCGTAGGTTCCCCGTTTCTTTCAATAAAGATTACACCTTTATTATTTTTATCAAATACACGCTTTGCCCTCGTTTTGTGTCGAGCTGCAATTTCCATATAATACTAGAATAATTAACAGAAACTAGTGTTAAATTGTCAGACTCATTGTGATAACAAAAATACTAAGATATATATTATAGATATAAATTTTTTCAGGATTAGAATTTATATATGATGGAAAAAGATAAAGTTAAATTAATGCTTTTGCTTTATATAAGAAGAAAAAAAAAGTCAGCTATTTCGATACTATTTAGTATGGACAGGTTTTTTTTTGTTTTTTTTAATTTATATAGATAAAGACGATAGATTGCATTTTAATTCAAACACAAAGTCAGTATAAATACAGATAACCACACAATGTTATTACAAATATGGAACCACAATAACTACAAAGGGTTAATCTACATACGGAGAACTCCACCGGCAACCTCAGGCGCACAAGTGTATCTCCACACATAGCCATAAAGGGCCAAATAAATCCCGACAAAAAAGTCGCAAGCTTGCAGAAGTCAAGCATAGACCACAACACACAGAACTACGATTGCAAACTAAAATCTTTAGACTCTCACAAGTGAAAAATTACAAGAAGAGACTACGAACACACAACAAACTCAAAAAGGGTTGATGCACTTGTTACAAACAAAAACTAAAACACACAAACTAAATCAAGAGTTGGAACTCAAGATCTACAAAACACCTAGTAAAACCAACAAAGGCACCACCAAGCAAATCAAAAAACTCTATATTTGAAAAGAGAAGAGAGGGAAAGGTGAGGGGTTGGGTGGGTAAGAAGGGAGGGGAGGTGAGGTGGGGTGGGAAGGAGATGATAGAACAAGAGAGGGAAAAGTTTGGGAGAGGAGAGGATTTGTGTATCAAAGCAGAGAGGAGGGGAGGAAGAGGGGAGATGGGAGGAGAAGGAATAGTCACCTCCTCCCTCCCTTAAGGTATGTGCTGCTAGAGAGGGTTTTTTTTAGAAATTATTTTTGCTTATCATTTTAACCCAATGTGTATGCTCGCCACTTTTCTTAATACTTGACACGTGTCCATAAGCATAATCATGATTAATTTTTTACTTTAATTTATGTAACCATGATTATGCTTATGAACACGTGTTAAGTGTTAAGAATGGTAGTAAGCATACATCCTGGATTAAAGTGGTGAGTAAAAATACTCATTTTTTTTAAGAGGAGGCTAGGGTTTCCAATATGAATAGTTTAAAATAACAGTTAAAAATGGTGTGATGAAAAAAAAATATGTCTTAATAAAATTATATATATGAACCTTAACTTGTATCTGTTTTAGGCATATTAATATCTCAAAATTAGGAAATAAACATTCATAATTAAGTTTCTTATCCGGTTTTGGAATTATCTTTTTGTTACCACATGCACATGGCTCATTAGTTGGTCCAAAACTTATGTCAGTGGGTGATACCATTAATTATGGTAGACAAGTACTAGGCTATGTTTGACAATGTTTTTCAAATGGGTAAATTATATTGTATACCATGCATACCCATACATAAAAAAAAAAAAAAACAAAAAAAAAAAAAAAACAAAACCCCCTTGACTTACGAGTTTACGACTTCTTGTATTAGTTTCTTCACATCAATAATATTCTATCGTTTATCATAAATAATAAATAAATAAATAAAAACTCCCCTGACCTTATCCATCTCGAAAATGAAAATGAAAATGCATTTAATTAAACCGATTTAGTTCTTTATGATAGCATAAGTTAACAATATATATCCCATATCTATATTTTTCTTTTATTTCTTGTTATCTTCCATCTTAACATTTTCAATTCAGTTTCTTTCTTTTACATTATATCCTAACCCATCCCAATAATGAAGAATAATTCACCTAATTATGGTTCTGTAGAACTTTTTAAATATATTCTCACAACCTGGCTGGAGCTTGCAAGCTATCCATTGTCCCAGCAATAAAATAAGATAAAAATGAATTAAAGACACCAGAAAACTTAGTAGCTAATCTGGGCCAACATGATCTAAGTGGGACGAAAGTAGTACTTAAACCCCTTTTAATAATTAGCTTGGTTTTTTCTTGTTTTCCGGTGAGAAAGTGAGAGAGAGAGAGAGAGAGAGAGAGGTGGTGAAGGCAAATGGAGAGGAGAGTGGGTATATATTTGAGTTGAGCTGATGCGTAAGCTGGCCAAATATTTCAGAAATGAGAGGGCCCCCATTAATTTAATTCCTTCATTTTTATACGTGAGTTTATAATTATTATGACAAGTTCCATTCCATGCACTGCAATCAATGACGAAATAAGGGCCTTCTTCTTCGTTGCGTGCATGGAATGAGTTCCTCCAAGTTCCAACCACCGATGACGTGCCACCTGTTCCCTGTTGCTGACTTCTAGCTACTCACTCAGCTACTTATAATAATACATTAATTTCATAAATTTGCTCACCCCTTTGTTTTCTTTTGTTTTCCTCTTCTTTTCTCCATTTCCCACACTTAGATCGGGTTCCTGATTTGACTGTTAAGAAGCAAAAATGGAAGAAATTGGATAGTCATATTAGGCTGACCAAATGTAAGAGAAAAAATTGTGTGACAGGCTATAATTCAAGGAAGAACTATATATATATATATATGTCTTTTTCCTGTTTCAACTGGGTGACATATACCATCTAATTAAATCAAAATATGTATATGTTTTAATTAGACGACACTTGCTACATGTGGCACGAAAATAATTTTTCTCTGCATTTAGACATCAAACTCTGTATATTATTAGTGAAAGTAGTCGGAACTTAGTGATAAATGCACTAAATGGATATATGATATGTGGGTGACTTGATTCTTCTCTTTTTTTTTATGTTTCCTTATAGATTAATACAAATATATGAAGTTGTTTTTTGCTTGATGGGGTATGATATATATGTCTTTTTTCAAAATATAATTCAAGGAAGGGGAGAGCCGCCGCACTATACTTGATCAAATATATTCCAAGATTAATGGTGCTCAAGCTATAACCTGCTCATGTGACATTTTCCAATTTGTCGTAGCCCAAGACTATCAAAGCAAGCTTTGGTGAATCAAGCACACTATGAATTATAAAATCCTCATCATTGACGAGTTTATGGCCACTGTTTTAGTCGCTATATGTCTGCAGTGGGGCCATATACCCCCCCACGAAAAAATGAAAATAAAAAAAACCATGGTCCACTTATGATTAATCAAGACAATATCAAGACCAAAATAATGTCGAGTGTGAGCCATGAAGCACAGAGAAGGGTAAATTTGTCATTTCAAGGAGAAAAAGGGTGTAGTTGTTTTGCTAGCAAATAGGAGACTAGCACGTCAGTCAGCCTCGATGTGATTGGAGGCGACAGGAAGATGTTGTATATAAATAGAGTGGTGTGTTATCAATGGTTGGATTGGAGGGAGGCAACCAAATCTTCTTAGGTAAAGAAAATGGGAAGGTCTCCGTGTTGTGATGAGAGTGGCCTCAAGAAAGGTCCTTGGACCCCTGAAGAAGATCAAAGCTCATGAAATACATTCAGAAAAATGGCCATGGAAGCTGGAGAGCCCTTCCAAAACTTGCAGGTACTGATCCTCTCATGTACACAACATAAAACTCTCTCTCTCTCTCTCTCTCTCCTCTCTCTCTCAACTGGGTGGTCTTTTTTTTTCTTGAAATAATTTCAGGCTTAACAGATGCGGCAAGAGTTGCAGGTTACGGTGGACAAACTACCTTAGGCCAGATATAAAGAGAGGGAAGTTTTCTCAAGAAGAAGAACAAACAATTCTGAACCTCCATTCCATCCTTGGCAACAAGTAGGCTTCATATTATTTTTTTCACAAACTTAATTATTTTAAATATTGTGGCATATATTACTCAATCAGATCCTCTATAACATTGTATATGTTGAAACAGTATATATTGTTGGTCAATCAAGATCATTATTAGGTAGATTATTCTTCTAATATATGGTATCTCGCAAGAAAATATATCCATTTTTTTAATAAAAAAATACTTGTTGCTTGATGTATAGACTGACCCTTCTTTGTTTTGGTTCTTGACAAGATGGTCAGCAATTGCAAGTCACCTACCCGGTCGGACGGATAATGAAATAAAAATTTCTGGAACACCCATTTAAAGAAGAAGCTGATTCAGATGGGTTTTGATCCGATGACTCACCGGCCTCGGACCGATATCTTCTCTAGCTTGCCTCATCTTCTAGCTCTTGTCAATTTGAAAGAGCTGCTGGACCATGGAGGCCACCCATCTTGGGATGAACAAGCTGTGAGACTACAAGCAGAAGCAGCTCAAATGGCTAGGCTCCAATACCTACAATGTCTCCTCCAACCTCCTCCTGCTAATAATTCCTTTGGAGCTGGTAGCCCAAGCAACCTAAATGATATCACTGACATGGAGACCATCAATCTTTTGAGCTCTCTCTGTTCATATCAGTTGGATCAAAACCCACCACAATATCCTGGAGCTAATTTCGAACCAGTCCAAGATCATAATTCAATCCCTTTCTCTCATTTGCCTGACTTGCAAACCTATCAAACACCTTCACTGAACAACAACAAGGACATGGTTAACCAAGCTGAAGATCAATTTGCTGCAGTTTTGAGCCAAGGGCAAAACTCTCCCAACAATCCATGGAACATTCCTTCTTCTTCAAACACCACTCCATCTCCTACTTCTATGGCTCCTCCGGTAGCGGAGACTTCGATAAGCAACACCATGGGAGATGCTTGCAGTACTTCAAGCTTTGGAGGAGTGGCTAATTCTGCTTGGTCTGAGCTTCTTCTTGAGGACTCTTTTTTCAATGAGATTGCTTAATTAATTAGGTAGAGATGTGTGATAAAGGCTTCTAATTGCATGATCACTTACTATTTATGTGTATTTTCTGATAATATATATTTATATGTATACTCTTCGTTAATTATATGTATACTCTTCGTTAATAATATGTATAATTAATCGTTCTTAGGTCTCATGCAAGAGATATCTGTTTTACTAGCGGATTAATAATATTTAATTACATGTTTTGCCAGTTGGAGAAAAGAAACCGAACCAAACCAACATTCCAGCAGATTCATTAATATTATTATCATCATCATCATCATCATCTTTATTATCACCTAATGCTTTGAAATCTCACTACATGCATATAATAATTTATAGGGATATGCAAGCCAATATTAATGATACGGTAAAGCATTTTATATAGGAACTTGATAAATATTTCAATTTGCTCCTTTATGTTTATAATTTGAACAATATTATCTGTGTTTATAATTTGAACAATATAATATTTCAATTTGCTCCTTTATGTTTATAATTTGAACAATATTAATCTGTGTTTATAATTTGAACAATATAAATATTTCAATTTGCTTTCTCTTTTTTTTTTTTTTTTTTTTTTTTTTGGCAAAGTTAAAAAGGGTATTATTAGAGAAAACTCACACACACGGGTACCATGAGAGTTTGAACTCAGAAGTGTGAGTTTATTCTAGTGTGACCCTACACATTTCAAAAAGATTCATTCTATTTAGAACCAACAAACTTCTAATTTTATCCGGTTAAAAAAAAACAAAACACAACCACAAACAGCACCCATCCATGGTGTTGTGGAAACTGTCAGAAATACCTTGTGTGGGTGTTCAAACGTGTGGGGTACTGCTCGGGTGCGCCGACAATTAATTAGGTTTAGGCATGTCCAACAAAATTAAACATGTTTATTTCTTTTAAAGATTACAAGAGGGCTTTTTAATTCTCCCTTTTTTTTTCCCTTCATATTCATGCCCTTTTTTTGTAAAGGAAATGAGAGGCATTTCTTTTTGTTTGGTTTGGACTATACGATATTAGCCATTGTTGAATCGGTGGCTAATGCTAGTAAAGACCACAGTTTTGCGGTGATCAAATTATGTCGTCACGGATAAGATACATGTCACTTCTTTTTTTTTTCTTTTTTTTTTGGGTCAAATACTTACATATCACATTATAGTGGTAGTGTTGCCATTGTGTTTTTCCACTGCATTTTAAAAGAAAAAGGTTAGAAATGTGAAATTAAATACTTACAAACTATAGGAATGTAATGTACTTTTCAAATGATTAATTGGGACCTAAAGTCTAACTTTATGTCACCCCAACCCGATATTGGATGTAAATTTCATTTTTTATGAGTCTTGTCATGCATCCCATCGGTTAGAAAAAAGGAAAAAAAGGGCCAACATTCCATGATTTCTCTCCCATCAATAGAAGATTACAAGGAAAAGGATGAAGACCGGGCAGAGAAACATACATTTTTCATAGCTTAATTCCATGCATTTGAAATGCAATTTGTGAACTTGTCCTAATACGTTAAGATAAAGCTAGAGATTGACCTAAAATTTCGAACTGAGCCGCCTTCAACCACTCTTGTATAGCCAGCAATCTGATCTAAGTTTCCTTCTTGTTTTCAACACAGAAGTTCTTTTTAGGCAATTTCTCTTTTAATAGAGAGAGATAGAAGAGAAAGTTTGACCAAGATAAGTCAAGGGAGTGACGATAATTCAGGGAATCTCAATGATACGAGAGGGACCCGAGTGGTTAGGACTTCCGGGGCACAAAAGAGTTTTCGGAATTATGATATTGGACAGACTGCTACCATAACTCCAAGGTTTCATTGGCTTACATACCCAGGACTATGTATATATTTTGTCTTTTGATAGGGATGGCTATTGGAGCTACCCTCCTTATAAAAATTGATGAGTTGATTTCTAGTCATCGAATTTTATTTATAAAATTTAGTTTTTATTTATAGAAAAATAAAATGATGGACTGCAAGTGATAAATAATTAGTTTGAAGAGGTAAACCCGAATTTATTATTTTTCTTTTGAGAATGCTAATCTTAACAAGTTGTCACCCTTTCAAATTCCAATAGATTTAGGGGTGTGGTGTTTTTTAAAATGGCATGACAACACAACTCGAAAGTGATAGTAGTAGCGGACTAGGGCTTGATGGGATGGGGGCTAAATTGCTGAAGCCAAAATTTGACATTTTGTAGGGGCCGAGACTATCAATCAATAATGTTCGATCAAATTGGTGTTATCAAGGTCCGTTTCATATTAATTTACACGAAGTTAGTAGGTTAAGGGTTGACCAGTATTTGATCCAGACTCGTACACACTAGCACATTACTCAAGATTCAAGATGCCAAGTTTCATTTTGAAAGAGTGAAACATATAGTTTTCAGTTCACAATATATTTGGATCAATTGGAACACAACACGATTAACTTGCACACAATTTCGAAGACAGTATGCATTGATTACTTCTAGGAATTTTGTTAAGAACTCACCCTTAAAGTTAAGCTTGAAGTTAAAGACGTCCAGATGTTATTACCGCACGCCATGTATTTTCTACTACCCTTCTTACTTTCTTCCTCATTTACAACGACGTTTGTACTATAATAACGTTCGGATGTCCGTATAGAAGAAGAACTGTAGATGTATATATATGCCATAAGCTTTACTTTCATATTTGCATATATAGGAAGTCTTGAGTGAATGCGCCAAGATAAACAAATATGCATATGTATAAAGTATTGCCTAAATAAAGGTTTCGCTTGAAAAAGTTGCATGTAGCTTCTTGTATCACCTAAAGCATATGACCATGGTCTCCCATCAGAGTTAGGTTTGAAAAGATTTTGTACTTGAATTAAATCTCATTAATTAATGCATAATCCTGTATCTATTTTCCTAATTGAATACGTACGAGGAGTACACTTGGTAGATTAATATGACTCACCCTTAGCCTTCTAGGCTTCTGCCTTAGCCTTCAAGATATCTATATATTAATGTCAACATAATAACAACAGCAGTTAACGGTAATTATCATGGTAATCGTTTTAGGTGAGAAATCATTAGAATTAATTAAATATATCCGTACAATGATCATTTCTCATGCAAAAGATGGCAATGTAGAACTATATAGATTTCCTAGCTTTTTTGGTTTTTTTTTTTTTTTTTTTTTTTTTTTTGTTTTTGTGGTGTGGTGTCAAAAAAAAAACAAAATATAATAGTTAAAAAAAACACCGCTTACATCACTGGCTAAGGTAATTGGGTGCATTTGAGACAGGTTTTTGCAAGAAGTCCTTTCTGCTTATAATTGCTTTTTTAGAAGCTCTTTTATTAGAAGCACGTTGAGATTTTTATTACAAATCCAAATGCTTACTAGAAAAACACTTCTCTAGAAAGTACTTTTATAACCCAGAAACACTTTAGTTTTTCTGCCAAATACTGTTAAAAAAAACATTTCAGTTGTTAAAAAATGTATTTAATACCAATTTTTTTTTTTTGGGATTGAATTTTTAATACCATTTAAGAAACAGTAAGAAACATGGCACAATTAAATTGAGCAAACATATACATCAAGGTTACTTTTCTAACAAGGATTTGACTGTAATGTTTACAGTTAACTGATCTATTAACATCACTAATTAAATTGAGCAAATTTCTCCACCACTACAAGAATAATGGATGCCGTGTCGGCACAATCAACATCATATGGTCTAGTTGATCTGTTAGCTAAATTTTGAGCCGTTGTGGAAAAAAAAGGGTGGAAGCATTAAAGTCAACATTGTTTATGCTTGTCAAAAGCAACATCTCTAAATTGCTAATTAATTAATTAATTAGATATAATATATGTCCCTAGGTCATTACTTTAAAAACATGAAGCCAAAAAACTTACCACCTAATTCTTTTACTTGGACGATGACTAATTCATGTTTTCTTTTTCTTTGACGCCAATCTTTTGTTTGTCATTGCCTTTTTACAGCTAGATATTAAAAATGTTTAAGCAGACATGATCCAAGTGTATATACATGCAATACAAGCCAATGCAATGATATGTGTTGCTTCACTTTATTGGAGGAGGTTATGACTTCAAATCTCACGACGACAGTTGTAGAAGAGACACGAGCTTATTGAAAATATGAATAAGTTCAATACTTAAATGTGATTGAGTAAAAATTAAATTCATCAAATTATTTGTTCATAATATATTTGGGTAGGGTAGGGAGGGTGGATTTTGATGGTTGATGCAGGAAATATAATTGTTAGAGTATTCTTCAAAGGACTTGATATACTATCTGATTCGATTTTATTTTGTACTTCCTGACAAGGGCCCAATTCGGGCCTAAAGAAGCATAGGGCTTTGAAATAGAAAATTCTACCCAAGTAATGCGCATTATAGGCTTAGGGACAGATTTTTATTTATTTATTATTTTATATATGTGATATTTGGGGAGAAGGGTTTCAAACATAACCTTGGATGTAAAGATAACTACTCTTAACTACTTGAACTACAAACCCATTGCGGCTTAGGGATTTTATTTTACCCAATTAGGCCCAATTAAGATAGTAATTATAAGAAATGAATCATTACCATAACACTGCTACACAAAGTGCTTTCTATTAGGCCCAATTAAGATTAGTCAAACTACTATATAGAATGCACCAAAATTCTATAAAATATAGTCAACTGGAATAATAAAAGAAGATTGTCCATTCTAAAAGTAAGCCCGCAGCCCATTTCTTGACTGAAGCCAATGGTGGGCACTCAAACCGGCGAGTCGAAAATTCGAGCCGATCGCACTGAACCAAACCAGAAAAAAATCGAGTTGACCAAAAAGTCAAAAACCGGTCAAAAACCGAACTGGACTAGTTTGGACTGATTTTGGATATGGTTCCATGTCTTCAAAAACCAGATCGGGCCGAACCGAACCGGTCAAATTTAAAAAATATATATAATTTCAATATATATTTATATTTAATGCTATATTTTTAATTTAACAAAAAAAAACTAATATTTATCCAAGTTCAATTTCAAAATATCTCTCTTTTATAACTTTAATATTTATTTTTATATGAAATTGAATAATTTGTTAATTTTCAAGTAAAAATAATAATAGTTCAGTTGAGAATTGTATTAAAAAATAATCCGGTTCAAAACCGAATTGGACCGAAACCGATTCAACCCGAACTAGACAGTTTTTGAAATTTTTTTAATTAAAACCGAACTGAACCAAACCCGATATATAGTACCGGATCAGTTCTAATGTGAGGCAAAAATCCGTCCAACCCGAACCGTGCCCACCCCTAGAAGTCATATTAGAACAAAACCTCCGCTATGAAGCTCGGCGACGCTATCTAATGGCTTTCTCTCCCTCTGGCATTTGTCATCTTCTTCTTCACCCTCACTGAATCTCAAATTGCACATCTCCAATCTTGATTCGCGAAGCTTGATTTGCATATATCCAAACTCGATTCGCAAATCGCAACCTAAATGCATTTTAGGTCAAGTCCCAAATCAAAAGTGCTAATCTAATACGAACTAGATAAAAATAAATACATCATTTAATTGATTTCTAAAATTGGGGTTAACAAGATATGACCGTACTATCACATCAAGAGCACACACGATGTATCGTGGTTCACGAAGTTGGGTTACGTACACATTGAGTTGTATTGGATTTTTCACTATGATAATTGGCTTACAAGTTAGAGCACTTCACATGAATAGTGACTCCCCTATCCTTTTTATTTTACTTTTCCACCTATTGCCTTGGCAAGTAAATGCAAATACTATTTACACGAGATATGATGATGAGAGGAATTTGTATAGAGTTTTTGTGTTGGAAGTGAAGAATATGGCTAGGTATTTATATAATTTTTTTTTAATTTTTTTGTATTTTTTGTATTTAAATTGGTCTCTGATGTCACACTGACGTCAGAAAACCCAGACAGTAGCTTGAGCAATTCTTGCCTTTGGGATAGCCTGGGTAAGTGGGCCCCATTTTTGTTTGGATTGACTTTCATTGTTGGGGGGCTTGTTCCAAGCCTGAGCTCCCTTTTGCCCTGAAAAATGAGCACCGATGAAAGTGCTCTTACAAGAGGCATGAGAGCCTTCGAGAGAAAGTGAAAATACATCATCATGTCCCTTTTACAATGAGGATGAGTTCCTTTAAATAGGCAAAGATTGTGATGGCTTCTCCATCTCTCATGGTGGTTCAACTTTTTATCTTTCTTTCTTCTAAACCCCCCCCCCCCCCCCCCCTTCTTCTCTTCTCTCTCTCTCTCTCCTCTCCTCCTGGATCATCTCTCCACCTATTCCTTATTTCTCACCATTCCTACACTCCCCTAGTTGCTTAGTTCTCCACCAAAACTACTTTGCTTGTCCCCTATCACATCATAGTTGAGCTACACTCACCTACCCTTTTTTATTTTGCTTTTCCACCCATTTCCATGGCAAGTAATGGCAAGCACTATTCACATGAGATATGAGGAGAATAATTTGAATGGAGTTTTGGTGTGGGAAGTGAAGAATATGGCTAGGTATTTATAGAAAAAAAAATATTCTGAATTTTTTGATCTTTTTTTTGTGTGTGTATATTTAAATTGGTTGTTGACGTCACGCTGACATCAACATGAGATCAGCAAACTTAGGCAGCAGCTCAGGCAATTCTTGCCTTTGGGCTGGCCTGAGTAAATAAGGCCCATTTTTGTCCAGACTGTCTTTCATTGATGGGGGGCTTGTTCAAAGCCTGGACTCCCTTTTGCCCTGGCAAATGAGCACCGGTGGAAGTGCTTTTACAAAAGACATGAGAGCCTTTGAGAGAAAGTGAAAGTACACATGTCCTGTTTACAATGAGGGTGAGTTCCTTTACATAGGCAAAGATTGTGATGGCTCCTCCATCTCTCATGGTGGTCACTGGCGGACTCATGAATTTTTCAGCAGATGTTGCAATAAATAAATGAATAAAGAAAGCTCACAAAAAAAAAAAAAAAAAAAAAAAAAAAAAAAAAAAAAAAAAAAAAAAAGATAGAAACACTAAATATAATTTAAATAATACTAATGTATATTCAAAATAATTAATTTAAAAAAAATAACATTACAATTAACCTACAATTGTTCCTGACAAGATTTCATATTCATGAAAACGTCTCATTATATTTGCATCCATATTAAAGCCCAATTAAATAAAGAGAACTTGCAATCCCATTTAAATAAGGAATTATGGAGGCCCTATTAAAAGCCCACGAAATGGCAACAAGTTTCATGTTTTTTTTTATTTATTATTTATTTTAAAGCATGGTCCAAAACGACGTCGTTTTGGCCATGATTAAAAAAATAAAAAAGGCAGCGCATGTTTTAAAAAGCTTGGTCCAAAACAACCTTAAAGAAGCTCGCGCAGCCCACAACAACGCCAAAAAACAAAAACTTCATTTAGGCATTTCGTCGAACACCCACACTGCAACTCCAAAGCTGAGCAGAGGTGCAATATGCAGCACCTCTTATGGATTTTTAGGGGAGGGGAGATTTAGTTGCACCTCATTGTGCCTTAATAAGTATGCTACTGATGGTGGTTTAACATTTTGTCTTTCTTTCTCCCCTCCTCTCCCCCTCGTCTCCTCCTATATCTCTCCACCTATTCCTCATTTCTCACAATCCCTACACTCCCCTAGTTGCTTAGTTCTCCACCGGAACCTGCTTTGCTCGTCTCCCATCACATCATGGTTGAGCTGCAAGGTTTTGGGGGTTACGAATTATTGAATCCATCGTTTGACCAAATGAGTACGTTGTGAGTTCATCTCCATCCTGCATGTTGGTCTCTCAAAGTCTCTTTCTAGACCTCTGTTTTGGTGGTTGTCATGGTGGCATTTTACTAGTTGGTGGTCCTAGGCTTTTTTTATATACTGGGTCAATTTGTTTTTTTCGGTTACATATTTGTTATTATTGGGCCAGACCTAGTGAGCTTATACATATTTATGTTTGTGCCTTTGTAATGGGCATACGTGGAATCATTGAACAGAAAGCCCCCAAAATGAATAAAGGATTTGAAGCCAATGCCATGAAGAAAAGTAGTATCAACATCTGAAAAAGTTTTCTTGTAGTATCACATTTCCCCAAAATACAAATCTTATATTGACCTTCCAGATACAAAACATATGCTCAAACCACTAAATCGAGCTCAGAAACTTGTACGATTTTAGTTAATCTATGACTATGCATAGATGATTTTATTGTTTTATACAGTTACTATATTGTCAGATCTTGATATTAATGGTTAGAACATAATCCTAGAAAAATTTATGAAATCAGGAGTAAACTAACGTACGAAATGGCTAACATAGTTTTTTTTTATGGCCAAATAAGTAGCTACGATGCGGTGTCATTTGTCTCAATTTTATTAAGGATGTCTCAAGTTCGAAATACCAACTTAAAACTGTTGTCATATTTTTCTATTTCAAATCCAACGTGCTCAGTATGGTGGATCGCTGCATTATTGGCTTAAAATTAGCGTGCCATAATGCAATTTCTCCTCATCTCATCAGTTGACGTGCTTCCTGCCCCTCCTATTATTGGTGTAAACTATAAATCCACCTTCATTTGACAATCCCATTACTATCATTATTGTATAACAAAAAAAATTAATGTCCTAAAATAAGACAGTGTCGTTTTCAAATTTTTATTCAAGATTACAATCAATGAGTAGTGCCTTTACCACATTGCATATCACATGATTACAATCAATGATAGTGATTTATTGTCAAATAATTTATCATTTTAAGAAGTGAGACTGCTAATCTGAATTACATATTCAAAGAAAAATGTACCCATCAAAAGTTCAACCACTTAACAGTTGAGATTGTTATAGTAACGTTTATTTATGCTTGGACGTTGTGCTAATTCACTAAGTAGTCAACGTGTCAAACGTGCGTGCATTGGCAAAAAACAATAGCAGTACTATAATTCCAAATGCGTGAGTTTAGATGGGGAAATTTAAAAGTACTAAGCTAGCATCTACAATGGACTCCCTAAACCATCTCCTTATACAAATTTTAGGGAGGAATGTAAGTCTGTACTAAGCCTTTATACAATAATACTAACCTTGTTCAGCCATTGTAGCAGTAGAGAAATCTGGTTTCGTCTAGAAAGTCTTCTTCCCTCTGCAGCTCTTTATGTCTCTGTCTCTTAGATAGGGTGAGTACTGATTTTAGAGCGTGTTTGCTGCAAGGGAAGGGACCTCTATTTATAGATGCATCACTACGAAAGCCTTGCCTATCAAGAAGCATTCGAGTGTCCTTTTTGCATTAGAATAGGTTTGTTTCAATCCATGTTGTATTAGGAATCCTGATAATACTTGTGTTTAATTTTAATAAGCTCTGTACAAGCATTATCTAATGAGGATTGAGTTGTATCTCCTGATCAAACCAAAACCCGAGTCCTCTTAGGATTAGAAGATCACCTTTTATGGATTAAGACAATAAATTGTCTTACATTCTCCCACTTGATCGATTAATCCCAAAGTTTTGTGTTGATCACTTAAGGCCTTGGTGAAATATAACTCAATTTGATTCCATCAAGCAATTGTCAATTTTAAAGAATGAAAAGGAACCATCAAGACTTCACTGAATATATAAGGATCCAGAGTCTTTATAATCACATTGATCATTCTTTAAAACCACATAAGCTTCCATCAAGATTAAACAGAAAAATAAACATGTTTCACTGTAAAGCTTTATGAACATGTCTATTCATTGTCCCTTAATTTGACTACTAAGGTCTTATCATTTAAAATGATATCCTGTCATGAATGAAAATCATATGCAGACATCTTCAGCTAGCTTTCTGCTCAATTCATTCAAGTGTTTATAAGTATATATACACATAACAATTAAACGTGCAAACTGTTTAACTAGAAAATTTTATTTTTGAATCAGAAACTGAAATCAACATCCATCGAAAACCATAACCAACTGTAAATTAAGACTATAACAGAAAACTACTCTAAACTTAACAAGGCTTCCACTGATTTAAGCTTTCAAATCATTCCTTAATCCCATGCTCATAACATGCCTATGGAACACTGCATTTGGGACTCCTTTTGTGAGAGGGTCTGCTATCATTTTGTCTATACTGATATGACTTATATTAGTATAGCCTTGAGCAATTTTCTCCTTCACTATTATGAACTTGACATCCAATAGTCTTGAACCCTTTGTCCTTTTGTTTCCTTTTGCAAACAAAACTGATGCGCTGTTATCATTCCATATTTGAATTGGTCTGTGTATCGATTAAACCACATTCAAACTAATAATAAAATTTCTTAACCATATGGCTTGAGAGGTGGCCTCATAGCATGCTAGAAACTTTGCAAACATAGTTGAACCTGTTGTCAGAGGTTGTTTTACACTTCTCCACGACACTGCACCTCCTCCAAACATGAATACAAAACCTGATGTTGATTTCATAGAGTCTTGACATCCTGCAAAATCAGCATCTGCATAACCTTGTAATTCCAGCGTGTCACTTCTTTTGAATGTCAGTTTGTAATCTTTTGTCCTTTGCAAGTATCTTAACACTCTTTTCCCTGCAATCCAGTGAGCTTGTCCAGGATTGGACTGAAATCTCCCTAGCACACTGACTGCAAAGGCCAAGTCAGGTCTGGTACAAACCTGCGCATACATTAGGCTTCCAACCAGTGAAGCATATGGTTTGTCAACTATTTCCAGCTTTTCTTGCTCAGTCTTAGGTGCTTGTTCAGTGCTTAGTTTATCCCCTTTTGCAATAGGAATATCACTTCCTGTGCAGTTTTGCATATTGAATCTCTTGAGCACCTTTTCTATGTAGGATTTTTGTGGTAGTCCAAGTACCCCATTCTTTCGATCTCTGCTTATATCAATGCCTAAAACATATGATGCCCCAGCTAGATAAGTCATTTCAAAGTTCTTAGATAGGAAATTCTTGCAGTCATGTAACATGGTGAGATTTGTGCAGGCTAGTAAAATGTCATCTACATACAAAACTAGTAAAATGAAATGTCTCCCACTCATCTTCATGTATATGCATTCATCTAAAACATTTTCAACCAAACCAAAGTCTTTCACTACCTTGTTGAACTTTAGGTACCACTGTCTAGAGGCTTGCTTTAATCCATAGATTGACTTGTTTAGCTTGCAGACCAAGTCCTTTCCCCCTTCTTGAACAAAACCTTCAGGTTGCACCATGTATATGTCTTCTTCCAAATCTCCATTTAGGAAAGCTGTCTTGACATCCATCTGGTGCAAGTGGAGGTCAAAGTGTGCTACAAGGGCCATGATAACCCTTAATGAATCCTTGGTCGAGACCGGTGAGAAAGTCTCATTAAAATCTATTCCTTCTTTCTGTGTGAATCCTTTTGCAACCAATCTTGCCTTATACCTGTCTATCTGTCCTTTTGAGTCCAGTTTCGTTTTATATATCCACTTACTACCAATTGGTTTGCAACCTTGAGGTAAGGTCACAAGCTTCCAGACTCCATTTTTCTCCATTGAATTCAGTTTTGACTTCATTGCTGCAAACCAGTTTTCTTTCTTTTCACTTGTCATGGCCTGTTTGAATGTTGCAGGATCTTCCATGGTATTCACATCATGTTCTGCTCCCTGTAGGTATACAAAATAATCATCTCCTAAGGCAGGTTTTCTTTGCCTTTGTGATCTTCTTAGTTCCAAGTTTGGTTCTGGATTTGCTACTTCTTGTGCTTGAGCCATGTCTTGATTTTCTGCTGGTGGTGCTTGATTGTCATTTAACTCCATTGGTTCTGCAATTTCAGGTCCATTGACATTGGTCTCTTCAGTGTGTTCGGGTTGAGTGTTGATTGAATCCATTTGAGGTAATCTAACAATTTCTTTACTTGGATTCTGTGGCATGTCATGGTTCAAGATTATTTCTTCAAAACTAAAACTTTCTTCCTCATCTATTTCTTGGTTAGTTTCTATAAAGACTGCTCTTGAGGTTTCTATGAATCTGGTAGTGTGTTTGGGACAATAAAATATGTATCCCTTTGTTCTTTCAGGATAGCCAACAAAAAAACCACTTATGGTTTTTGGATCCAACTTCTTTTCTGCTGGATTGTAAGGTTTTGCTTTTGCTTTACAGCCCCATATTTTCAGATGTTTAATGCTAGGCTTCCTTCCATTCCACACTTCATAGGGAATTCTATTTATGCTTTTGGTTGGAATTCTATTTAGAATATAGTTGGCTGTTTTTAAGGCTTCTCCCCAAAGAAAAATTGGCAGATTTGTACAGCTCATCATACTCCTTATCATGTCTTTCAAGGTCCTGTTTCTTCTTTCTGAAATTCCATTTTGTTGAGGTGTACCTGGGTTGGTGTACTGAGCTATAATTCCTTCTTCTTGAAGAAACTTGGCAAAGGGTCCAGGATTCCTTCCAGTCTCATCAAACCTTCCATAGTACTCTCCTCCTCTATCCGATCTAACCACCTTTATTTTCAAGTTCAATTGGTTTTCTACTTCAGCCTTATAAATTTTGAACTTGTCCAATGCACTTGATTTCTCTTTAATGAGATAGATATATCCATATCTTGAAAAATCATCTGTAAAAGTTATAAAGTAGTTAAATCCCTCATGAGTTGGATTTGGAAAGGGTCCACATATATCCGTATGAATGAGTTCCAGTAAACCTTTGCTTCCCAATGCCCCTTTCTTTCTTAAGTTGGTTAATTTCCCTTTGATACATGGAATGCAAACTTCATCTTCGTTTTCATGATTCAATGGTGGTAAGACAGATTCCTTACACAGTTGTGTTATCCTTTCTTTTGAAACATGTCCAAGTCTTTTATGCCATAATTTGAAGGAAATCTCATTGGTTTTGGTTTGCACAGTGTTTATTTCCATTTCAGTTCTTTTGCAGTTTAATCGAAACATTCCATCAATGAGACTTGCTTTGCCAACTAAATCTTTATTTCTGAAAATAGAACAACCAGTTCCATCAAAATTCAAACTGAACTTTGATTTTACAAGTCTAGTAACTGAAATCAAACTTTTCTTCATAGAAGGAACATAAACTACTTCATCTAATTCCAAAACAAAACCAAATTCTAACTTGATTCTAACTGTCCCTATGTAATTAACTTGGACTTCTTCTCCATTTCCCACGAACACCTTCACTTCATCCTTGCTTGGCAGCCTCTTGCTTGTAAACTCCTGCAAGGAATTAGGTACATGAATAGAAGCACCACTATCCAACCACCATGAATCACATGAGAAATTAACCAAATTAGATTCGAAACAGACCAAAATCAATTGTTATTACCTTTTCCCTTCTTCTTTTCCAGCCACTTTTTGTATTTCCTGCAGTCTCTCTTCATGTGTCCTGCTTTCTTGCAAAAGAAACAACCCAATCCAGTTGTAGGTTTCAAAGCCTTATCTGTACTGTTCTCCTTTTCTTTCCTAGCAGCAGGCTTATACTTGTTTTCTTTGTTCTGTTTAGTCTGAACCATGTTGACCATTTTGGCTCCCTTTTCTCTTATGATATTGTGCTCTTGTTGGACAGAAATAGTAATAAGATCATTCAAGGTCCAGGTCTCCTTCTGAGCAATGTAGGTTTCCTTGAGAGATTTAAACTCTTTAGGCAATGAATTCAGTGCAAAATGGACCATCATGTCCTCATCTACTGTCATATCCAGCTCTTGTAATTTCGTTCCTATGTCAATCAAGTTCATGATATGAGCTCTCACACAACCCTGTCCATCATACTTCATATCAATCAATTGATTCAGCAGGGAACTCTTGACAGCTTTTTCAGATTCCTTGAACCTTTGTGCAATTGACTCATAGTATTGCTGTGCATTCTTAGATTTAGGAATGCTTCCTTTCACTGATGAAGACATAGCCCTTTGCATGATTAACATAGCCATCTTGTTTGCCTTTTCCCATTTGGCAAACTTAGTCTTAATTTCTGCAGAAGCATCTGCAGCTGGTTCCTGGGGAGGTTTCTCTCTGAGCACAAAATCGTAATCCAGAAAACCTAGAGATATTTCCAGATCTTGTTTCCATTTGCTATAATTTGATCCAGTCAAGGTTTCGATGGAGTTGTGATTCACTGTAGAATTTGCAATACAAATTAAATAAAACTGTCCCTAAAACTTTACTTAAACATGTTATCTCATACCTTTGGGTTTAAGTTTAAACATGTTCCAAAATCCTAGACAGTTAATCGTACAAGCTTCCTGCGCAAGTAACTCACATCTGTGGATGTACAGATACTCACAAGCCAGTGCAATCAACTGTCCAGATTGTTCCATAAGTGCTGTCATTAATCTGTACAACTTTCCATCTGTGGATGGAGAATCATATAGAAGCCTACGAACACTGATGCAATTTTCTGACCAAACTGTTAAATTCAAGAACTCCTACACAGCCTGAGCAGCTGTGGCTTACTCATTTTGCATAGCAGTTTTCCAATTTTGGTCAAAACTTTATGAGCAGAGATAACCTTATGCTCTTTTAACAGTTAAGATTTGCAAACAAAAGAAAAACTGGATACTTTATGGCTTACGATCAATTAGTCAGATTAAAGAACAAAAGTCTAGAGCTCTGATACCACATGTAAGTCTGTACTAAGCCTTTATGCAATAATACTAAACTTGTTCAGCCATTGTAGCAGTAGAGAAATCTGGTTTCGTCTAGAAAGTCTTCTTCCCTCTGCAGCTCTTTATGTCTCTGTCTCTTAGATAGGGTGAGTACTGATTTTAGAGCGTGTTTGCTGTAAGGGAAGGGACCTCTATTTATAGATGCATCACTACGAAAGCCTTGCCTATCAAGAAGCATTCGAGTGTCCTTTTTGCATTAGAATAGGTTTGTTTCAATCCATGTTGTATTAGGAATCCTGATAATACTTGTGTTTGATTTTAATAAGCTCTGTACAAGCATTATCTAATGAGGATTGAGTTGTATCTCCTGATCAAACCAAAACCCGAGTCCTCTTAGGATTAGAAGATCACCTTTTATGGATTAAGACAATAAATTGTCTTACAAGGAATTGAAAAAATATAACTTCAACTATGCTCCATATCCACCTCCATAAATATGGAGATTTCTAGGAGCTCTGAGAAGAGAGAAAAGACTCCCAATAACTCTCTATAATTAATGCTGCTTTATTTTATGAGTATTTTAAACTTTAATTAATACTAACTATTTTTTTAAATTATTTTTTGTATACAGATGGACCAATTAAAAAAGAGTTATAGACTTTAACTTTAAGGGGGTTCGAAACTAATGATTTTGTACTCAATATTCTCCCAAGAAAGCCTAGCCGCTCTCTCCCTCTGTGAGTTCTAAAGGAAAACTCAATAGAGGGGGGAGGAGGAAGAAGCCTCACTGCCCCTCCTCCCCCAACTCTCTTCTCGTCTTTTCATTTTAGGTTAGTGAATAAGTCCATTAGGGCGTTTTGAAAAAAAAATCCCCTTGGTTTCTTTTGAGTCATGGTTAGATTGAAGTTCCCCATCATCCCTTTTAGTCTATGTTCTCAATTAAATCCTACTCCCAAAACCTGCTTCCTGACGTCACTCATGTTCTCTAAATTTGATTCTACATCGTCTTTGATGAAGGTTGCTGTAAATCACCCAATTGTTCTTTGGCAAAGTTGTTTATTTTATTTGTTCGCTCTTATGATAGTTGGAAATCATATTTTCCCCAAATCTGTTATGGATGCGGTGGTGAGTGTGGCCGCGACGATGCTTCATCAAGTGGTGGTGGTAGGGTTTGTCTAGGCTCATGGGTTGTTTTAGGGTTTTAGGGTTTTGGTTATGTTGGGTTTGTGGTATTTGTTTGAGTTTATGGTTAATTGTGGTGATGTGTGCTAGTAGTTATAGTGTGGCTTTTGTTCGCGTTAGTTGTGTTTTTAGCATGTTAGTTTGTTGCCATCTTGTGATTGGTATTTTAGATGTCTTATTGATGTCTTTGATTGTACCGTTGAAGTTGATCTAATGAAGTTTCTATTTGATAAATAAAAAAAATTAAAAAAAATTAAAAAAGAGTTATAGTATTTATGACTCCCCAAAACTAGAGAGTATGATTGGAGTTAAAGATTTATAGAGAGCTCCTAAAATAGCTTATACATTTTTTAGTAAATTTTAACTAAACAATAGAGAGTATGATTGTAGATGTTGTAAGGAATTTATAAATGATGGAACTTAAAATAATATAAACTAATGTTTTAGAATTTATAAAGTTTCTTGATTGGCTAATGGATTTAAACACGGAATTTAACGTTTATTATCTTAGAATTTTAGAAGTGATGACTATTTAGATAAAATTAAAAGTTGAAATTTATGATCTCCAAATTTCATGTTTTTTCCCACATGAAATTTCTAAATTTCTTTGTTCTTTAGATCCAAACATGAGAATTGGTTTATATCAAATATAGAAATTATGATTTTTGTCAAAATTTTGAGTTTATTTTTCTCATCCAAACGCACTTATAGTCATAAGTACTACGACAAAAGACTGTAACTTTGTTGTAACTCACCAAGGTTTCGACACTTACGGTCACAAGTGCGTGGGCGACAAATGGTAAGAGTACTCAAATTCACTTGTGTCTGAATGCTTCCAGAGCATGGCTGCTAATAAGCTCTTCACCTGATGCAATGAACTTGAATCATATAAAATTGAACCCCTTTTGACTGATTTCTAAACCTTTGCTTACAGCCCCATTTATATAATCTTCAACGGAAGCACCCTGGAAGCACTCTGACGAAAACAGTACAGAAACGACTTTGCTCCTCTGCATAGTGGTGGTCCACTAGATCTGATTGGCCACTGCCGACTTTGGGTCCACATGGCCCCACTTGGAGGAGAAATGCCCGCCTCGTTCAACTGTCCACGATGATCCGATCGTTTGCCACCTGGAAGGTGGGCCCCACCTTGGTGTGTGCTCTCTCATATATATTCACAGCATTTTATTATTTTCAAGTCAATCCCAATCCAAACTCAGTCAGCCATGACATGAGTGTTAACCAAAAAGAAACTATCTGCGTCTAAACGATGTCGTTTACCGGTCAACTGTTTAACATCCCCGCGGTGTGTTCCGTCGCGCCTACTGCTGAAGACCCGGACCCGGAAGTTCCGCTCCGGAATCTGTCGATGGTCCGAACGAGAATGGATTCGCTGCAGTGCTTCCTCACCGAATCGATCAACGCCAACGCTCTGATCAGCAAGGACCAGATGGACATAGTCTCAGCCGGAATCGCCTCTGCGATCCGCGAAACCATCTCAAACGGCGCCGCTTTGTTGGCCTGCTCTCAGAACCTGGGACCCGCATCCGACCCGACCCGAACACCAGCCACCAACAACGAAGCAGCTACAGAGGTCAAGAAAGAGGAAGAGAACGAGGTCAAGAAAGAGGAAGAGAACGATTTCCAAAACGACGACGCGGAGGGCGAGATCGTGGAGGTGGACGCGATGGAGCTGCTGGCGGAGCACATCCACTACTGCGAGATTTGCGGAAAGGGGTTCAAGCGAGACGCGAATTTGAGGATGCACATGCGGGCCCACGGGAACCGGTTCAAGACGCCCGAGGCCTTGGCCAAACCAGACAAGAACCCGGCCGAGCCGAGCCGGAAGACCCGGTTCTCGTGCCCCTATATCGGGTGCAACCGGAACAAGGGGCACGTGAAGTTTCGGGCGCTGAAATCGGTGATCTGCGTGAAGAATCATTTCAAGCGAAGCCACTGCCCGAAGATGTACTCGTGCAATCGCTGCAACAAGAAGAGCTTCTCGGTCGTGGCGGATTTGAAGAGCCACCTGAAGCACTGCGGCGAGGCGCGGTGGCGCTGCACGTGCGGCACGAGCTTCTCGAGGAAGAGCAAGCTGTTTGGGCACATGGCCTTGTTTGAAGGGCACATGCCGGCGGTTGAGGACGAGAAGAGTGTTAAGGCTGCAACGGCTATGGATGAGGATGAGGATGAGGAGGAAGAGGTGGAGGAGAATACGACGTCGTTTAAAGGACGGGAAATGGGGTCGAATTTTTATGAGGATATCGAATTTTCTGAGTTGCTTGGAGGGTTTTGGTTCCATTGATGGGTATTTTTTGGAGGATATGTTGGTGGACTTGTGACAGTGGTGATGATGATGATAAGGTATTACTTTTAGTATATCTCTTTGATTTGTTGTTGTATTTGTTTAGATTTTAGAGTTTTTGTGATTTGTTGTTGCATATGTAATAAATTTTTGTGATAAGAGATTTATCAAGTTTCTTTATGGTAAATCTCTGTTTCTGTTTCTAATAAGTTGAATTAATAAAACCCATTTCTTGAATTCTTGGTTTAATGTGCTTGCAATGCAAGGCTGCCTTTGATTTGTTGTTGATTTCAAATTTTAGCTACTAAATGATGTGACAAATCTCCAATTAACTGTATCTTAAATGGGATCGCAGATGAACAAGTGAAAAACACTCAAAATTTTAAGGTGATTGAAAGGATTGCAATGGCTGCAACAATGGTTTTATAGTGAAGATTTGACCTAATTTTTTGATTACGGAATGCGTACGAGGCAGGTATCCGACTAGAGAGAGACCATCCAGATATACTTGAGCTAGGTGAAGTCTTTTACTTGTGTCTGAGAAATGTGGTTCTTTTAGACTCTGCCCAATTCTTCCACCAGTTAATATTCTGTTGTGGTAGTGCTTAAGGTATTTATGCATCCCCACATCTTCATAGAATTGGTGTGTTTTAGTGATTAATAAGTGTTTGTTGGCAGGACAAAAGAGATGGATGCGACTCTAGTAGAGTTTATAATACTGTAAAGATTGTCTGTTGTTGTTGGTATTGGCAAGGAGGTCAATGCATTATTGAGGCATGGGTTTTGTTATCATGGCACCTAACCTCTAAGCTGAGATGTATTCAATTGGGTTTTATTTATTATTACAATCTCTCTCTCTCTCTCTCTCTCTCTCTCTCTCATACAATGCCATTTTCTTTTGCGATTGGAAATGAGACAAAAGGGTTTTGGCGACCTTTTATCAGTATATGGATGTATGGATGTGGGAGATCTGAAGATGGAATTTCAAGTCTGCCCTTGAATTTTGTTCTTTGTAAAGCTCAGTTCCATTAACTTCAAAACGTCGCAGTTTGATTCTCAAACTATAGTAATTGTGTCATTTAATTACAAAAGTTGACAGACTTTTTTTTTAAATTTAAAAAGTTGGCCCATTGCACACGACCACTTTTTGAAGGTCATTTGGGTTACTGCAGCTAAGGAAAAGCTCAGAAAACATGAGAAATCTTTTCCCAAGTACTTTCCGACTTTAGGTCTTTGGTGACCAAAATGAATTTGTAAAAGTTGCCATACATGACCATTTATGTTACATTTTTAAATCAATTTAACTTTTTATTGTTAGCTACCTCACTTCCAATAGTTTGAGAACAAACAAGGACTCATGAACCAGTGTTACAATTAAATTTATGGTCGAGTTTTGGAGTCATGCTCCGAGTTCAGCCCAAAATCACTAAAACGGACAATTAAGTCAAACTCATTAACTTGCTCAATTAATTAGAACTACCAGGATATGCAAGGTTACCAAAACTGAACATATAGACTTCTTATACATGGTGTTTCCTACAACATTAAAGCCTAAAGTTTTCCAAAAACAATTGTATCTTCTGTAGGGTAGCTAAAACATCACAAGAGAGCCAAAGTTCTATAATCTGAAATGGAAGGGAAAAAGGGTGAGCTAGAAAGCTCACTAAGCAACTATATATGGCCACAAGTGAGCGTGAGGATTAGAACAATACAATATCTGAAAACTAAACTAAAGAGAATACACAAACGAAACTAAACAATTCAAGTGTTGTAATACGATTCATAGTAGAATGCAGAGAAACAATAACAATGAAATAGCTTATGTCCTTATTCCCATGGTGGTCACATGAGCCTTATTACCAGCTGGTTAGAGGTCCTGACTCCTTCAAAAGAAGGCACGATCACTGTAATTCAGTTGGTCTGAATTACCCACAAACTTAGATGCTATTCAATGTTCAATTCTGAGCTCCTTTAACAATGAAAATGAGGCATACAGAACTGAATTGACAATGATACAAGGTTGTGATATCAGGAGAAGTAATATAATCATGAACAACAACTCAATAGCAAAGCAACTAAGAGATTTAGAAAGATGGAAGCAAACAAAACAAACACCATAATAGATAGCTTACCTGAAACAATAAGGCTGAAACTATAATCTCCGAACACTTCAATCTCTTCTCAAAGGAGAAAGCAAGCCCAGAGCTACTCAACTTCAGTCCTTCCTTTCCTAGCAGCCTTAGTTATGTTTTTCCCTGAGGCTATTTAATCTGCAAAGGTAAGCAGTAGCTGGAGTCCAGTGGTGAGCCCAAGCCGGGGTTGTGAGTGGGTCCCACAAAGTCGGGCTGGCCCGCGTGTTGTGATGTCATGTGTGACGTCGTGCTGTCGTCATTGCGCGGTTTAAATTTTTTTTACTGTTGGCGTGTGTAATGCACGCGCCAACGGTAAAAAAAATTTAAACCATCGTGCGCTGACGTCAGCGTTGCGCAGTCTCCAACGGGTAGAAGCCACGTGTCACGCCCCCAGCGCTCCGATCTGCTTCTCCGAATCCAATCCAACGGCTGACATTTTTTTGGCAATAAAATTATGAAAAAAAATCGAAATTTTTTAAAAAAAATACTAAAAAAATTCTGATTTTGTTTTTTCTTCTATAAATACCTATCAATACCCTTCACTTTCAACATCAATTCTCATACATTTTATTCTACTTCTACTATTATTCACTCTTTACTCAACATTTTCCTCTCTTTCACCTTGTATTTTTATTTCTTATTTTTATGGCTTCTTCTATCGAAACCGGAGGGGCATGGAGCACCATGGAAGATGTTTCCTTGTGTGAGGCCTGGCTCCAAATTTGTCATTGTCCCATGTCAGGCAATGAGATGGAATTTTTTTCATATGTGGAAAAAACTTCATGCTAAATTTTGTGAAAAAATTCCGGGGTCGACTCGTACGGAAATGGCATTGTCTAGTAGGTTTAAAATTCTCAATAAAGAGTTAGGAAAATAGAGAGATGCCTTGTCAAAAGTGATGCACAACTATAGAAGCAGGGAAAATCGTACTAACGAGGTAAGTATTTTGTAATTTTCATTTTATTAAGTTTAATGTCCTAATATATATTGTTTGTTAATATTTATTGCATTTTAAATATTTTGTTAATATTTCTTACATTTTAAATATTTTGTTAATATTTCTTACATTTTAAATATTTTGTTAATATTTCTTGCATTTCCAATTGTTTCTTAATATTTCTTGCACTTCCAATTTATTTGTAAGGTTAATTGCATTTCCATTATTTATTTTTTTGTTACTTGCATATCCAATATATTTTAAATATTTCTTACATTTCTATTTTTTTGTTAAATAGATTATTCAAGCACAGATGTGGTTCGGTGCAACTGGGGGTGGCAAAAAAAGTTTCAACCATCATGAATGTTGGGAGGTGGTGAAATATTGCAAACGCTTCATAATTATTCCCACGGGCCCCGAGGTTATGTTACACGAGACGCCACTCCGTGATTCAATGACATTGGATTCACCTATTGATTCCCCTATGAGTCAAGACTCACCCATCGAAAAGGAGCCGAGGCCCATTGGCCGAAAGGCTGCGAAGGCAAAGAAAGCAGGTAATTCGAGCAATAATAATTCAAAGTTTTTGGAGGAAATTGCAAGGCAAAACACCATAAGAATTGAAATGGAGTAGAAACGCCAAGGTAACGAGATGAAGATTCAAGCCGAGTATGCACGAGAAAGGGAGTATTTGCGCAAAAAAGATGAGTACAAGACGGATCGGGAAACCATGAAGATGGATACAAGCCATATGTCCCCTAAAACAAAACAATTTTGGAAGCTAGAACGAAAGGATGTTATGAGAAGAAGACTTTTCCAGGATGATGGGCCTAGCAACACGGATTGGTTGAATGATGAAAACCATTAAATTAGTTGGCATACCTTTTATGTATTTGTATTTTTCATGTTTTCTATTAAAGTTGTTGTAATTCATGTATTTTATTTTAGTAGTAGTAATTCTTAATGACTTGTATTGGATTTCTTTATGTAATAATTAAAATACCTTTTGAATTTTGAAATTCATCCGAAATTTGAACCCAAAAATCTTATCCGGAAATTTTATCCAATTATGAATAGTCTTGACACGTAGGATCTTATCCAAAAATATTATCCAAATTAATTATTGAGGTAAAAAAATTTGTGAAAAAAACAAAAAAATGAATAGTAATTATACAAATTTATAAATAAACCCAATCCTAGACATGTATTTATAAAAAAACCCAAGCACTATTTAAACATAGAAACACACATAAAATCAACCCCAAAGTCAACTTTTTGGGTGTGTTTATAAATGGGTTTTGAGTGTATGTAATGATGAGTTTTGGGTGTGTTTATATGTTTAAATAGTGCTTGAGTTTTTTTATAATTTCAACCCCCATTATACTATTTGCAAGGGCAACTACTATTCACGTGAATAGTAGCTTCCCTAGTCCCCCCCTTGCCATGACAAAGGGCAAATACTATTCATTTTTTTTGTTTTTTATTTTCACAAATTTGTTTACCTAAACAATTAATTTGGATAATATTTTTAGATAAGATTTTTGGGTTCGTACGTGTCAATATTTATTATAAAATTCATATCTCAATCGGATAAAATTTTCGGATAAGATGATAAATAAAAATACAATTTAAAAGTGAATAAAATGTTGAGTAAAAAGTGAATAGTAGTAGAAGTAGAAGAAAATGCATGAGGATTTAGTGTTGAGAGTGAAGAGTATTGGTAGGTATTTATAGAAAAAAATTACAGAATTTTTTGGTATTTTTTTAAAAAAAAATTGAATTTTTTTCATAATTTTATAGCAAAAAAAAGCCCAGCCATTGGATTGGAGGAGAGTAGGCGATCGGAGCGCCCAGACGACAACAGTTGTCTTCTAGTTGTTGGTGGAGCGCACGCTGACATCATCCCCCCCTCAAGCTCGAACTCGGGCAAGAGCTACCTTTGTGCCAGCCCATCTTCGTGGGTTCTGCCTCTAGCCTGGGCAAAAGTGGCCCACTGGAACTGGCTTTTTGGCTTGGACTCCCCCCAGCCCCGGGCTTGGGCTCCTCGGTGGAGTTGCTCTAAAGCCCGTAGTCCAAGAACACAAGTCAATTCCAACTCTGAAGGTTGCGACAAGCAGCTGAAGGAAGCATGAGGTGTTACCCTACTCAAGCAGGAGGTGTAGCCTAAACAAGCAGGAGGCGGCAAGTTTCTGTAGCATAAATATGACATTGCAATTCGATCCTTAAATGTTCTCCAAATTGCACAAGAGCCCTAAAACAACTCCCCCAACCTTTTACTATTTTCAAAACTCCCAGAAGGTAATAACCATGTGAGCTCAGAGTCAACTAAACCACAAGGCTTAAGGTGCTAGATTCGGGGGCTGTTACATTATTAAACCATTTCAGACCTTAATTAGTATTCCTCTCTGACTTGGAGTCAATAATTATATATACTTTACTCGATGAAAAAAGAAAATACAAATAAAGGCTATATTCTTACTCTCTAGCTTTGGTAAGGTGGTCATTTGTCCACAAAAACCCAAAATTCGATCATATTGAACTGCCATTTCGGTTTGGCATGGCAATTAAATATTATTATTATTATTTTTTGGTCAACAATCGGAAGATAATAATAATTATTATTACTATTAATATTTTATCAACCTGATAAGAATAGAAAACCTTGGTAAAAAATGGGGTTGCTAAACAATATATATTTTTTTTTATAGAAATAATTAGTCTTTTAGTGCATGTGTACGTCACTCTCTTGGTGAAATTTGGGGTTTTTTTTGCTCAAAAACTCGTATTTCAAATCTCAAAAACTCAAAATTTTTGGAGTCAAGTTACTTAAGTCATAAGTTATTCAATCATTCAATCTATTAAGTTCTTTGCCGCTAATAGTTGCATGCTCGCAATTTATACATTCTCTTAACGTATTAATAAACAGTTGATAAATATGTACACCTAATATATACCTTCTATTTATACCAAACAGCGTGTCGCAATTTATACAGTCTCTTAATCTATTGATTAACAGTTGATAAATCCGTACACCTAATATATACCTTCTATTTATACCAAAAAGGGAAACGTACTTATTATTTTTCTAATGAACAGGATATGATTACTTATTCGGACAAAATGTGTCTAATGCACTTTCGACCATAGAATGCTGAAATTAAAATTCCGCAGTTTCCACGAATCTCAAACGCACCCACTTCAATTCCAAGAGTTAAACTTAAGTCTAGCTTATAGATATGTGAGAGATTGATGGTCTCCAATCACCTTCAAGCCTTGTAGGACAGGGGAGATCTCAGTCAACAGTCTAGAACAAAAATTTTAAATGGAAATGCTCTGAGAGGGAGAGAGTCACGGATTCCATGAAGTAAATTACCAAAACTTAACGTGGTGAATGACAGATGCCAAAAGCCCAATTCATGCATCTCCTTGTAGTAACTTATATGCTTTTGACAACTTTGCAGAGAGAGAAGGTTTGAATGATAGCATTTTATGTGGTCAACACAACATGTGACATATATTTTCTAACAAAAGAATAGTACCCAGATTGTACTTGACGAATAGTTCTCTACGATTTTGGTTGACAAAATGTTCTGTCTAGCATCTGAAAAGCTAGTCGCTTCACATGCAAATACGTACAGTTTGCAATCCACGATGAAGCAAATTGCTTGCATTCTCATTGTGCATATAGTCCTCTAAGAGTTATAGACTAATAGACAGTCAGAGTCTTTGGGTTGACCAATTCCTTTTTGAATTTATTATCCATAAAAATGAATGTAAATCCCGTGCATGTGAGTTCACACTACGAACCCTAAACAGAAACCATATCTATATATATAAATCTCGCGTCATAACAAGATATATGACTAACAAGCAAACAAACAAAAGAATTGAAGAAGAAATAGCACTGGGATTGTGAAGAGAGAAGTAAGCGATGTCCATTGAAGCTTTGGCGATGGCGGGCGCAGACTACATGGAATGCGGTATCAACTTCGAAGAGTGGGAGTCGAACGATGGCCTGAAAGATCCACCACCCTATCTGTTAGCTGATGAGCAGAGTTTTGATGTTGATCAGTTCCTCAGAACAAAGAGTGGTGCTGATGATATGTTGGCGTTTGATAGTGATTACACAAAGCGAAAGCTTCTTGAATGGGCTAAATCTGTGTTTCAATGTCTAACATTGTAACCAATCTCCACTTCCAACTGTAAATGTATTTATTAACATTTAAATTCATTCATTTTTTTTCCGGGGGTGGGGGAAGAAAGGAAAAAAATGCTGATTTTTCCAAGAGACAGATCAAAAGCCATGTAAATATAGTTTGCCAATTTGATAGGCATTGATTTAAATTTGTAAGAATACAAGTTGTCCAGATCATGAATCTCAAAGTCTTTTTCGATTTATGTACACATAACAGTATGGCACAGATAGGCTTTCTCAATCTCAAGTCTCAAGCCCTAGCCTCAACCTGAACTTGTGTTAGAATACCCTTGCCATCGATTAAAGAAGTAAAAGTTAATAAATTAATACCATTAGCATTCTGAATTAACTAGAGAATGCCAATAAATATGCAAGCAACATTAGACACAGAAGGAATCATGAACCGCTATATATATGCTTTTTCTCGATACGACGTTCATACTTTATTTAACATATGAATTTGCATAACATGTTATGTGCCAATGACGTATCGACATGGTGTTGAATAAAAAAAAGCTTATCTATATCTTTGCTCTTGAATAAAAAAGGAAGGGCAGAATTTCTCTCATACAGTTGTCAAGAACTGATGTAGAACAAATGGCAGATTTTATCCCGGTTGAGCTAGAAAAAGGACGTAGTGGGAATTTGCAGATTTGTCGTCCAAGCTCTGATTAGGACGCAAAATACCATTTCGGAAAGGGAACGACGCCACGAGTCAACCTCACTGCTTTGCTGTGATGTATGATGGATTTTGGCATCCTGAGGTCGTTTGGCCTTCCAAAACAGCATTCAAAGTTTTGTAGTTAATTTTCGGAATAAATTCTGTTTTTCAGTTTTAATGTAATAACTCCCCTAGCAGCTCAAGGGTTGAGAGATGTGTATTTAGTTAGGGTTGGTGAACGTTTTTCAATATCTCAGATTTTAATAAAATTATCCCAAGAGAATTCCTCTTAATCACTGGTGGAATCCAGATTTCTTGTTACTCAAGGTTTTCGTTTGAAACCTTTGTTGTTTGTGCTGCGTCAAGTGGTATCAGAGCGGGTCTCTCCCGTCTCGGTATTCTTGTCTTATCATGGGTGATCGAGAAGCTGATGTCCCAGCCCCAATTACTCGAGCGGATTTGGACGCTCAAAACCAACAGATCGACAACCTAACATTGTAACCAATCTCCACTTCCAATTGTAAATGTATTTATTAACATTTAAATTCATTCATTTTTTTCTGGGGGTGGGGGAAGAAAGAAAAAAAATGCTGATTTTTCCAAGAGACAGATCAAAAGCCATGTAAATATAGTTTGCCAATTTGATAGGAAAGTAATATAATCATGATACAAGGTTGTGATATCAGGAGAAGTAATATAATCATGAACAACAACTCAATAGCAAAGCAACTAAGAGATTTAGAAAGATGGAAGCAAACAAAACAAACACCATAATAGATAGCTTACCTGAAACAATAAGGCTGAAACTATAATCTCCGAACACTTCAATCTCTTCCCAAAGGAGAAAGCAAGCCCAGAGCTACTCAACTTCAGTCCTTCCTTTCCTAGCAGCCTTAGTTATGTTTTTCCCTGAGGCTATTTAATCTGCAAAGGTAAGCAGTAGCTGGAGTCAACCTGACACAAATGGTTCTAAGTCTGACACCTAAGAGCAGTTCCACCAGTCAGCTGAGCCCAAGGCTGGGGGGGGCGGGGGGGAACGTAGTTCCAGTGGTGAGCCCAAGCCGGGGTTGTGAGTGGGTCCCACGAAGTCAGCCCGAGGTCGAGCCCGCGTGTTGTGACGTCATGTGCGATGTCGTGCTGTCGTCATCGCGCGGTTTAAATTTTTTTTACCGTTGGCGTGTGTAATGCACGCGCCAACGGTAAAAAAAATTTAAACCATCGTGCACGTCAGTCTCCAACGGGTAGAAGCCACGTGTCACGCCCCCAGCGCTCCGATCTGCTTCTCCGAATCCAATCCAACAGCTGACATTTTTTTGGCAATAAAATTATGAAAAAAAAATCGAAATTTTTTTAAAAAAATACTAAAAAATTCTGATTTTTTTTTCTTCTATAAATACCTATCAATACCCTTCACTTTCAACACCAATTCTCATACATTTTATTCTACTTCTACTATTATTCACTCTTTACTCAACATTTTCCTCTCTTTCACCTTGTATTTTTATTTCTTATTTTTATGGCTTCTTCTATCGAAACCGGAGGGGCATGGAGCACCATGAAAGATGTTTCCTTGTGTGAGGCTTGACTCCAAATTTGTCATTGTCCCATGTCAGGCAATGAGATGGAATTTTTTCATATGTGGAAAAAACTTCATGCTGAATTTTGTGAAAAAATTCCGGGGTCGACTCGTACGGAAATGGCATTGTCTAGTAGGTTTAAAATTCTCATTAAAGAGTTGGGAAAATGGAGAGATGCCTTGTCAAAAGTGATGCACAACTATAGAAGCAGGGAAAATCGTACTAATGAGGTAAGTATTTTGTAATTTTCATTTTATTAAGTTTAATGTCCTAATATATATATTTTGTTAATATTTATTGCATTTTCAATATTTTGTTAATATTTCTTGCATTTTAAATATTTTGTTAATATTTCTTACATTTTAAATATTTTGTTAATATTTCTTGCATTTCCAATTGTTTCTTAATATTTCTTGCACTTCCAATTTATTTGTAAGGTTAATTGCATTTCCATTATGTATTTTTTTGTTACTTGCATATCCAATATATTTTAAATATTTCTTGCATTTCCATTTTTTTGTTAAATAGATTATTCAAGCACATATGTGGTTCGGTGCAACCGAGGGTGGCAAAAAAAGTTTCAACCATCATGAATGTTGGGAGGTGGTGAAATATTGCAAACGCTTCATAATTATTCCCACGGGCCCCGAGGTTATGTTAAACGAGACGCCACTCCGTGATTCAATGACATCGGATTCACCTATCGATTCCCCTATGAGTCAAGACTCACCCATCGAAAAGGAGCCGAGGCCCATTGGCCGAAAGGCTGCGAAGGCAAAGAAAGCGGGTAATTCGAGCAATAATAATTCAAAGTTTTTGAAGGAAATTTCAAGGCAGAACACCATAAGAATTGAAATGGAGTAGAAACGCCAAGGTAACGAGATGAAGATTCAAGCCGAGTATGCACGAGAAAGGGAGTATTTGCGCAAAAAAGATGAGTACAAGACGGATCGGGAAACCATGAAGATGGATACAAGCCATATGTCCCCTGAAACAAAACAATTTTGGAAGCTAGAACGAAAGGATGTTATGAGAAGAAGACTTTTCCAGGATGATAGGCCTAGCAACACGGATTGGTTGAATGATGAAAACCATTAAATTAGTTGGCATACCTTTTATGTATTTGTATTTTTCATGTTTTCTATTAAAGTTGTTGTAATTCATGTTTTTTCTATTAAAGTTGTTGTAATTCATGTATTTTATTTTAGTAGTAGTAATTCTTAATGACTTGTATTGGATTTCTTTATGTAATAATTAAAATACCTTTTGAATTTTGAAATTCATCCGAAATTTGAACCCAAAAATCTTATCCGGAAATTTTATCCAATTATGAATAGTCTTGACACGTAGGAACCCGGAAATCTTATCCGAAAATATTATCCAAATTAATTATTAAGGTAAAAAAATTTGTGAAAAAAACAAAAAAATGAATAGTAATTTCCCTTAGTCATGGCAATGGATGGAAACACAAAATACTATTTGCAAGGGCAACCACTATTCACGTGAATAGTAGCTTCCCTAGTCCCCTCTTTGCCAGGACAAAGGGCAAATACTATTCATTTTTTTGTTTTTTTTCACAAATTTGTTTACCTAAACAATTAATTTGGATAATATTTTTAGATAAGATTTTTGGGTTCGTACGTGTCAATATTTATTATAAAATTCATATCTCAATCGGATAAAATTTTCGGATAAGATGATAAATAAAAATACAATTTAAAGGTGAATAAAATGTTGAGTAAAAAGTGAATAGTAGTAGAAGTAGAAGAAAATGCATGAGGATTTAGTGTTGAGAGTGAAGAGTATTGGTAGGTATTTATAGAAAAAAATTACAGAATTTTTTGGTATTTTAAAAAAAAATTGAATTTTTTTCATAATTTTATAGCAAAAAAAAGCCCAGCCATTGGATTGGAGGAGAGTAGGCGATCGGAGCGCCCAGACGACAACAGTTGTCTTCTAGTTGTTGGTGGAGCGCACGCTGACATCATCCCCCCCCTCGAGCTCGAACTCGGACAAGAGCTACCTTTGTGCCAGCCCATCTTCGTGGATTCTGCCTCTAGCCTGGGCAAAAGTGGCCCACTGGAACTGGCTTTTTGGCTTGGGCTCCGCCCAGCCCGGGCTTGGGCTCCTCAGTGGAGTTGCTCTAAAGCCCGTAGTCCAAGAACACAAGTCAATTCCAACTCTGAAGGTTGCGACAAGCAGCTGAAGGAAGCATGAGGTGTTACCCTACTCAAGCAGGAGGTGTAGCCTAAACAAGCAGGAGGCGGCAAGTTTCTGTAGCATAAATATGACATTGCAATTCGATCCTTAAATGTTCTCCAAATTGCACAAGAGCCCTAAAACAACTCCCCCAACCTTTTACTATTTTCAAAACTCCCAGAAGGTAATAACCATGTGAGCTCAGAGTCAACTAAACCACAAGGCTTAAGGTGCTAGATTCGGGGGCTGTTACATTATTAAACCATTTCAGACCTTAATTAGTATTCCTCTCTGACTTGGAGTCAATAATTATATATACTTTACTCGATGAAAAAAGAAAATACAAATAAAGGCTATATTCTTACTCTCTAGCTTTGGTAAGGTGGTCATTTGTCCACAAAAACCCAAAATTCGATCATATTGAACTGCCATTTCGGTTTGGCATGGCAATTAAATATTATTATTATTATTATTTTTTGGTCAACAATCGGAAGATAATAATAATAATTGAAATGCTCTGAGAGGGAGAGAGTCACGGATTCCATGAAGTAAATTACCAAAACTTAACGTGGTGAATGACAGATGCCAAAAGCCCAATTCAAGCATCTCCTTGTAGTAACTTATATGCTTTTGACAACTTTGCAGAGAGAGAAGGTTTGAATCATAGCATTTTATGTGGTCAACACAACATGTGACATATATTTTCTAACAAAAGAATAGTACCCAGATTGTACTTGACGAATAGTTCTCTACCATTTTGGTTGACAAAATGTTCTGCCTAGCATCTGAAAAGCTAGTCGCTTCACATGCAAATACGTACAGTTTGCAATCCACGATGAAGCAAATTGCTTGCATTCTCATTGTGCATATAGTCATCTAAGAGTTATAGACTAATAGATAGTCAGAGTTTTGGGTTGACCAATTCCTTTTTGAATTTATTATCCATAAAAATGAATGTAAATCATGTGCATGTGAGTTCACACTACGAACCCTAAACAGAAACCATATCTATATATATATGTCTCGCGTCATAACAAGATATATGACTAACAAGCAAACAAACAAAAGAATTGAAGAAGAAATAGCACTGGGATTGTGAAGAGAGAAGTAAGCGATGTCCATTGAAGCTTTGGCGATGGCGGGCGCAGACTACATGGAATGCGGTATCAACTTCGAAGAGTGGGAGTCGAACGATGGCCTGAAAGATCCACCACCCTATCTGTTAGCTGATGAGCAGAGTTTTGATGTTGATCAGTTCCTCAGAACAAAGAGTGGTGCTGATGATATGTTGGCGTTTGATAGTGATTACACAAAGCGAAAGCTTCTTGAATGGGCTAAATCTGTGTTTCAATGTCTAACATTGTAACCAATCTCCACTTCCAACTGTAAATGTATTTATTAACATTTAAATTCATTCATTTTTTTCCGGGGGTGGGGGAAGAAAGGAAAAAAATGCTGATTTTTTCAAGAGACAGATCAAAAGCCATGTAAATATAGTTTGCCAATTTGATAGGCATTGATTTAAATTTGTAAGAATACAAGTTGTCCAGAGCATGAATCTCAAAGTCTTTTTCGATTTATATACACATAACAGTATGGCACAGATAGGCTTTCTCAATCTCAAGTCTCAAGCCCTAGCCTCAACCTGAACTTGTGTTAGAATACCCTTGCCATCGATTAAAGAAGTAAAAGTTAATAAATTAATACCATTAGCATTCTGAATTAACTAGAGAATGCCAATAAATATGCAAGCAACATTAGACACAGAAGGAATCATGAACCGCTATATATATGCTTTTTCTCGATACGACGTTCATACTTTATTTAACATATGAATTTGCATAACATGTTATGTGCCAATGACGTATCGACATGGTGTTGAATAAAAAAAAAGCTTATCTATATCTTTGCTCTTGAATAAAAAAGGAAGGGCAGAATTTCTCTCATACAGTTGTCAAGAACGATCCAATTCCAATTCAAGACAAACGATCTCCCATGATTCTCTTCTTGTCTTCCTCTACAGGGACAGGGTTCTAACTTAATTTGATATGCATAACTTTTTACTACCAAGCTTGCATGATAGCTTTCATCTGTAAATCCCTTTTGCAAAATGTCAACAGCTATATATATGACAGGGAATACTCGTTCGGTGTATAAAAGTTAAATTATTAATAATAAAATTTCTGGACATTCCAAATTAGTTACCAATGCTGCTTGACAAACATGACCCATGTAATTATCGCAGCCTTATCATATACATACTGTGAGAGAACTCAGTGGGCATTATGCATGACCAGATTGAATATATAGAATTTTGAATTTTGAATATTTTTGGCTAACTATGTATCATGACAAACATAGCTCTTCTTTCTGTTTTGTGTTTCATACTTTAGTTTCACACCTTTGACTGAAATAATAATATCGTTTCTGTTGATTGAATGTACATGGTGACGGTGAGAGGGTTTCTGTTGATTGCCAAACGCTAATGCTGGGTTGTGCACAAGTGCAGGTATTTTTGGGTATAACGGGAATCAAAATAAGCACTTATTTGGAATGGGGGTTTTGGGAATTATTCAAATAAAATCAAGTCAAATGTCATGCAATGCAAATCATCACAGACTTAATTATGTCTTTCGTCGCCGGTATGATTTTACTGGTAATCTTGACCTTGTCAGGTTTCTCAAAACCGTTCAAGACGAAGGACTTTATGCTGTTCTTCAAATCGGTCCATACATTTGTGCTGAATGGAACTATGGAGGACTTCCTGTTTGGCTGCATAATCTGGCCGGATGTGAGATTCGAACTACCAATGATGTTTACATGAGTAAGATGAAGAATTTTACCACCTTGACTGTTGATATGATGAAAAAAGAGAAACTTTTTTGCATCCCAAGGTGACCCAATTGTTATTGCTCTGATTGAGAATGAATATGTCAATGTGCAATCATACTATGGAGATGCTGGCAAGGCATATATGAACTGGTGCTCAAATTTTGCCCAATCTCTTGACATTGGAGTTCCATGGATTATGTGCCAACAAAGTGATCCCCAACCAATGATTAACACATGCAATGGCTGGTACTGTGATAATTTCAAACCAAATAATGACAACAGCCTTAAAATGTGGACTGAGAATTGGACCGGCTGGTTCAAGAGCTGGGATGATAAAGACCACCTAGGACTGCTGAGGATCTTGCCTTCTCTGTTGCAAGGTTCTTCCAAACTGGAGGCACTTTCCAGAACTATTACATGTATCATGGTGGAACAAACTTTGGTCGAACATCAGCTGCATACATTACCACAACTTATGATTATGATGCTCCTCTTGATGAATATGGTTTCTTGAATCAACCAAAATGGGTCACTTGAAGCAACTTCATGAGATTCTGAAATCCATGGAGTATACTCTCACCCATGGCAATATTACCACCATCGATTTTGGAAACTCTGTTTCAGCCGCTATGTATGCAGCAAATGATTCAGCAAGCTACTTTTTTGGCAATGCAAATTCCACCACTGATCATACAATCACTTTCCAAGGAAACAAATACATTCCTGCTTGGTCTGTTAGCATTCTTCCCGATTGCAAAACTGAAGGATATAACATTGCAAAGATGAACACCCAAACATCAGTTAAGGTGAAAATGGTGAACAAGGCTGAGGATGAACCTGAATCTCTTGGCTGGCTGTGGAGGCCTGAAAGCATTGATGACACAAGACTTCATGGAAGGGGAGAAGTTACTGCAAATAAACTTCATGGTATCAGAGTGGGTTAGCTCACGTGTGAAAGCTCAAAGGTCACACGTGCTCCACGTCACCTAATATGTGTTGTTCACGTGTTAGGCTTGAAAATTCGTCACACGTGCGGAGGTGTGTGAGAATGCGTGAAAATAAAAAGTCCCACATTGGAAAGTTGAGAAACCTAGCAAAGGCTTATAAGGAGTTGGACTACTCCCCCATTACCAATTAATTTTGGAGTAAAACCTCAACTTCCTCCAACTATACTGTCCACTTTGGTATCAAAAGGATAGAACTCCCAAAAATATGAAGACATTTGATTTATTAATTATAGAGTGGATTCAAACCACAAAAAACCAGCCCAAAAAGTGATATAGTATTTTTATTCTTCTACCGATTGATAAGGCTATGGTCCCCACACATTATTACTATGAAATCCTTTGAAAATATACACTATTATTGTGCACGATTTTAAAATTATTGTGCTCGTCTAAAAGATATCTAATCAGCTAATATGTTGAATCAATTGTCAAAATGGACACACAAATAACGAACCTCTGCCACAAATGATGAATTTGTGCTCTATGAACAACAGAAATTCCTACAGAGAAAACTGGCCAGTTTAATGTGGGTGCACCATGGCATTTGACATAGAGAGCACAAATAAAGAATCATATCTGAAGCCAAATATTCTAGTATAGATGCATTTCTCTCTGGTGTATTCATTACAATTTACAAGCCATTGGGCTCGCCCAAGTGGTGAGGGAGAGAAGGTTATCATTTTAGACTTAAACATCTAGGATTCAATTCCCTCCAGTGTAAGCAATTAAATATTACTTTTCAAGTACTTCGCATTAGTACACGTAGGTGCAAAAATGCCTACTAGCCAAAGCTTAATTATAATTGCATCACTGCTTTCATCAGTGGATATCTACTGCACGATGTCCGCATCTAAATACCAAAGAGTAAAGTGTGACCTCACAAGGCTAAGCCTTCAAACAAAAGAAGGTTAATGAGCAAAGCAAATAGGACCCACGTTCACGAGAACAACATTTCATCTTCAAAGAAGTGTGCCATCAGTTTCCAACTTGATTTTTATGCTCTTCCCGTGATCTCATATAAAGTATATGAAACCAGCACGGTTTTTTGTGATCATGGTCTAAAATATCGATGATATCGGTAGTCCAAAAACATGGAAATTTCGATGGAAATATCGAGATATTATCGACATCGATAAAAATTGAATAAGAACCATGGAAATTGTAAAAAAAACTTGGAAATTTTTATTGAAACTTTGGAGAATGTTTATTTAGTCAATTATCTATTAGTTTTATATATAAAAAAAATTAGAAGGAAATGCATTATATGATAGATTTAACTTATTTAAGTTGATTATACAGCGAGTTGGCAAACACTGTGAGTATAGAAAATATGTAGTAATTAATGAAAAAAAGATTAACCACACCATAATCATTTATATATAATGATTTACTACAATATTTTACACTTTATACATTGCATGGTAAGATACATTAGTGACTTAGTACCACATAAAGTTCCTATGATGTTCAAATTTTTCACTATCTTCATCATCTCTATGTGTAGAGTAAGTGTATTGTGAAGAGTATTCATCAAATGATAAATCTCCAAAATAGTTTTGCATGTAATTGTTAACATGTCACCCATATAAATATAAATATTTTAGTATATTATCACTAAAACATAAGTGATATATGGTGGTTAGGTGTTGGAGGAGTAAAATTAGAGGGGTTCAAATTTGTCGATATTTATACGATATGTACATGGATATATTCCGAAATATCCGTGATTCGAAAAAAACCGAAATATCATCGATATTTCGTCGATATTATCGATATTTCAGACTATGTTTGTGATGATGAGAATTGGGAGCATACACTGGCGGATGTAGCAAGGCGCAAGGAGGTGCAGCTGCACCTCCCCTTGCCGGAAAAAACCATTGTGGGTGCTTCAAATTGCCCCTTTGCTCAACTGATGTACAGATTACCTTATTTCCATTTTCAACATTTAAGTAAATGTCTTTGTCCTTTTACTTTTATTTATTTTTATATTACTCCATTTACTTAAGTTTACAATGTAAATAAGGAAGTACCCCCCCATTTGGATTCAAATAAAAATACTAAAAAATCAAATTCCCACCAAATCAAAATGTGAAAATTCGGTTTTAGTGCAAAATACGATTTAGGCTAAAAATGATGGCTCATTAAGTCAATATATACTTCATACTAAAATCCCATAAAATCAAGTTTTTTTATTTGATGTGTAAGGAATAAAAGCCGCCAAAAATTATCTTGAGAAAATGATTATTCCAAAAAATTATTTTTCATACTTAGTCAATATTGCACCTCTGCTAAAAAATTTCTAGATCCGTCAGTGCCTGCCATTGCCAAAGCTTCAATCGACATTAGAACTTCGTCTTTTTTAAGTTTTATATTTGCCCAACTGGACTGGAGTTGAGCTTGTAATCTTGAAAATGGATTACATATATTTATATGTATGCATGATTTCTGCTGTTTCTGTTTAGGCTGCTAAAAGCAGAGAAGACACGGGGTTTTCATGCTTAAATATGTAAATATATGTCCCTACTGTTTTACTCAGATGGGCTTAATAAAGAAAGAAGCTTCTGTCACTGCATATGTCATAAAGCATACGCATTTCGTGCACCTGGCAGCGCTGATAATTCAGTTCATGTTCTTGATATTCCCGTGATCCGCTGATCTGAAATATTCATAGTCCTGTAATTGAACTTGAATTCACATGTTTTTGCAACGCAAATTGTTCCAAATGGGTCCAAGGGATTTGTAAGAAATATTCAATTGATAGAAAGTGATCAAGAACTTGACCACTCTTACTTGATGTAAGACTTTCTCGGGACAAATGACACAATAATACATGTACAAACTAATTTGTATTAATTTATAAAAATGGCATTGTCTACAATCATCATCGTCACCTCCACCTCTATCACCACCACCAACACCACCCACCGCGACCACCCACCACCACCACCTCTACCACCCACCACAGCCACCGCCTCCACCTCCACCTCCACCTCCACCACAACCACCACCTCTACCACCCACCGTCACCACTACCACCACCCACCACCACCACTACAACATTCACCTTGACATTATAGCACAAGACACTTTCAACATCATATCCATTTTAGTTATTATCCACAGTTACAACTGTTTTATTTTAAAGTTTACCAAATGGTTTCCACACTACTTTTTATACTAACAATACTTTAAAGGGTTAAATGCCAAAATGGTCCCTGTATTTTACCACGTTGGCCAATTTAGTCCATGTGTTTTTAATTTGGCCAATTTAGTCTCTTTGTTTAGGACCATTAGCCAATTTGATCGATTCTGTTAAATATGAACATGATAATCCTTTTCTTTTTTTGAAAACCTATAAAGCTGTTTTAAATTTTTAAAAATTGGATTTATTTAAAAATATATTAAAACTTCAAGTCAACTAACATAACATTAGAAAAAAGAGAGTAAAAAACTTGAAAAAAAATAAAGGATGGGCGTAGTTCGGAGAGGGGAAGGGCTACTTAGCGAGTGAGTATTGAGAAATGGGGTGACTATTGCGGGGTGGGGGAGGGTGATGAACGAAGGTGTATGGGAAAATGGGGAGAGATCGGGTGGAAGATTTGGGGGTCATGGCCGAAAAAAGGGGCAAATGGCTAGGCAATGGCTGAGTTGAGGAAGATCTTTCTGGGAGCTGGTTGGGTAAGGATTATTTTTTTCTTTTCCTTTCTATAGAGAGAGAGAGAGAGAGAGAGAGAGAGATTAGGGGTGGGTGGATTGGAGTTGGGGCCTTTGGGTGGGGAAAGTGGCTGGGGAAAAGACAAAAGAGAGAAAGGTTGTGGTGGTTGGGATAGGCGGAGAGTGAGGAGGCTATTGGGATAGGTGGATTTTTTATTTGTTTAGTTCTTTTTATTTATTTTTTAATTCAACTCAAATAGTTATGTTTTTCTAATTAATGTTTCAATAGTTTTAAATTTTTTTAATTGAGATTTAACGGAATGGATCATATTGGCTAATAGTGGTAAACACAAGGACTAAATTGGCCAACGTAATAAAACATAGGGACCATTTTAACATTTAAGCCTACTTTAAAACTATTGTTTACGACACATTGAATTGCTTTACTTTACAACTAATTATTTTCAAAGCATCAGAAGAAGCTTTTTTTAAAAAGCGACACCAATTCCAAACTGGACCTTAATTGATCTAAAGGTGGAACAAGCAAGGTGTAAACGCGACTTTCTCGGAATAAATGACACAATAATACATGTACAGACTGATTCATATTTCTCTGGTTCGATCTCCAAGGGTAATGCGTATTTGATTTTGAACTGGCTGATTGAGCCTTCAAATCTCTTTGAGGCGAGGTTTGGTCAAGGGTGGTCAAGATCTTGAACAAGCGAGGACACGAGACACTACTACAAAATAACCCTTGCGAGACCAAATTTTGCGCGACGAATAATTTTTCGTCGCGCAAAGACACTTTGCGCAACGAAACTCAAAACTTCGTCGCTAAAAACCTTGCGCGACCAACTTTTGCGCGACGAATTTTTTTCCGTCGCTCAAAGCGACTTTGCGCGACCAACTTTTGCGCGACGACAATACGTCGTTGCTCAAAGTCTTGCACGACGAAAAATAATTCGTTGCTCAAAGTAACTTTGCGCGACGAAAAAAAATTCGTCGCTCTAAGTAACTTTGCGCGACGAAACACAGTTCGTCGCGCAAAGAGACTTTGCGCGACGAAAAACAATTCGTCACGCAAAGCTACTTTGCGCGACAAAACAATTAACTTCGTCTCGCAAAGTCCTTATAAAAATAAATAAATTATTTTTTAAAATCTTTGTTAGAAAAATATATTATTGTTTTTTGGATTGGGTTTTTATTAGAAAATATATTTTTTAAATTGACGATCGAATTAGTTCATTGTATTCATATAGGGTCAAAGAGTGTAGCTATAAAAAAATCATCAAAATCGGAGTTAAAATAACCGTTAAATCGTGATTTTTCATTTATAACAGTCGAAAAGTTTTGTCCTATTACTTGATCTCTGAATGTTTATTTCTTCCGATTTTTAGCGTATATGATCTCGAAGTATAAACAAACAAGTTTGACGGTTGGATCGTTCAAACTAGTTTCATAGAATGCATATGCCATCAAAATAATATATTCACTAACAATTAAGAGTTTATTTATACTTTTGTTAAATATAACATAAGATTTTGTGGTATCCACTAGTGTAAATATTTTAAATTGAAGATCAAATTCAGTCATTGTATTCATATAGGGTAAAGGAGTGTAGCGGTAAAAAATCATCAAAATCGGAGTTAAAATAACCGTTGAATCAAGATTTTTCATTTATAACCATCGAAAAGTTTTGTCCCGTTACTTGATCTCTGAATGTTTATTTTTTGCGATTTTTGGCGTATATGATCTCGAAGTATAAACAAATAAGTTTGACGGTTGGATCGTTGAAACTTGTTTTTTTGAATGCGTATGCCATCAAAACAATATATTCACTAACAATTAAGAGTTTATTTATACTTTTGTTAAATATAACATAAGATTTTGTGGTATCCACTAGTGTAAATATTTTAAATTGACGATCGAATTAGTTCATTGTATTCATATAGGGTCAAGGAGTGTAGCTGTAAAAAATCATCAAAATCGGAGTTAAAATAACCGTTAAATCGTGATTTTTCATTAAGAACCGTTGAAATTTTTTGTCCCGTTACTAGGTCTCCGAATGTTTGTTTTTTACAATTTTTGGGGTATAAGATCTTGAAGTATATACAAACAAGTCTGATGGTTGGATCGTTGAATGGTGTGTGTATATATATATATTACTTATTAAGTAGCTTTAAATTTATTTATTTTGTACGTATAACACTTAAGAAATTGGTATATACATTTATTAAGTAGCTTTAACCTTATTTATATTTTAAATCGTAAAAAAAATAATTTTATTATTCATAACAATTATTTTATAAATATCGTGCTACGAACCAATTTTTTCGTCTCTCAAAAGTTTGCGCGACCAACAATTCGTCGCGCAAAACTCTAAAAATTTGGGCGGGTACCAAAAATGGGACGCGGGATGAAAAAAAATTATTTTTTAGACTTTGCGCGACCAATATATATTTTCGTCGCGCAAAAATTTGGCGGGTACCAAAAATGGGACGCGGGATTTTTTTTTTTGACTTTGCGCGACCAATATACTAATATTCGTCGCGCAAAACTTTGCGCGACCAATACTCCAATATTTTTCGTTTGCGCGACAAATACTCCACTATTTTTTGTTCGTCGCGCAAAGTGATACGGTTTTTAAAATGAAAATAACTCCTCCACCATTTTCTCAATGTCTTTCTCTACTCTTTCCTCTCCTCTCTCTTTCCCTCCCCCCAAATCCCACCATTTCTCTCACTCTCACTCCTCTCATCTCTCTTTTCACTATCTCTCACTCTCACTCTCACTTACTCTCTCATCTCTCTATCACTATCTTCTCTAATTCTCTCACACTCATTTCTCTCTCTCATTCTCACTCACTCTCAATCTTGCCAAAAGGTAGATTCTCTCCAAATTTTTATTTTTTTTTTTCATTAATATGTGTTTTTGGAGTTAGTTTTGAGTTTGTGTGGGGTTTGGGGTTGAGTAAAGGGGAGGGATTGGAGTTTGGGTTGGATTTGTGGTATAACAATTTTAGGGGAGATTATCCTTTTTTTTTTTATTTTTTTTTTAATTTACTTTGTTAATTATGTGTACATTTTATATATATATATATATATTATTGGATAATTTGATCACTATTTTTCATATGTAATTTTATTTTGAATATGTCAATTTAAATTAAACTAATTAAATTAAATTTAAAAAGTAAACATTTGAATAAATTAATATAATTAAATTAATATCAATTTAAATTAAAATAACGAAAAAAATCATACAATTAAATTTAATTTAAAAATTAAAAATTTGAAATAATTAATATAATTAAATTAATATTAAAGAAATAATAAAACAAAAAGTCAAAAACCAAAATATTTCGTCGCGCAAATATTTTCGTGACATTAATATTCGTCGCGCAAAACTCTAAAAATTTGGGCGGGTACAAAAATGGGACGAGGGAATTTTTTTTAAATAAAATTTTTAAAATTTTTTCTTCGTGCAAAGTTTTACGCGACCAATATTTTTCGTCGCGCAAAGTCGCTTTGCGGGACAAATATTTTTTCGTCGCGCAAAGTCGCTTTGCGCGACCAATATTTTCGTCGCGCAAAGTTACTTTGCGCGACCAATATGTTTCGTCGCGCAAAGTCACTTTGAGCGACCAATATTTTTTCGTCGCGCGAAGTCTCTTTGCGCGACGAATGAAAAAATTTCGTCACGCAAAGTCTTTCTCCACGATCTTTGCGCGCGCGACGAAGTTTCTGTCGCGCTAAAATTTGTGCGACTATAATGTATTTTGCGCGACGAAATTCTCTTCGTCGCGCAAAGTGAAAAATGTAGTAGTGAGAAGTGTCACGTGGTGAGTGGTCTTCAACTTTGGTGTGGTAGATGAAGAATATAAGAGTTTTTAAGAGGCGGTTTGGTAACGTTTTCAAGGCCCCGTTTTCATTTTCTACCAAAATTTGTCCGGTATGTCTTTTTCATTTTCACTAGAATTGTTTTCTAAAAACAAATTCAAACTCATGTACAAAAACTGAAAACACCAAATTATCATTATCATTTTCATTTTCTACCCAATGTATTGGTCTGTTTGCTTTATTTTTTATTTTTTTATTTTTTTGGTTGGTCTGATTTTTCATTTTTTATTTTTTTTTCATTTGTCAATTTTTTTTTCAATTTTCAGTTTTTTCGTTCCACATCATTATTTTATTTTGCTACATAAATGTATATTAATTTTATGATAAAACCATCATATATTATTCAATTTCATATTTATTTTAAACTAAAGATAATATTATTTTATTATCTAGGTTTTTCTAAAATTATAATATTTTAATTATTTTAATTATACATTATTATTTTGAAATGATACATTTTTCATTGTTTGTAATAATGTTAGCCTTTAAATATCAGAATTTAAATAAAAAAAATTTAGGACAAAAATTAGCAAAAAATATACTTGAAAAATAACTCACATATTATTATTCTCAAATTGTCCTATTAGACACGTTTTCACTATTTTTATTTTTTGAATATGTTGTCCAATTAATGTACTAGATGCATTTTCGAATCCTGAAAATGTAAATTCGTTTTCTTGTTTTCATTCTCAGAAAATATTCTCCGAAAACGTTACCGAACGGGCCTAAGTGTTTGGTGTTTTCTTTAGCGATAGAGTTTCTAGTTAGCCAAGCCTAGCTTAATTGTCTTAAGAAAGTTCTTTCTTTTGAACGAGAGTCTAGTGTCTATAGAGAAATTATCGGGTCTTGGTTTGGAATCCTAAATTAGAATTTCTTGATTTGTGGGATTGTGCCCTAATTTTATTTGATTTAGGGCAGATTGATTTGGTTTGTTCTAACTTAATTTGAGCTAATTGATTTAATTTAGCTCTCAATTTAAATAAAAGAGGTTGATTTAGCTAATGAACCCTTAAAAAAAAAGAAACCTTAATCCAAAAGATTTTTAGCCCATAAAGGATAATTCTTCTCTATTGAGTTTGACTTGATTTTGATTGATGATGCTTTTCCGGCACTACCTTCTCCACTGCTGAAGACAATCCATTTCTCTCTAAGTTGACCCTCTCTGAAAAAGAGCATCAACAAATTCACCTCACTACTCTGCCTGCGAGTAGTGTAGCGGGGATCCCTTTGTAGATGATATTGCTTGTCCAACAATTTTCAATCACTAATCTAATTGCTATTTGGATTTCTGTACGTCAATTTAAGATTAAAACCAACCAAAACAGAAAATTATTAAAATATATAGATCGAACAGATTTATTTTTGCTGCAATTCAGGTTTTCCCACCAATGCCAATGCCGAAACTTTGCTCCTTGACGACCGGATACAGCGGTGCCTGTTACCAAGCTCCATATTCCGGCTGCATAATCCATGCCCGCCATTGCGAAAGCTTCAATTCAATCGACATTAATTACTATTTATTTACCTAAAAGCTTCTTCTCTTTTGGGGTGGAGCTAAGGTTTGTAATCTTGGAAATAGACAATACACATTTCTATACAATACTTTTTTCTGTTTCTGATTAGGCAGCTAAAAGCAGAAAAGACAAGCGTTTTTCATGCTTAAAGTGTATAATGTGCAAATATCTCTTCCACTTTTACTCAGATAGAAAGAAGCTCCTTTCACTGCGTATGTCATAAAGCATATTCATTTCTTGGATCTTGAAAATCCCGTGACCATTTTTACCAGTATAGTCCTCTATTTGAGTTGCGTTGTGTTCTTGGTGTTGGTGGAAAAATGCCAAAACCCATGAAACTAGGTGAAACATTATGTAGCCGAAAAAAACGATCTGGAATTGCAAAAGAGTAACTCCTACCAGAACCCTTACTGTTCCTTGCAATCTAAAGCGCTTGATAGTGGTACAATTTGGTAGGAGTAGACATCAATTTGGCCGATCCGAACTGTAATGGCCGGTTTTGTTTGGCTTTTAAAAAAAACAAAAAAAAAAAAAAAAAAAAAAAAAAAAAGGTTATATAGGATTGATGATCATACTATACTAGTTTGCTTCTATTGCGGTTTTGAGCTTTTGTAAATCGGTCTAAAAACCAAACCGGACTTTCTACTTATAATTTTATTTTTATTTTATTTTACGAGTGCAGTTCTCTCATTCAATGATAATTAGATAAGGATGTTAAATTTGAATTTTGATAGAACTTTGAAGTTATTCATCTTTGAATTATAACTATATTAATTATTGAACTTTAAACATCACGTATTCAATTTTAAGATGATTTAATGTGCTAGAAAATAAAAAATATGTAGAAAGTTATGAATTTTTGTTGTAATTGGATAACAAAGTTAATATTTCAATGGTTTGCTCTATGAACCTCAGTATTACATATTTTCAGAGTCACACTTACATGGTTTAGAAATTTCGAAAGTAACGTTGCGTGCATATTTTGTTTTTAAACTAGAAAAACTTAAGGGAGAAAATTATGTACAGCTTTCAATTCACAAGTTCACAACTCATAATCCTTTTGGACCAAATAAAAAAAATCAAACTGCAACTCCCTAAGCTGCTGGGCATGCAGGAATTAAAACCATGCATAGTACAAGATTTAGAGGATTTGAACATAAACAACAGACAACAGTCAGTATGTATGATATCAAATAGCACAAGATTGCAACTCCCTGGGGCAAGCTTGTGTCGTACTTTCCTTGCTGATCCGTAGCGAAACCAGGCTGAAATTCGATATATCACCCTAATTAATGGCCATTATAATCTTCAAAATGGCGCTGGCAAGAAATAAGCGGTGTGAAATCCATGCACCTTCCTCCTTCTCTCCCTTTCTTGGTTTCTTTTCCCAGTACTTGTTCCCCTAAATTTCTCTCATCTTTTTCTTCTTCATCTTCCGCTAGTAAATGTGGAGGAGTCAGCTCGCCACGCTCCCATTCTTCCACAGTCATAGCAATCGAAAGGTAGTCTTTGCCAGCCATTGCTAAAGCTTCTAATGAAACTGACATGATTCGTCTGCAGGCTCTAACGGGATATATATATACGATAGAGAATTTGTATAACTATTTGCTAAAGCTTCGTAAATGCAAGCTTCAATTGGTTTGATAATGGGCTGATCACTTGCCTGACAATGAGTTTATATATGCTCCCACTTCTCATCACAAAGAAGCGTATCGGTTTCATATGCTTTATAAGAGATCACGGGAAGGACATAAAATTCAAATGAGGAACTGTCGTCGGCCGTACACTTCAAATTCATGCATTATGAGGTCACCCTTTACTCTTTTGTAACGGTGACTAAACAAGAGATCTCTTGTTTCTGTTTAGGCTGCTAAAAGCAGAGGACATGCGTTTTTCACAATATCTCTTCCTCGTTTACTCAGAAAGGCTCAAAGAAACAAACTTCTGTCACTGTACATGTCATAAAGCATATCCATTTCTTGCACCCGTCAGCGCTGATATATACAATACAACTCAGTTCATGGTCTTTAATTTTTGAAATTCCCGTGACCATATTTACCAGTATAGTCCTCATCATGTTCTTGGTGTTGGTGGGAAAATGTCAAAACACATGAAACTAGGTGAAACATTATGTAACCGAAAAAAAGGAAGATCTGGAATTGGGAAAGAGTAGTGTGAAGGTTAAATAGAGCATCCACAGTGTACTCCCTAAACCACCTCCTTATACAAAATTTAGGGAGGAATTGCAAAAACACAGCTACAATCATGCTTCTTATCCACCTCCTAAAGTAGTGAGACCTCTAGGAGCTCCCAAATATGAGAGAGAAATGACTCCTAATAGCTCCCTATAATTTAATATTGCTTTATTTTAAGGGAGCTGATTCCCCACTCTCATTTTCTCCACTTACAGTTCCTTTTATTTTTTAGTACTTTTTAATTAAATTTGTTCTTTTTTGTTCTCTCTCTTTCCTATGCTACCCTTACTCTACGTTATTTTCTCTTTACTTCACTTTTATATTATTTCTTCTTTTTTTCCCTTCAATTTTCAAAAAAAAAAAAAAAAAAAAAAAAAAAATAAAAAAAAAAAAAACAACCCCTCCTGTGTTGTACCCAACCTGTGCCCTCCCTCGCCACCCTCCCCAGCCACCACCTCCTCTCTTCCTCCATTTATCTTTCTTTCTTTTTCCATACCCACCAATCTCTCTGTCTCTCTCTTTGAGATTTGGGTTTGTTTTTCAATTTTTATATATATTGATTTTGATTAGTTACCACTGTGGGGGTTTGGATGGGGAGATTAATCTTGGGTGTGGGTTTGGGGTGATGGGGTGAGGAATTGGATGGAGGTGGCTTTGATGGTGGTTGGAAGGATGTTGTTATTGAACGGGGGGTGGAGGTTGCGGTGAAACTGATGTTGGGTGCGTAGAGGAAGTTGGGCGGCTGAAGAATGGTTGGGTATGATTTGGTTTGGTGGGTTGGTTTTTGATATGATTCTTTTGATTACTTGGTTTGGTTTTATGATTTTATTTTTTGGAAGTTGATTTTCTTAGTTTGATTTGATATGTTGGGCTAAGAACCAGAAGAAGACAAGGAGTTGGGATGGTGTTGGCTAGGGCCTCGCCGGAATCTAGACAAAGTGAGACATATATGTGTGAAAAAGGGAGTAAAGTGAGACAAATGAGTTTCAGGGGCCAAAGTGAGACTCAAATATACTTTCAGGGGGTATATCAAAAAATAAGCCAAAAAAATATTGAAAAATGAGGGCAAGTGAAAATAAAGTAAAAGAAAAAGAAATGATATAAAAGTGAAGTGAAAATAAATTAATGTAAGGTAAGGGTAGAATAGGAAAGAGAAAGAATAAAAAAGAATAAAATTGATTAAATGATATTAAAAAAATAAAAGGGAGTGTAAGTGGAGAAAAAAGGAGTGGAAAAATCAGCTCCCTATTTTAATATTATCTTCATCATTTATTTAATGCGAATTATGGTTTTTTGGCCTTGATTTTATTCAAAAAATGAATTAAAAGAGAAATTAAAGCATTTATAGGGAGTTGTCATTTCTGCGCCTGGATTTTATAACTCTCTAAAGTTGTGAGTATGGTTGGAGTTGAAATTTTATAGGGAGCTCCTAAAGTAAATTTATAGTGTTTTAGCTAAATTTTAACTAAAAAATAGAAAGCATGATTATAAATGCTTACCAAAACACTTACTGTTCCTTGTAATCTAAAGGGCTTGATACTGGTACAATTTGGTTGGAGTGGACATCAATACGGCTGATCTGAACCGTAATGGTCTGTTGGTTTGGTTTGGTTTTGACAGAAAAAAAAAGTCACACGATTTAAGACCAAACTAAACCGTAATGGATTGCTTTGGTTTCTGTTTTGAGCTTTTGCAAATCGGCCTAAACCAAATCGAACCGTTTACTCGTATTTTTTTTATATTTATTTTATTTTACTTGTGGAGTCCTCCCATTCGATAATAACTAGATAAGGATGTTGAATTTGAAATTTAATGGAACTTTGAAGTTATTCATCTTTAAATTGTAACTATATTAGTCATTGAATTTTGAATATCACATTGGTTTAATGCGCTAGAAAATGAAAATACATAGGAATCTATGAATTTTTGTTGTACAACCCTACTTATTTTCGTCAGTTATACTTTTAGAAATTTCGAATGTAACGTGGCGTGCATATTTTGTTTTTAAACTAGAAAAACTTGACAGACCAAATTACGAACAATTGGGTAAATATTGTACACCGTTCAATTCACAACTCATAATGTCAAACTGCAACTTCCCCTGTTGCTATGCGTGTCTGGACAATTTTCCCTTTGATCCTGGAGATTAGAAGAGCAAGTTCCTTTTTCAACAATAATCTTTATTGAGTGGAGTTGGATCCCTTGTAAGAAGAAATCGTGCTGCTCATGTTGCAGCTTCAATTGGTGCTAAGGCGGTGGATCTGCAAAGTTAGGCCAACAGGCTACCTCGGTCCTTACAGCGTGTCTTGGTTTCTGATGGCCTACGTTCCCCTCCAAGTTAATGTATGGCTTTTGTCCGGTATAGAAGCTGGGTCTAGCCTTGCCTTTGAGGTCTAGTTGCTTCTCTATCGGTTATAATGGTCTTGTTGTTTCTCTTTATGACTGTACTGTTTCTTTGTGCTCCTATTTTGGGGCTTCTAATGAAATCAGTTTATGTTCAAAAAAAAAGTTGTTGTGGTGCAGGAATTAAAACTATGCATAGTACAAGACTGAGGATATTTGGACATCAACAACAGAAGCATAACAACAGTATGTATGTATGTATGTATGATGTGAAATAATACAAGATTGTAACTCCCTGGGGCAGCTGTGTCATAATTTCTCGCTGATCTGTAGCGAAACCATGCTGAAGTTCGATATATCATCCTAACAGGGGCCATTATAATCTTCTGAATGCTGGATCAGCAGGAAATGGGCGTTGGGAAATTTCCTCCTTCCCTCCCTTCTTAATTTCTTTTCCCATTACTTGTTCCTCGAATTTTCTCTCATCTTTTTCTTCTTCATCTTCCGCTAGTAAATGTGGAGGAGACAGCTCCAAGTCGCAGCGCTCCCATTCTTCCACAGTCATAGCAATTGAACGGTAGTCTGTACCAGCCATTGCTAAAGCTTCTAATGAAACTGACATGATCCGTCTGCAGGCTCTAACAAAACATATATACGACAGAGAAAAAGCTTCGTAAATGCTAGCTTCAATTGGTTAGATCGATAATGAGCTGATCACTTGCCTGACAATGAGTTTATATATGCTCCCACTGACGGATCTAGAAATTTTTTAGCAGAGGTGCAATATTGACTAAGTATGAAAAATAATTTTTTGGAATAATCATTTTCTCAAGATAATTTTTGGCGGCTTTTATTCCTTACACATCAAATAAAAAAACTTGATTTTATGGGATTTTAGTATGAAGTATATATTGACTTAATGAGCCATCATTTTTAGCCTAAATCGTATTTTGCACTAAAACCGAATTTTCACATTTTGATTTGGTGGGAATTTGATTTTTTAGTATTTTTATTTGAATCCAAATGGGGGGTACTTCCTTATTTACATTGTAAACTTAAGTAAATGGAGTAATATAAAAATAAATAAAAGTAAAAGGACAAAGACATTTACTTAAATGTTGAAAATGGAAATAAGGTAATCTGTACATCAGTTGAGCAAAGGGGCAATTTGAAGCACCCACAATGGTTTTTCCGGCAAGGGGAGGTGCAGCTGCACCTCCTTGCGCCTTGCTACATCCGCCAGTGATGGCAGGCATGGATTATGCAGAATCTCGCATTGAGCTTGAAGAGTTGGAGTATTGCGGCTGGGAACAGCCGCCGCCATATCTGGTAGCCCAGCAAACTTTGGGCATTGAGATTGTGGCCAACCAAGAACAGATGAAGGAAAGGATGCGCAAATGGGCAAAGGCGGTTGCTTACATGAATGAGACTGTAATATTCCCCCCAAAATCAACAAGTGTGTTCAGATAATGTGTGTAAATTGTAATAAAATTATACTAAGTCCAGTGTCTATCAATCTAACTTGTTAGGACCTTCTATATCTCATTTTCTTTATATCCTCTACATTTTTTAATGATGTTTTTTTTTCTATTTTTTTAACAAACGTTAAGATATTTATAAGATATTTTCACAACACGGGCTAAACACACCTCCAACAAGACTAACCACAACTAACTAGGTATTGAATTATCATAAATACATATCTTCCTTGCAATCCATGTGAGTCGAACCTGAGACATTCTCCAACTAAGGGATGACAAATATGACTAAATCAAAGGTTAGTTGATATTGCAAACATGGGCTTAGCAAAGTTGACTAGAGCAGATTTACTCCCCACTCTGCACCCAAGCTCAAATCCCCTCTCCGTAGTTTAGATTAGTTTAAATTAAATCATCGATTGTATAAAGAACAAAAAAAAGCTAGTTGGTAAAATGCCAACACCACATCTGGTGCTAGTCGAGCAAAGGAGCATATTCAATTGAGATCTAGGCATTGACATTGATGAAAAAATATGAACAAATACTGTGTAATCTTTCACCCCATTATGAAGACGTGTATTCAGATGATGTGTAATACGTTATATTGAGTTTTTGGATTTAAAAAGCTCCAGTAAGTTGATGGTTTCAACTTTGTCCGTACAATCATGGATGACTGCTTGAAACACATGACTCCCTTTCCATGTGTATACCATGATAAAACAAAATAGTATAATATGCATGACTAGACGATATAAGATTTGTTCTATTAGCTAGGTTTTTAGCCTAGTATCATGACAAATAGCTTAATTAATTGTTTCTGTTTTTATCCCCTTTGATTTAGTTTCCCATGTTTTGGCTGAACTGCTAATATGGTTTTCAAGTTTTTGTTTTTTTGTTTTTTTGTTTTTGTTTTTAAATTACTGGTGATTGCTAGATACTAATGTTTGGGACTGAGTGGATAGTTGCTCCATTACTAAATGCTAATGTTGGGCGTGCCAGAACTTAATTGTTGGAATGTGGGGTTTCGGAAATTACTCAAATAATAAAGCATACAGTTAAAAATGAAAATCTTTTCCTAAGGTGATAGAAGACAATTTCAAGGTTCACCTAGTGCCTAGAGCTGAGTTCCCATATGTTCAAGTGCAAGTTTTACCCAAGTAGTTAAAGACTTGACAACCAGCATCCAGTTGTTATTGGATTTCTTGAGATCTTCAAGTATTATTGAGTTACATGATGACAAGGTGGGGATGCATTATGAATGGATGGTATAGATACAATTGCTGGTCAGATTAGATCTAAACTCTGGTTTATGAATGGATGGAATGCATACAACTACAAGTCAGCTTAGTCAAATCTTCTTGAGCCGAAAATTAGGTTTCTCCACCCTAAACGCAGTGATGTGCTCCGATTTCATGGTTTCTATCTACAACCAACTAGAAGTCTCTCACACATTATTCTTAGCTAGAACAATTCACAAATTGACTGCGTTGACTTTTTTTCTTTGATTTTTGTTGAGGCCCAAAAATCCAGGGTTGGGCCCAAATAAATTCTCAGCTCAACGCAATGCCTTATTAAGAAAAGAACCGATTTGGAGCGTGCAAAAGTTCGTCATTCATGCTCGCACAAGTGATGACCCACGTGTCATGCCAAATAAATATGCGATCTGTCATGCTAAGAGTTGAAATAAGCACTGGCTTTACGAGTCCAAGCTAATTATCCCGTCATGAGTCATATCCTTCTTCAAAGCGACAAAATTCAAGCACGCCAAGTGACATGCAATGCCAAGTGGAAAATCATTATTATTACACATAGCCACGCTACAAGCTTAAGTGGGCCCAAGCCACGCAAATTCTTAGGGCTTACTTGAGTGGGTTGTGGTATGGATGGTAATAAATTGTCATGAGGCTCATTGATGGGCCGAGAAATGGAAGTTCCGGGTTGCTTGGGAGTCTTGGAGCTCAAGCCCATTTCTTGGGCCCAAACATATGGGTGAGCACAAGAGATAAAATATCCCAACCAAAATGGTCCATTAAATTAACCCATATAGCCCAATACTTGATGAGATTAGCCCATTTATTTGGTAAGTTGGCTTGCTATCTTAGAAGGCCCAAAGAAATAGAAATGAGAATCAACAAAAAGCCTCAGCATTTGGTTGAAAGACAAAGCCACGAAAGAGCTTGGAAGACCACGTGGGTTGCTGGGAGGGAAGGAACAAGTTTTCAAGCAAAACATCCAAGGGACCAAAAGATATTGGCGCGCAAGGAGCCACCTTTCGAACCAGCATGTATACCAATATCTTTCATTCATCAGATTTGACCATGAAGGAGGAAAAGAGATATCTGAAAATAGGAATTCTTCACTAGTGCAGCTGCAGGAAAGGAACCTTGAGCTTCCAAAATCCTTCATTTCGTGCAAATGAGCAAAGTAGATTTCACCAAAATATGATGATTGAAGGGATGAGGGGAAGAAGGAAGGGAAAGACTTTGCAAAATGGGATAGAAGCCATTAGGGTTTCTTGGAAAAAGATGGCTTCCAGCGGCTATAAATAGGGCCTCTTCTACCCAACAAAAACCATCCATAATCAGAGAACAAGCTTCCTCTCTTACCTGCAAAACCCAGCAATTTCGTGCACTATTCACCCTTCTTCCCCATTTTCCCTCTTCTGGCAGATTGTTCTAACACTTGACAAAGCTTCTGTCAAGCTGCCAGAAGAAATGCTCAAACCACCCATCCCTTTCTCTTCCTCATTTCTCAGCCAAATCTTCTTGCAAACCTTTCCTTTCTTGCCTTGACACCCTTCCTTCCTTCCAAGAACACATAATTTCTCTTCAGTGCTAAACTCATGTCAATTTTGCTTCCATGCCACGATCTCCTCATGCCAAGCTAAGAATTCATCTGTAAGCACTAAGAATCTGCCTGTAAGCAGTTGTTATTTTTGTTGGTGAAGGTAACCAGGATGCTTCCTAAGGCTTCACTACCCTTTCGAAGCATTCTCGGGGCCTAATTCTTGAACTCAGACACATAGGGTAGTTTCACCTGTTTCTCTTTTCGGCAACGTAAGCCCATTCGTCAAGCTGCTGGATAAAGAGACCCCCACAATTTTCAACGTACGTTAATGTTCAGTCTTCTTCTACTAAAGGATTTCTCGAATAATTCTTAGTTTTTCATTTTTTTCAATTTTTTTACCTTCTATTTTTTCCTAATGTTATGTTAGTTGAATTGAAGTTTTAATATATTTGTAAATAAATCCATTTTTTTTAATAATTAAAACAGCTTTATAAGTTTTCAAAAAAAGAAAAGGATTATCATGTTCATATTTAATGGCAATTTTAACGGAATGGATCAAATTAGCTAACAGTCCAAAACAAAGAGACTAAATTGGTCAAATTAAAAACACAATGACTAAATTGGCCAACATGGTAAAACACAAGGACCATTTTGACATTTAACTCTTTAAAGTATTGTTAGTATAAAAAGCAATGTGGAAACCGTTTGGTAAATTTTAAAATAAAACCGTTGTAACTGTGGATAATGACTAAAATGGACATGATGTTGAAAGTGTCATGTGCTATAATCATAGGTGGTGATGGTGGTATTGGTGGTGGTAGAGATGGTGGTGAAGGTGGAGGTGGAGGTGGTGGCAGTGGTGGGTGGTGGTGGTGGTGGTGGTGGTGGTGATAGAGATAGAGTTAGGGGTGAAGGTGAAGATGATGGTGGCGGTAGTTGTGGGTGGTGGGTGGTGGTGGTGGTGGTGGTGGTGGTGATAGAGGTGGAGGTGACGATGATTGTTGTAGACAATGTCATTTTTATAAATTAATACAAATTAGTTTGTACATGTATTATTGTGTCATTTGTCCCGAGAAAGTCTTACATCAAGTAAGAGTGGTCAAGTTCTTGATCACTTTCTATCAATTGAATATTTCTTACAAATCCCTTGGACCCATTTGGAACAATTTGCGTTGCAAAAACATGTGAATTCAAGTTCAATTACAGGACAGGACTATGAATATTTCAGATCAGCGGATCACGGGAATATCAAGAACATGAACTGAATTATCAGCGCTGCCAGGTGCACGAAATGCGTATGCTTTATGACATATGCAGTGACAGAAGCTTTTTTCTTTATTAAGCCCATCTGAGTAAAACAGTAGGGACATATATTTACATATTTAAGCATGAAAACCCCGTGTCTTCTCTGCTTTTAGCAGCCTAAACAGAAACAGCAGAAATTATGCATACATATAAATATATGTAATCCATTTTCAAGATTACAAGCTCAACTCCAGTCCAGTTGGGCAAATATAAAACTTAAAAAAGACGAAGTTCTAATGTCGATTGAAGCTTTGGCAATGGCAGGCATGGATTATGCAGAATCTCGCATTGAGCTTGAAGAGTTGGAGTATTGCGGCTGGGAACAGCCGCCGCCATATCTGGTAGCCGAGCAAACTTTGGGCATTGAGATTGTGGCCAACCAAGAACAGATGAAGGAAAGGATGCGCAAATGGGCAAAGGAGGTTGCTTCCATGAATGAGACTCTAATATTTCCCCCCAAATCAACAAGTGTGTTCAGATAATGTGTAAATTGTAATAATATTATACCAAGTCCAGTGTCTATCAATCTAACTTGTTAGGACCTTCTATATCTCATTTTCGTTATATCCTCTACATTTTTTAATGATTTTTTTTATATTTTTTTAACAAACGTTAAGATATTTATAAGAAATTTTCACAACACGGGCCAAATACACCTCCAACAAGACTAACCACAACTAACTAGGTATTGAATTATCACAAATACATATCTTCCTTACAATCCATGTGAGTCGAACCTGAGGCATTCTCCAACTAAGAAAGGAAAAATATGACTAATCAAAGGTTAGTTGATATTGCAAATGAGCTTAGCAAAGTTGGCTAGAGCGGATCTGCTCCCCACTCTGCACCCAAGCTCAAATCCCCCTCTCCATATTTTAGATTAGTTTAAATTAAATCATCGGTTGTATAAAAAAACAAAAAAAGCTAGTTGATAAAATGCCAACACCACATCTGGTGCTAGTCGAGCAAAGTTAAGGAGCATATTCAATTGAGATCTAGGCATTGACATTGGTGAAAAAACATGAACAATACAGATGAAAGCTAAGATGCGAAAAGGGGGCAAGGGCTTTAGTTTCCATGAATAATACTGTGTAATCTTTCACCCTGTAATGAAAACATGTATTCAGATGATGTGTAATACGTTATATTGAGTTTTTGGATTTAAAAAGCCCCAATAAGTTGATGGTTTTAACTTTGTCCATACAATCATGGATGACTGCTTGTAACACATGACTCCCTTTCCATGTATATATCATGAAAAAATAGCTTAATTAATTGTTTCTGTTTTTATCCCCTTTAATTTAGTTTCCCATGTTTTGGTTAAACTGCTAATGTGGTTTTCAAGTTTTGGTTTTTTATTTTATTTATTTATTTATTTATTATTGGTGATTGCTAAATACTAATGCTTGGGACTAAGTGGATAGTTGCTCCATTGCTAAATTCTAATGTTGGGCCGTGCCAAAACTTAATCGTTGGAATGTGGGGTTTCAGAAATTACTCAAATAATAAAGCGTACAGTGTAAAATGAAAATATGTTCCTAAGGTGATAGAAGACAATTTCAAGGTTCACCCAGTGACTACAGCTGAGTTCCCATATGTTCAAGTGCAAGTTTTACCCAAGTAGTTAAAGACTTGACAACCAATGTCCGGTTGTTACTGGATTTCTTGAGAGCTTCGAGCATTATTGAGTTACATGATGACAAGGTGGGGATGCATTATGAATGGAAGGAATGGATACAATTGCTGGTCAGATTAGACAGATCTAAACTCTGCTTCATGAATGGATGGAATGGATACAACTACGGGTCAGCTTAGTCAAATCTTCTTGAGCCGAAAATTAGGTTTCTCCATCCTAAACGCAGTGATGTGCTCCAATTTCATGGTTTCCGTCAACAACCCACTAGAATTCTCTCACACATTATTCTTAGCTAGAATAATTCATGAAATGACTGCATTGACTTTTTTTTCTTCAATTTTCAATGTACGTTAACTGTTTTTTCCCTCAATCTTCTTCTATTGAAGGATCGCTCAAATAATTCTTAGTTTTTCATTTCTTTCTATTAAATGAAAATATGTTTCATGTGGCAGATGAAAGATCCCTTTAATTGTTAATCCATCATCTAATTTTTCATATTCTTTATGAGTTAATCATACAAATATATTTAAGACATTATGAAACAATAATGTCAGTTGCTGATGAATTCAAAAAAGACAATTCTGCCAATAAAAGGAAAAAGAAAAAGGAAAAAAAGAGGAAAAGAAACTGACACTAGCAGGCATGCAACAAACACTAACCTTAATCGAGTCTGCCAATAAAAGGAAAAAAAAAGGGGAGGGGGGGGGGGGGGGGGGGGAGGAGGGAGGCTAGGTAGCAAAAAAAAATTTTGACAAATAATGTCGATGAAGCTTTGGCAAATAGTAGGCATTAACCTTGAAGAGTTGGAGATGTAGGCATTGACATTGGTGAGAAAAACACGGACGATATTCCCAATTAACTTTAATAAAAAAATGACCGTTCTAGTCAATACATAACCAAAAAGGTAAACATCATCTAGTCAAAATTTTGTTACCAATTTTCTTTTGAGTAAACATCTTGTCCTAATTATGCAGTTTATGTCTAATTATTTTTTGTAGCTTATTGTATGTAATGATTTATTTATTTTTCCAAGAATGTTATGAGTTGTAATAATGTCAAATTATGAATATTGTAATTTATAATTCCAACAAGAATTCTAACGATTTATGAATCAATAATATAAAAAACAAATGTAATTAGATGGATTTAATGTGTTTTCTATTAATCTTATAGCTATTTAAGGCTCACCACTCGTGACGATAATTCCAACGAAAAACAGATAAATGCCATGAACAAGATTGTAATCTTTGCACCCTAAAATCAAGATATGTTTTCAGATGACGTGTAATACATTATAAATTGAAGTTTTAAACCAGTGGTTTTTGTCCATACAAACATGGATGATGTGATTCTTCTTGAAACACATGACTCCCTTTCCATGTATATACCATGGTAAAACAAAATAGTATTATATGCATGACTAGATGATATATAAGATTTGTTAGCTTAATTGTTGCTGTTTTGCCCCCCTTAATTTAGTTTCCATGTTTCGGCTCAACTGCGCCAAAGTGCAGGTAACATTAGTGAAGGGCTGGAATTAAAAGAACTTAATTGTTGGAGTGTGGGTTCTCGGAAATTACTCAAATAAAAGAACAGCAATGTAAAATGAAAATATTTTACTCATCGGATGAAAGATGCGTTTCAACCTCACTAACCAATGTCCAAGGCCGATTTTATATATCTTCAATATTGTTAAAGTACCGGATGCCAAAGTTATGGAATTCGTTGACAGTTTTAAGTATTTGTTGAAGTATTGCATGACAAAGTTATGAATGGATGAAATGGATACAATTGATGTTCAGCTTGTAGCTAATTTAGTCTTGTTATTGTCCAGTTGCTCCTAGCTAAAATAGCCGAATCCAAATTATGTGCGTATCTAGGGTTGTTCCACCAAGTCGACTAGACGATCACAACTTTCTAACGGGGATGTTACCCAAACTGATCATTTTAGTCAAATTAGACCACCCTTGGCATCAAAGTTGTTTAAGCAAAATCAACCAAGATCCAGTTGAAAAGTGCACTTAATTTGAGGGGTCTGTTAAAGTAACAAATAGAGTCGATACTCAGACCATGGCTTGAATTTTGCAATTTTGTACCATAATCCTATTAACATTTATCTTATCATTCCATCTTCTGTTCACGAATTTCTATCATTCTATCTTCTGTTCACGAATTTCTTTTTGTCGTAGACACGCTAAGCCAGCGAGCGCATAACCATGCCGCATTTTGTTTCTATTCCTATATGTCTAGGTGCCCACAATTGTTGCTTCGCAATGATTAAATGAAAATATGTTTCATGTGGCTGGTGATGTCTAGTTAATTTCTCATCTAATTTTAAAAATACGAAAAACAATCATCCCAACTGGAGTCACCAAATATAATGAAACACAAGCGAAACTTCAGCCAATTCGAATGAAACCCATGTTACATGGCGCTACGAAGTGATCAACAAAGCCTATGCACTTTCCTCCTTTTTTTTCAATGGAGCACAAGTGAAGAACAGATAATTTAAGTGATAGTATAGTTTTTTGCAATGGGCTTATAGTGGTTAGGAAGCATTCATCCATGTACCCAAAGTCCTACATTCGATTCGATTCCCTTCCCCAATATCTCTTGTATAAAAAAAAACAAACAAAAGAAAAAGTGTGGACAAATTAAGGAAAATTAAAAAGATAGTAAAGCTTGATGTTCCAAGGCACCCCTAAACCTCTTCTCCCTATCTCCTGTCATATAAAGTAAAACTTATAACCATTCCTGCCGTAGGATAAGAATCGTCAAATAAAAAAGGAATAACTCAAAAGATGTTCCCCTCAGCACGCATGCCAAAGGTAGAAGGTTAAATGCCAAAGTACAATACGGATGCAGGGGCACCAAATGCCATGACATTTTCAGCTTTGGTGAAAAAGTGAACCAAATCCTTCTCATGGAAATGCATCCACACCTACCCAGTGAAACTCATTAAACTAATCACATGTATATCATTTCACATCTCCCAATTGACAAAAGCTTTTTATGAAACTTGTTAAATCAAATCTTGTGTCATCACCACATTTGGGTAGAATCCATTGCACACTAACCATACTATATGTTTCGTAAATCAAAATGTAGTAATGAGAGAGAAAGAGAGAGTAGTTGAAGTCGCATGAAACCCGTGAGCTGTTTCTGCACAAAGGGGTTGGTACCACATATGAACACCATTTGACCAGACTTCCTAGAGTAAGGATCAGCTGTATATACGTATATAATCTCATACTGAAAATTCTTTGACGTGCTAACAATTTTTAAGGGCCTCAACACACACACACACAGAGGTGCAGCCATGTCAGTGGAAGCTTTGGCTATGGCAGGTGTAGACTATAACATGTGTTATATCAACCTTGAAGAGATGGATGGTAGAGACACGGACAATGCACCACAGTATCTTCTAGCCCAGGAAAAACCAAAGGATGAATGAAAGTCAAATGAACGAGAAGAAAGAGTTGATGGTAGAAAAACCACCACAGGAAAAGGAAAATTTGAAAGCATGGGCTACAGTTCCCCACTTTCATGCCGTGGTTATACAAGATTGCCAGGAAGCCATCTAATGAAGTTGAGCATCAGCACTCTTGCGAGACGTTTTGCAAAGTACATCTAATTAGACATCGATTTCAGATTGAACATGTTCTATGTACAGATCTCAAGTGGATTTTTACCACTGAAATATTCTAGTTCTAGTTTTCTCACCACACCACAAATAGAGCTAGCTGTTTGTATTGATGACTGCAACTGAACCTGATTTATTTAAAGGCTTTACTCCATAAAGAAAATTAGAAATCGTACACGAATTTTCTGTGCTTAGAATAACACTCTAATCAGACAGGTCCCATGAACACACCTGTGTATGTTAATGTTTTGTACCTAATCATGAACGGAAAAGAAGGATGCAGACTGAAGCTGTCACTGATAACCAACATAGTGGAAAATAAGAAAAGTATTTTTTATATTCCCCTGGCTTTACCTTTAAGATAAATATTAAAATCAGAACAATGTTGATTACACAATCTGCAAGGTTTGTATTCCATGGCTTGGCCACACTTACAAAAACTTGTATCCACAAGATATACAAATTAACAGTTACAAAATCAAGTAGGGAAAAAAGGGCTTGCAGCAAAAGCATCACAACAGAAAATAAAAATCATGATATTATGATTTTTGGAATACAGATATGCTCCATTCCGGGTTTAACCAAGCTAACCTAACAAAAAGGATATGACATGCTGAAGGTGAGAAAACAAGTATAAAATTATTTATTACCTCATCGCCCACCTGATAACTCAATAGCATCCTGGTTATAAACTGAATCTTCTCCCCAGTCAAATCTCCTCTGTAGTCTTTCATACTCTTGCCTGCGAGTAACCTCAACATTCTGCCATTCTTCCCACCGTTCAGCCAGACCCTCTCCTTCTAGCATCCGTACCACCTCTGACATTAATGGGCGATCTTCAGGGGATCCTTGTGTACAAAGAAGTGCAACTTTGATCATCATTTCTACTTCTTGGATGTTGAAACTATCATTCAGATTGTTATCTACAATAGCATCCAGCCTTTTTTCCCTTTCCAGCTTCTTGACCTTCAAAAGCATATAAAGAAAGAAGTTGCCACAGTGAGTACAAATTCATGCGAAAAATATGTACGCAGTTAAAAGGTCACCATGTGATGTAGGATAAAGGTGAATTGAGTATTTAGGTAATTTAGCGGAAGCGAAAACAATGGAAAACAGAAAATCAAACAAATAAGGATAGGTCTGGAATCACTCCAGGGGCTTCACACCAAGGGGTATGGCTTCACACCAAGAATTCTCCAATCTCTGGAAAATAAGCTTCTCTCATAACTCAAATCTCTAAACTCTCTATAATGAATTATATAGAAGGGGTATTTATAGCAAACTAAAACCTAGGGAGGATAAAAAATCCCTTACTAAACAGAAATCCTAATCCACAAAGGAACCAATCCAAATAAACTAGTAAACTTAAATCAAATCCTACTAAAATCTGGAAATCTAGAGAACCTAGGAAACTAACAAATAAATTAGGAAACTAATCAATAATTTCCTCTTCCATCTCTTTCGCTCCTAAACCCTAATGGGTTTAACAAAGACGTCCTCATCACCATGTTTTCATCCTCAAGAGTGACATTATTTAGTGTAGAGGATAGGTTCTGCACAACTTTCCATATCGAACCTACTACTTAGAATTGGCAACAGTCTTTGACCACACAATATAACTACAAACCCATTTCAGAAGAACTCCCACATCTGTGAGCATGCAAAGTTCCCAATACCATTAAAACAAATTGCAAGAATGTCATTTGCTTAATTTATCTTAACATGCATGAAGACAAATGTCATGAGCAGGCGAATTTTATTTTGCAACATGGAATTATGTGCTGTGAAAGGAACAAGAACTGGCATCCCTAATGACTTAGGGTAATATTTTATTTATTTTCTCATGCTGATACGCCAAATCTTTAGAACTTAGAAAATGATACAGCTAGGTTCATCAATAATGTAATAGATACGCACATACATCCATTCATGCACATATTCTTAAACCAACCATTAATCATAAGGTACGTAATTCATAAACCGCTTCCATACAATTATAGTTCTTTATTGCAACAGATCACGTATAAACATCTAATGGTCAATCAAATATGCATCCATCAAATATGTACCAAGTATCAGTTAAATTTCCAAACCTAGAAACTATATCTCGAAATTCTTGGATAAAAATAAGGTAAGCAATAACCAACAATATCAGTGTCCAAAATGAAGATATCACTACCGCCCTTGTATAAGTTTATTGCTCCAGTTGAAGATATGGTATTTAGAGGAAGGTCTGTTCAACTTATATCTTCAACCTCAACCTTTGCATATAAATGCACACTTGGAGCAGGTAGGGAGAGAGGGAGTGGGACAGAGAAAAAGATATGCAAATGCAGAACAAGTTTAACTTACATGGTCAAGCAACAAAACATCATCTTCTTCTTCCAAGCGTGAAAAATCAATTGCCCGCTGTCCTGTTACAAGTTCTAAGAGCATAATCCCATAGCCAAAAACGTCTGTCCTTTCTGATGACTTCCCAGTGGACAAGTATTCAGGTGCTATGTGGCCCATTGTGCCACGAACTTGAGTTGTCACGTTTGTCTTTCTAACATCCACCAACTTTGCCAAGCCGAAGTCACCAACGACTGCTTCAAAATCTTCATCAAGTAGTACATTAGCAGCCTTAACATCTCGATGAATGATCTTAGGATTACAATGTTCATGTAGGTACTCTAGCCCACGGGCCGTGCCTAAAGCCACCTGCTTTCTTGTGGGCCAGTCCAAAACAGGCTCCCCAGGTTTAATCTCTGAAAAAAAAATTCAAAGCCTGGTAATATCATTGCAAGGCTAGTAATAATGGTGAATAACTCCAATTGACACAAACATTATAGTCCAATTTGTGATCTAATGATGACTTCAAATGCAACTACTAAAACATAGATCAACTTAAACCTTCTCTCTACTATATTAATCAAGTGGAGAAGGTCTTATGACGAACTCAGAAAAACCATGAATTCCCCTCCTACAGTGACTTTGCCATTTATCATACGTAGAAAGGAAAAACAAAGGGAACGAGAGTGTAAAGACATAATTTTACCTATATATCCTAGGTAATATAAATTTATAAATCAACACAAGGAGATAGTTACCAGAATAACCATTCACACAATACAGATTTGACGTATAATAACCCAAAGTGGTAGGAAAAGTCCAAGTAATTGGAGATATGGCATTGTATGCATGTATGCACCACATATGCGTGCACATATCTGGAGAAACCATAAAATGCATGTATCCAAATTGTCACAATTTTACTCCCCAATTCCCCCAAAAATAAAAATAAAAGAAGCTACACCTAATCAACCTGAATTATAACACACATTGCAGCTGTAAATCACATATGAATTGAAGGCGCCATACCTCGTAACCGGTAGGCAACACTTAAATTCTGCATAAAGGGATACACCAAAAGGCGTTCTGTTGGAGTTGTACAAAATCCAATCAGTCGTAAGAGATTCCTGTGAACAGCTACACTTATCATTTCAACTTCACGCTGGAAAGCGGCTTCTCCCCCAGGACTCTCATAATCAGTGAGACGCTTAACAGCAACTTTTGTGTTGTCAGATAGCACTCCTTTATAGACTTTTCCAAAACCTCCCTGTCCTAGAACATTTTTCTCACTGAAGTTGTCTGTTGCTAGCTGCAATTCCCTCCATGAAAACCTTTTTAATTGACCAAATGCAATCCTTCGGTCAACTTCACCTGGGCCCAGCAGTTAAAAATGGTTTTAAAAGCAGAATGCAAAGGAAACTTTGCATGCAATGCATAATAAAAGTTCAATTGCAAATGTTCAAGAACATTAAATGATACAAAGCATATTACAGACACGAAATATTTCTAAATCATATAAAAGATACAAATGGAAACTAAATATAATAGAGTAAGCATCCTTGACATCAACTCTGATGAAACTGATGAATTTCCTGCCCGTGGAAGGAGGTTAAATCAGATAAGTTAAATTTAGACTCGCAACTTAGTTCTCAAATTCACTATCAATTTTACATATGAGAAACTAAGCTGGTAAATTGGGGCCCTCACCCCAGCCGTGCCTTAGGCCATTTTAGCTCTGAATGCCTACCATGATAAAAAATAAAAAATAAAAAATAAAAAAAAGGCTCACCAATCACTTTTAAAATCGTTCAACAATTTCATAACAGCATTATGATACAAATCAACATTCGTATTACTCATCTTAGGATCACTTTTGATATAATCACCTAACTTAATGTAAAAATCCTTCCACGTGAGAATTTGATCAAAGATCAGGATTATTCAGGTCTTCTTTGGCCACTCCTTTTATGGGTATAGGAAGCCTCCCCTTAGAGCAAGTTTTCACCCACACTTCAAGCCTTGTATCCTACCCTGGAAACTCAGCTATCAATGTCATCTGGCCAGTTGCCCCAACTGGACTTCACCACTCTACTTCGGGCAAGAAGAGGAAGGGGTTCACCTGCTCGTTAGAGGGAGTTCAGCTACTGACCGATAGGTCAGGGGTTTAGCTACGGGCTTGTTTAAGCCAGGGGAGAAGTTCTGAATATAGCAGTAACCTATCTCATATTGGGGAGAAGCGTACCGCCTGTGATCAAACTAGAAATTTCATAGGAGAAGAGATCTCGTAGCGTAGAAAAGAAAGGAGAAATTGTTGTCTCACCAAGGCCTTATAGACTGAAATGGTAACTATAAAAATTCCATTGATAAAAATTCTAAAATACAAATTTTACATGACATGTGTCATTCTCTGTAATGATGAGCACCTTTTGGCTCTGATCAATTGACTAGGCACTGCAATTATGAAAGCTTTACATGATACACTTCTCAGTCTCTAATTAATTGTGGAAAAGTATATACCACAAAATGTTTTAAATGGTTTTTCCTTCCCTCATTCAGCGACTTCTGTAGTCAATGGAAGAAATTCAATCTTTCTTGTACTGATTACATAGTTTTTTTTTGTGGCAATCATAGACTTAGTTTATGATCTGATTTATATGGGAATAAGGTTGTTATAGCATTCCCATGTTAATGACTAGTTTCCTATATTACTTTTTTGTTTTTTTCACTTAAATTGTAATACTAAACACGATTTCAATTTACTGTTGCTTAGTTTCAAGGAAAACTATATGAGCATGATATCCACGTGGAATATATTTAAATTCTGGTGTGTGAATCACAGGTTGACTTGGGGTGATTCCAAGGCACTTCAGTGTGATGCCGAAGGCTGGTGTGATGCCAAAAAAATTTCTAATTTCTCTATTGAAACCTTTGTGTAATGCCAAAGGGCGGAGTGAGTCCAGATCTCTTTATTTTTCCTATCATTTCCTATCCTACAGTGTATCTAACATTTTTTCCCTCAAATCTTTTTACTTACAACAGTCAGGAAGCCCTGACCACTTTATCTATTTGTGCAACAATCAAGATTTCCTCATGGTTTGGGATGCACAATGGCCCAAAATGGCTGAAATGGCACGGCCCATTAGGATCGTTCTTGAACAATTCAAAAACCACAACCCAAACAGCTAAACAATTGTAATAGAACTCAAATTTTATGGCACTGATTGGTATTAAATGATACACCCAAAACTAGACTCGGACATATATTCATGGTTCTTTTACGGAACTACCAAGATGTTGAGACAAAGACCACCTCTCCCACCACCCTCAACCTGACCTAATGTGCAGAGGCATAAAATATGATGAACATGTTAATTTAAAGTAACTACCCTAAAGAAGAACTCCTCATGTAACTTCAGTCATGGTGTCATGAACAACCCTAATTTCTTTAACATATAGGAAATCTTATTGATTCATCAGAAAATATGGCTGAATCACTTTAGTGTGCTGATTTCCCAAAATTTAAATCAAGGTTCCATTAATGGGTCAAAATTTAATCAGTTTTATAACTAGAAAGCAAGACATACCTGCAACATCCACAAAAATTTCACGCTTGTAGCCTTTGTGTCTACGCTTGCAGATAAAGTAGAGCAAGCCTCCAAAGAAAAGTAAACCAATAAGCCCTCCAACAACTCCAATTATAATTCCAAGCTTTGGCTTATTTGAAGAGCCTGTCAAGAGTGAGAAAACCTCATCAGTTGGCTCATTCAAAGAAAGGGTAACAGAACAGTTCAATTAACAGTATCATCATTTGACCCATTAACCTGAATCATCAATATCAGATTCACAACGGTGGGAGAGATTTACACCACAGTTTAGGTGGTTTCCTGTAAAACTGCAACAAGCAACACAGATCAAATCATGCTGTAAAACATATGTTGAATATGTGACTCTGGACACAGAGAAAAGCGGAGAGAGAGAAAGCCATGCAGTCAGTTATTGTCAGGAACAGAAACGATGACATTGACAAGTTATTCATACTTGTATTTTGGGACACGAAATAATTGCTGGGGTATTTGACCATGTAGAGCATTGGAGGCAAGCTGACTGCAAAGACAGTTTGAAGTACAGGATCAAATACTGAAGAGATGGGCCTAAGTATACAACTTCACACAGAGAACTTTCAGAATTCCAAAAGCTGGAGAACCAAATTAATTCATTTAGTATAACTTGAATGGACAAACTCTGATTTTTCATATCACATGTACATTGTACAAGAAATGATAACATACAGATTAATCAATTTTGTAAGACTTGAAAATGACTCTGGGATATTCCCGCTCAGATTATTTTGATTCAGAGACCTGTTTGCATCATCAAAAAACCACTGTCAAAGACAAAATTAAGGATGATGCAGAGAGTCATTAGATATTAGTGGAAACTTAAAACAATGCTAATAAAACAACTTACAAGAAATGAAGCTCTCGCAGATTACCAAGGGAAGATGGTATTTCACCGGTTAAATTATTGTCATCTAAATTTAAGGTGGTCAAACTTGTCAGACTTCCAAACTCTTTTGGTATCTCGCCAGTTATGCCATTTCCTTGCAATGCACTGCAAGATGAATGGGTCATATATATTAGAATCATACATATATGCATGCATACATGTCTACAGATATAAAGAATTAATTATTACCCTAGAAAAATAGTTTTCTGATGGTGTCAACAAATCTGTCTCTCTTGGGAATAAGAAGTCATCTCAAAGTTCATCATCCTAAGCTAATATAGAAGACATGCTTTACAAGTATGTACAGTACACAAGTGAAGTCCTATATCATGGTCTGACTCCTCTATGCAAAACATCCTAAGGAAATGGTTTGACTTATATGTAATGCATCAAAGGAAATGAGAGAATAATAAGAATCCATGATATAAAAGAAGTTGAGGGCATCATAAGGACAAGATCTGGAACATGGTATGAAATTGAACACATTTCCATGGAACAAGTTCATAGAGACCTAGAACACATGGTGCAAGAGCGAATTGATTCAAGCAGAAGAAGTCAAAAGGCAAAGACCAAAATTAACATGGATAGATTGAGATGGACGAAATATAATCTATCTTATTCTTTGGACCAAAATAGACAATTGATATGGTCATCAAAACTGTAACATAAAATATGCCTAAGGTAAGGAGCACATGTTCTAACCAAATTACCTGGAACAAGGATTTTTTTTTTTAAACTCACCCTCAATTAGTTCGTAAGACGCTTAGTTGAGTTATGAAATATAGAAGAAAAAAATAATTATAAATATATATATGTGTGTTACAAATCTTTACATTGTCATACTCCAGAAACCATAGTCTGTCAACAATTACCTTACCCATAAAGCATGTGATTTAGAATTGCTGAAACCTAAGCTAAAAAAACAAAATTTACTTTAATAACTTGAGTAGAGAACCAAAGTTGCTGTCAATGGATCTAATGATGCATTGATATTATTTTTTCAGTTGCCCTAAATTGCATGAAACATAGTGTTAAAAGCAAAAAATTTATAGGTGAGCACAAAATATAGGAGATTAGATTTCTTAAAAGACAATATCAAACTATAGATTTTGAGTATCCATGAGCTTCGATAACAGTGCTTGTTATAGAAATGGCTCCAGAAGATTATACAGAAATTCGGATAAACAGCACTAGAATTCTCCTTACTCACAGTGTTTGAAGAGTTGTCAAGGCTCCTAATTTAGGGGACAAGATGCCAGAAAATCCAATATTTGACAATGTTCTGCCCAAAAAAAAGGGGACAAAACAAAGCATAATTAGTAATAAGGCAGTAATATATGCAAGTAAGATGAATTTCACATTGTAAAGTGATTTTTTGGAAATGCATCATGACATAAACAAGGGATGTCTTACACAGAAGTGACTTTATTGTTAGGGTCGCAATTCACATTGGACCAAGTGCATGGATTAACTTGGTTAATGTTCCAGTCCTTGAGCTGTTCGGGTGAACTATTCAATGAAGTCCTCAATGAATAGAGTGCCTCTCCTGAAACCAAAAAAATATCATATATTCACCATCCAATCAAGCAAATGTTCCAACAGAAATGCACTACTTCTTTACATAATTACTGAAAAATAGAGTCAACAAATGAAAGTAAAAGATACATAACATATTCTACCATACAAAACCCTCAAGACAGTCCACTAACCCTCTGGATCATCTTTTTATAATTTCCCAGAGAGAGCAACAGAAGAGAGAGAGAGAGGCAGAGAGGAAAAAAGTTAAAATATTTTAATTGCATTGATGTCACCATATTGTAATACATTGCAGTATACAATGCTAGACTCGTTTATATTAGTATTGGTTATGATGATGAGTAAACAACAATTGAAAAAATGGGAAGAAGTTGTGCATACACATAACTACAGAAACGTACCTTGTGAATCAGGCAATGCAAAAGAGCACAAGCAAGCCAATACCAAAACTGCAAAAATTAGCTCCATCTTCAACAGTATCCTTTTTGCTAGTTATGAATGCAATGAAATGCATGGTGATCAAGGAACGCTTGAATCAAACCCATATCTGTGAAAAAGAAAACAAATTACTTCATTCAGTCATAAGTATACATATAAATAGTAGAAACTAAAATAGATAACAAATTTGGGGCAAGCCTATGTTGAAGATCTTTTATCATTTGCCAATTGCCATCCTACCAAAGCAGTTCAGTCCGGAAACCGAAATGCAATTTAATGGATATCGATATGCGTACAATTTCTTGGCAGAACCTCTTCGCACCGATCTTATACCATGCGTTGTTATTTGTCTATTCCTCAACATATCAAAAGTCAAAGGGAGGAATCAAACTCCCAACCTAGTTCAATGTTGGGACCTCAAATACAATATTTTCTGGTTATTTCATGAGCGGACTTTTTCTTAAGGACCAAATATTAATATTACAACGGATTCCATTCTTGTGAACGAAAAAAGGGGTAATGTCATCCTGTAGCAGTTTTAAGTGCACAATTTGAGAGAGTTCATTTGTGATATGCTTCCGTCTCTCTTGGGATCTCCTTGTTTGGTTTACCACATCATGTTGGCTGTCATATTCTCAGTTATCATTCAAATATTGCAAGCAGTAGCAGAAATATTACTAATTCCAATCACACAAGGAAGAAAACGACACAACAAAAAACCAAAAGAGGCCCAAAGCTTCAAAAAAAAATTTATAACAAACTACTCAGGCCAGAAACAAACACAAAAATCAGAACCCACAAAATGATTCAAATCAATACATCAAAATGGGGGAAATAGGAGAAAAACAAATAAGCCCTTACTCCATTCTGCAGTTTCGGATTCCAGAGAAAAAAAAACAAAAAACAAAAAAACTTTTTTTCTTTTTCCCAGGTCCCAATTAAATGTTTCAAAATTCAAATTTTTATTATTTCCATTCTCATGACCCCAGCAACCAAACAAGAGTGAAAAAGATCCTACAACCATGTATGTAAATAACCAAAAACAAAAGAAAGCAGCTGAAGAAGAAGAAGAGAAGCACCTTTAAAGAGGAATCAGGAAGCCATGGCAGAGATTTGGAATATAAAGTAAGCCCAGAAGCTATTTAGCTGTCTCCTGTGTCCCAACTTGACTGGAAGAGTTGAAAGACCAGTGTTCACAGGCTTTGCCGAGCAGCAAATCTACAAAGAGTCAAAGAGGCTTCTCTCTTCTGTCTTCTGGCTTTTTTGCTTCTCTATAAATTTCAATTTAATCAAAGCATTTTCTAATTTACCTTGGAGAAATAAATAAAACTCACAATAATTTATTGCTCCATTGTTGTTTCTGTAACGGTTCTAACTTCGCCAACTAGTAACGCAAGAAGAAAAATCCCACCACTCGTCTGTCTCTCTCTCCTCCTCCTCTCGAGTAGTTGCCAGACAAATGGGCCTCTGTAACTGTTCAATGGGGACCCGCTGACATGATAAGTCTTCGGTAAAGACCCATCATTTTTTATTTTTTATGGCGTGGAAGATTTATTTGTGACAATTATTTAGTTTGACTAGCAAATAAACAATTATTTTATTTAATAAATATCAAATAAAATATATTTTGCTTTCTTTTTCCCCTCACTTGCAGTCAAAATGGAACTCCAGTCATTTCTTTTTACTTTCCATTTGTGAAGCATTTCCAATGCTAAATAATAAAAATTCCCTCAAATCTCTGTAAGAAGTCCCTCTTATCCTAGAAATATCATTTTATCACGTGTTCCCCCCAAAAACTGCATTCCCCTCGTACTTTTTTTTCTTCAAATTTGAGGGATTCCCAAACATCAACTTGATTTTTAGATTTTAGGGAAATTTTTAGGAACTCAACAAATTTTTGGAACGCATACGCATTGATGTTTTTCTTTTCACCCAAATTTAGTTTTGAGGAACATATTTGGAGATGTTTTACGTCATACCTTGCTTTCGTTTTTAAATTTATCATGTCACTTGCGCTAAAGCTATGAGTAAAAATGTCTTATACACGAAATCATCCCCATTTAGATGAAAGGATTCCAAATATGCACATTCTTTGTGCAAATTTGCTCCTGGGAGAATATTTGCGAATGAATCTTCTCTCTCGAACATTCCTCTATTAGATTCCCTGCAAGACAAATGGCGGTCAATGGAGAACCACCGGTGTGGTGTGCAGTGGCGGAGCCAGGATTGTATCTGTGGAGGGGCCGAATCGTAATACAAGTATAGAAAAAAAATTCAATCTTACATCAATAATATATATATATGAAAAAATGGACATTTTTTAAAACTTCATACTTAATTTCATGTATCAAAACGGAAAAGTTTAATGATAAAATTTTATTATTATTTTTTTTTTCCCCTTTTTTTTTTTTTTTTTTTTTTTTTTTTTTTTTTATTTTCTATTTCTTTTTTTTCTATTCATTCCCGGTTTGATTATTAGAGGATTAATACTTCCCTTTTTTTTTAATGTCAGTTGTTGTAATGGGCCTACAAACAATTTACATATAATTATAAATGAAGTTATTTATGGATTGCAATTGGGGGGGCCATTAGAATGGTTATATGGTTTGCATTGTTAAATATATGAACTAAAACCCAAGCTTTACTGCATTGAGAACAAATTGTGGAGGGGCCAGGGCCACCTCAGGCCCTAGTGTACCTCCGCCCCTGGTGGTGTGCCCAAGGATCCTTCGATGTCTAAGTCAGTAATATGATCTCCGTAAATGCATATAATACAGAAAGGATGGAGATATTTATCTACGGGAGAGATGTAGCTTGGGAATGGAGTAGATAAGAGAGGTGGCAATAGCCTGAGCTGGTCAGCCACGAGTATGAGAGCAAGGGAGAATTTCGGCTAGAGAGAGAGAGAGAGAGATAGAGTAATTTTAAGGTAAAAATCTGATTGAGAGAGGAATTTCCAATTGAAATAGAAATTCGAGATTACCTTCCTTCTTTTCTCCTCCTGCTTAAATAGCATTCCTTCCTTATAACTTCTTCTTTTCCATTTATGGAGGCAATAATTGAGAATCCTTTCCTGATTAATGGAGTTGAGGGAAGTTATGGAAGGAAATAAATGGATTGAGGGAATTTATGAAATTTATTCCCTCAACTTAAATTGGTAACTCCGATATTAAATATATTATTAAATTAGAATATTAATGTAAATAATATATTTTAGAATTTGTCTTCTTTTCCACGTGGCGCCTCTTGATTGGTCGTCGAATTTATTCGTTTCCACACGCATTAGATGAGATTATAACATAAACTTGTTTGGTTAATTTTAAAAAATGGCCAAAGGGGTCTAGTCCAGTGTAAAAGGGTCTTCACTTGTTTGGTTCAAATCACCGTGGCATCATAATTGTGTGTGTGTGTTTGAGAAATCTCACACCCTATAGTCTAAACCTTTATTACAGACATTACTTTTCTAGGAAAAGAAATTCCAAGTCACAGAAGCTCCCACACTATCAGATATAAGGAATCATTAGATGTACACTACCTAACTACTGAATGATATACAATTTCCTATAGTGATATTATGAAAGTTATTTACATAAACCTTTCATCTTGCTCATTTTACTTATGTTGTTGCGATCTATGAAAACTCACTCACCAATCTTTACAATTATAAAGCCAAACTTCTTTTTAAGGTCACCGTCCTTTATATAAAATATACTTTTCAAAAATCTATTGATTGGCCTTCTAGTGCTAATCAAATTATGTGTAAATTAAGCTACTTCTTTTGCCAAAGTATAAATTAAGCCACTTCAATATGATGAAAAATTTGAAACCTTGTTTATGCAATGATTTTTTCTGTGTCACTTTCAAGATCAAGTATGACTCAACAATTGTTTGATGTATAGAACTACACACACAAAAAAAAAAAAAAAAAAAATAAAAAAAAAAAAAGAAAAAAAAAAAAAAAGTGGCACTATTATTTGGTGACTAATAATGGTGACTGTTGCCACTTTTTTTGTTTTTTGTTTTTTTTTGGTAGTGAAATGGTGAAGTATATGTGGGTTAGGTCAGTTGATTAAGACATTGTGCATACTTTCTTACACTTGAGTTCGATTCTCATTCTTGTACATTAGAATAGTTAGAAGATCAATTTGTCAAAAAAATAAATATAAATATATGAAAAATTGTCAAAAGTTCAAGAAGTAATTAGCTGTATTATTGGACAACTATTGGCATGACTTTTTTTTTCCCCCAAAACAAAGAGAGTTATACTAAAGACGAATAGCAAAGTTTACATCACTTGAGAGTGAGAGTGTTGAAAGCAGTCGAGCAAGCAAGCTTCTCCATGAATATTTTCGTCTCCTTAGCCAACCGACAAGGATGTGGCCAGTCTTTGATGGGTATAAGCCAACAACGACTGATTTGCATGCCAGAAGTGAAAGTTGGACTTTATTTTGCTCAAGAATTGATTACAAGGAATTGGATGCACAATTTTCTTTTGATTTCAATTACAGATTCCTCTGTTGTTCTCATTATGATCCATAATTCCCATAAATAAATAAAAGGTTCAAACCAAAAACCTAACTACAAATATTGTTTTGCCATGCCACTATGGCAAATTCATAAATTAGGCCAAAGAGAGTGCCTTTTGAACCACTTGCCGCAACTTTTAATTCATTTGACTATTAGTAGTGTGCCCCCATTCACTATTAATTAATTTGACCATATGCATGCTAGAGGAACAAATACAATGCTACTCTAGCTAGGAATTTATCATCTTTGTCAACTTCTCAGCTAACACATGCAAGGATGAGAAAGAGATTCAACTCACTTAGACACAAGTTGCATTTTTTTCCACATAAACTATATTTAGTTGGTGATAAGATTCCCAAGGTACGATTCATACAATATAATGAAATCAACCCCATCGTTTACAAAAATAAAAGAAAAAGGATAGTGCGTAGCCCCGTCAATCTCATCATATCAACCCTCATCTTTGGTCCAATACCAAATTCTAGCTCCCTAGCTCCTTATCTCCCAAAAAATCCTTTTATAGTTGTTTTCACTTTGAGGGAGAAGGAAGCCACTGTTCTTCCTCCCATCTCCCCTCTTTTCTTCCCCCCTCTCTTTCCTTCATTTTCAAAGATAAAAGGTTTTCCCTCTTTGTCTTCGTTTTATTATGATTTTCCTTCAACCATCACAGACGACTATGTCTCAATCGGTGTCGGATCTCCACCTACGTTTCGGCATCGGATATTCATCACCATCCTTTTTGAGTTTTTTTATGTTCGGAATAAGTCACAGAGACTTTTTGGGTTCTCTGTGTAGTTTTCACCTCTCATTTCGCTAGAGCTTTTCACCTCTCCTTTGTGAGAGTTTTATTTGTATTGTTATGACTTGGTTTTTGTAAGCTTTATCTTTTTATGATTATTTAGAGTTTGCAATCTTAGTTAGGATGTCTATGCCAAAGTTTATTCGGTCATGCGTGATATTTAATGGAGGCGCATCATATTGTCTTAATTTTGATGTTAGGCTGCTCCATTATTGTAATGGCCCTTTGTTGTGACTAGTTTGTATTGGTCATTTGTGGCTAATGGTTTTTTTGGCTAAATTATGAATGTAATTCTAAAATTTCTCAAAAAAAAGAAAAAGAAAAAAAAGAGAACAGTCAATCATGAAGATACTCCATTAACGGCTATAAACCTCCCTCATTTTAAAGTCTTTAAAGGCATGAGACCCCTTGGTTTTTTCAAGTATACAGAAAATTTCATAGAGTATGAATCCCATGATAATAAAGAATTAGCTCTGGAGCTATGGTCCGTGAACTTTGTATCAACTTTAGCTTTAGTCCCACAACTTTCAAAATTGCTTTCACAGTCCCTTAACTTCACTTTCATTTGTAGCAAAGGTCCTGGAGTAACTTCTATTACTTCTTTTCATCAAAATGAGTGGTGTATTGGTCCTTTTAGGTGGGTTTTTTAGTTTCCACCAACGTGAATCTCCTTTTCCATCTTTCTTCCTTGGCATGCTCTGGTTCTTTGACCTTCAAGTTTGAGAAAAAGAAAATAACAAAAGAATCCCCAAAACACATCTCTTTCCTGTCCATTTCCCAACCCGATATTAACAACCCACAACCAATATTATTGTAACCAGGGTAGTGTTTTACTTCTAGAATTTATAATACATTCAAAAAAATTTCGCACAAACAAAAAGTAGTTAAAAAAATTTTATGGGCAGTGTTCTTCGACCTCTAAGTTCATATATGCCCTCATTGGTGGAACTTTCTGCATTTGTCACTGTTCACCGCCACTAATAGAATCAAATCATACTCATTCCCCATATCAACCTCCCAGCCCTCACACTTCTCCAAATTCTGCATAAATATGAACTTAGACTTGCGAGCCTGAGACCAGTAGCAAACTCATTAAGGCGCAATGAGGTGCAGTGCACCTTCTCTAGCCGAAAAGACCATTATAGTTGCTTCAAATTGTCCCTTTGCTCAGCTGATGGTGGCACACTCTTGGTGTACAGATTACCTTATTTCCATTTTCAGCTTTAATTAAATGTTTTTGTCCTTTTACTTTCATTTATTTTTATATTACTCCATTTACTTAAGCTTACAATGTAAATAAGGAAGTACCCCCATTTGGATTCAAATAAAAATATTAGAAAATCAAATTACCACCAAATCAAAATACGAAAAATCGGTTTTAGTGCAAAATACGATTTATGCTAAAAATTATGGCTCATTAAGTCAATATATACTTCATACTAAAATCTCATAAAATCAAGTTTTCTTATTTGATGTGTAAGGAATAAAAGCCGTCAAAAATTATCTTGAGAAAATGATTATTCTGAAAAACCATTTTTCATACATAGTCAATATTTTTACATAAAACAATTTTTCATGTATGATATGAATGCATGAAGAGACCTAAAGTCAATCTAAGTACGTAAAAAGTATTAAATGTTCAATCCACAAAGAGTGTTTATCCTTTCATAATTGCACATAAGCTAAAAAATTCATGAGTCCGTCAGTGCCTGAGACTGAGCCCAAACACACACCTACACCTACATCTCATCACAAAATCTTCAATCTCTAAAGAAGATGGGGACCCTGGGCAAAGTAATCTACACCGTTGAATTTGGGATTCATGAGACCGACCAAGCCATTGATCGCCTTGGTTCCCGCCTCCAGGGCAACTACTACTTCCAAGAACATCGTACGCCTCCCAATTCTTCTCCTTCAACTCAATTCCTCCAAACCCTAATCTGCATTCGCACGCTCAAATGCACAATTTTGATTATGTTGCTTTTGTTTATCGAATCAAATTTTTGAGATCTATGAGGGGTTGGGTTTTGCATGATTTTTTAGATCTACTTGGAAGAGGAGATTGACGTTGACGGAAAGAAGTAACATGAGTTACTCCAGAGCCTTTGCTATAAACGAAAGTAAAGGTAAGGGATTGTGGAAGCTATTTTGAAAGTTGCGGGATTAAAGCTAAAATCGATGCAAAGTTCAAGGACCACAGCTCCTAAAAATCTTAAAGAATTTTACAACGATCTTCAATCATATAATTTTTGCTTTCCTCTGTAATGGTTTGTCTTAATTTAGAGAGTATCAAGCGACACCGTTTTGTGCACATCATACAAATAAAAGGCGACAGCCAAGAAACATAACCGTTAGAGAATCCCATGTTCATGCTCAGACACAAACCCATCCACCTCTTCAAACGCGTTCCCTCCTCTCTTCCATTTTGCTCATTCTCTGCTTCTAACTACCTTAACTGTCAGCTTGACTCTTTCCTCTCCAACCAAAATTCAAATCTCCAATATCTCTCTCAATCCCATGCTCTCATTGTCACTTCTGGAAACTCAAACAACATCTTCATAGCCGCAAAGCTAATCTCTCTCTATGCGTCTCTCAGCAAACCCACTTTTTCCACCAAAGTTTTTGGTTCAGTTTGTCCCAAAGACACCTTTCTTTGGAACTCCATAATCAAAACCCATTTCTCCAATGGCGATTACTCAAAAGCCCTTGATTTCTTTTTCCAAATGCGAGCTTCGGGTTTCGCTCCTACCCAATTTACTCTTCCAATGGTCGTTGCCTCCTGCGCCGAGCTAATGTTGCTAGAACATGGCAACAATGTTCATGGGTTGGCTTCAAAACTCGGGCTTTTCTCAGGTAATTCGGCAGTTGGGTCTTCGTTTGTGTATATGTATTCAAAGTGTGGTCGAATGGAGGATGCATATTTTATGTTTGAGGAAACTACTGTGAGAGATGTGGTTTGTTGGACCGCGCTTATCATCGGGTATGTGCAGAATGATGAGAGTGAGAAGGGTTTGGAGTGTCTTTGTGAGATGCATAGGGTTGGTGGCTCTGATGAGAGGCCAAATTTTAGAACATTGGAAGTTGGGCTTCAAGCTTGTGGGGATCTGGGTACTCTGGTAGAAGGTAAATGCTTGCATGGTTTTGTAGTAAAAAGTGGAATTGGGTGTTCCGAAGCTGTTAAATCTTTGCTTTTGTCCATGTATTCCCGATGTGGGGCACCTGGTGAATCTTATCTTTCGTTTTGTGAAATAAAAGATAAAGATCTTCTATCATGGACTTCAGTTATTGGTGTTTATGCCAGATCAGGTTTAATGGATGAATGCTTAAGTTTGTTCCAGGGAATGCAGGTCAGTGATATTTTCCCAGATGAAATTGTAGTCAATTGCATGCTTTCAGGATTTAAAAATTCCACAACTATCAACGAAGGAAAGGCCTTCCTAGGATCAGTCATAAGGAAAAACTATGCACTGAGTCAGATGGTTCATAGTGCACTGTTATCCATGTACTGCAAGTTTGAGTTATTGACTCGTGCAGAGAAGCTCTTTTTTGGAATGCAGCATCAAAACAAAGAGTCTTGTAATACTATGATTTGTGGCTATGCTAAGATGGGACTACATGTAAAATGTATAGAACTGTTTAGGAAGATGCAACATCTAGGCATTGAAGCTGATTCTAATAGCTCGGTCTCTGTGATTTGTTCGTGTTTCCTGTTGGGAGCAATCCATCTTGGGCGATCACTTCATTGCTACCTAATTAAGGTTTCTATGGATGAAAATATATCGGTAGCCAATTCACTCTTAGACATGTATGGAAAAAGCGGTCATTTGAACATTGCAAGGAGAATTTTTAGTGGGACACAGAGAGATATTATAACATGGAACACAATGATCTCATCTTACACTCACGCTGGACATTCTGCCGAGGCTATAGCCCTATTTAAAAAAATGATTGCAGTAAATTTCAACCCCAATTCAGCAACATTGGTAACAGTGCTTTCAGCTTGTTCTCATCTAGCATCTCTGGGAGAAGGTGAAAAGATTCACAGTCACATTAAGGAAAGACGACTTGAGATCAATTTATCTCTTGCCACTGCATTAGTTGATATGTATGCAAAATGTGGGCAGCTTGAGAAATCAAGAGAACTGTTTGACTCAATGGAAGAGAGGGATGTCATTTCTTGGAATGTCATGATCTCAGGTTATGCAATGCATGGACATGCAAAGCCTGCATTAGAAATTTTCCGCAAGATGGAAAATTCAAATGTTAAACCAAATGAACTCACATTTCTTGCTCTTCTCTCAGCCTGTAATCATTCTGGACTTGTTGAAGAAGGGAAATATCTGTTTGGTAAAATGCAAGATCTTTCTCTGAAACCAAATTTGAAGCACTATGCTTGTATGGTAGATATTCTTGGAAGGTCTGGTAATCTGCAAGAAGCTAAAGATTTGGTTCTGTCAATGCCTATTCCTCCTGATGGTGGCGTGTGGGGGTCGTTGTTAAGTGCCTGTAAGATTCACAATGAAATTGAATTGGGTGTAAGGGTTGCCAGGCACGCTATAGAATCTGATCCAGAAAATGATGGCTATTATATAATGCTTTCTAACCTGTATAGTTCTGTTGGAAGGTGGGAGGAAGCTACAAATGTGAGAAAAATGATGAATAAAAAGGGCATAGGAAAGACACAGGGTTGGAGTGTTGTCTAACTTGTGTAATCGAGAGAAACGGAATTTTTTTACTAGAGAAGTAATCAGGATCTACACTGACAGAAGCAAAAAAATTCAATCCTTGTATGTCCTGAATTTTGGTCCACCGGCAAAGAATGTGGCTACAACTGCTATTGAACTAATTTAGATTGCAGGTAACATTCTTGTTTAATGCACTGGACTACTTTTTAACCTTTTGATACTAGGCTGTTGGAGATACTGCAGAGAGATACATGCATTATGGAATAACTGTTATGCTTTGTTAGCAGATAGCTGTGCTGCCTACTGGTTGTTTGGTAAGTGCTGCTCTTAGAACAAACTGGTTTAATATGGGGATATTTGGTCTGTAGTTTCCTAAAAGCTTTATATATAGATCTTTATTGATCTGAATTTAGTTGCTACATAAAAGTTCACTTCTGTGGTATGCTGGTGTTTCTCTTGAAAACAGCTTCCTTGTAAAAAGCAGTACAATGTCATCAAAACATAAATCTACTTCATTTCTCTAGTAGAAATTGTGATAATTTTTCTTTTTCCTACTTCCTCTTTCATCTCACTAGACTTAAAACCAAAGCTATACACTGCTAGGGCTGTGTTGACCATAATCATTGTTAATAATTCGAACATGTGACCTCGAATGCATGGGTACCTGCTCTAGAAAATGACAAGACGAGACACAGCGTTTTGACTTCAGCGTCCTAAGCCAGCAAGCAGACAAACTAAATCAAAAGTAGGTGACTTAACACTCACAAAAGTGATCAATGTCATCAATTTCGACTTTAAATCATTGTTAACAAACTAAACAGGTCACCAACGTTGGGTCAAAACAAATGGCCTGCTTTCAACCCAAAAATAAAACAGGTGGCCGTGGAAAAGAAAAAAGAAACATTATTTTGATGTGGACATCTATCCACAAAGATTGATTCTAGCAGCTGCTGCTCCTCATTGGTCTGGTGTTGTGTAAAACGTATTATTTATTGATTATCTCTAACCACGTCTCAAACTCGATCATTATCTGCATCTGCACGCATCTCTCTACTAATAACGAAGTTGATAGGCTGGTCGGCTATGTTTTTCTACACGATGCCTTTTTTTCCTTCGTAATTCATTTGAAGAGTCGTTTTATTATAACTTTTTTTTTTCCTTTTTATCGGTTACAAGGAGGGCCGAAGCCCAAGAAAAGACCAGAAAGAAAACTGCAGTGGGACTAGCCTAGCAGTGGTCATCCTAACAGAATCATTTGTCAAGAGGCTTACAATAAAAGGAGGGGGAAGATCAACAACATGATAACCCAAATTGGAACTTTGATCCATATGTGCCATATGGTCACCAAAAATGTTTTGTTCTTTATAAATATGAGAAATGGAACACTCCTAATCACACAAAAGCATGTCTTCGCAACTATAGATGAGGCTAGAGAGAGGGTGACAATCCAAAAATCAAAACTTTTGAATTACAAAACTTTGTTAACAATCAAAACTTCTGAATTACAAAAGCACTTTTTGTGCTTTTTTAACAGTCACTTGGAATTTTTAATCTAACATGTTTATAATAAAAGCACTTATAACTGAAAGCGTTTTCTACAGAAGTAATTCCAACTTCAAACACCATCCAAAAATTCATAAAGGCGTCTCTTCATAAAGCATGCAAATGTTTATTCTTAAGAAACAATTTATAAAAAAATCTTTTTAGCTAAGGACTCACTAGTATAGTAGTTTGGAGAAATTGATCCCCATTAGAGGTCCTGGATTCTAGTCATAGCATCTGTGTAGTGTGCGTGATCGCTCCTCTCAATATAAAAGGTCTTTAAAAAAAACATATTTTAAAAATATATTTCAACTAAACACTATAAAAATTGTTTTTAGTTTGTAAAAACATTTTTGACGAGTTTTTATTACCCGCACCGGTTATATATAACTAGCCTCTCCGCATGTGCTTTCGCGCCTGTGAGAGGCTTTTTTTATTTTATTTATATTTATTTATAATTTATAATTTATTTTAGAATTAAAAAAAGATAATGGGTAGTTATATTCTATAAAAATATGATTAATTATCTGATTTTTCATTTAATTTTAATTTTTTTAATATGAAAAAGTGTGAATTTACCATATTATTCTCATTTAATTAATAATTTCAATTCTTAATATTTACATTAACTAATGATATTTTCTAGTATTTTAAATATTTTATCATTCTCTGACTTTTATTTTATATATTTCGCTGATCACGTTATAAAAGCACCTTGGCCCACGCATTAAGTTTTTCATGTGAAAAACAAAGGAAGTAGGCACAACGATGTGACAACATGAGACATCAGCAACGGACAATGTCAAGTGCTGTTATTGCTCTGTGCCATCCCACACACGCAACAATGCTAATATTTAAAACTAATTGCCTTTTTGGGGCTGCGGGGTTGAAGCCCATCTTCGTTGATGTTGTAAATGAAGGTCAATCTTCATCATAAAGAGTCCAAGTGTTTTAATTCAATTAATCAACGCCGTTGAAAAAAATTTACAAAGGCAAAAAGTCAACAGCTGGAAAGAAGCTTCTGTTTGGCAACCAAATTCTCAATAGTAATTGGGTTTAGGGTATGCCATTTATGATGTTGTGTGTCAAATTTTTATTGCAGGTTTAAGTACATTTACTTATGGTTATTTATTCGGGGATTTTAATTATTTTTTGGGTTGTGCGCATTATCTCAAGATCAATTTAATTTGTTGTTGCATTTAGTCACTGAAAAAGTTGTATATATATTCGGTACTTTAGTTGCTTTGTACTTGTTTTTGTTTAAATTATTAATAAAATATTATCGGTCTTTTATCCCAAAAAAAAAGTAATAAGGTTGTTTGAAGGATACAATCGTGAATTTCGATACATGCTATAAACAAAAAAATAATAATGGGATTTGAGGGAAGGATGAAATTGAAGCACGTGCAAGACGACATGAATTAAAAAACTAAGTTGGAGGACTAAAATAAAAACCGGATACAAGACCAAGAAATCCCTAATGGCATTTGCATACAAATCGCTGAAACTCCAAAATGGAATAAACGTTTGCTATGAAATTGTATTATGTAGGGATTAGGGGCAAGCCTCTTTATTAGTTTCACATTTTTTCTGGGGTTGGTAGACGAATATTCTTTCTTTTATTAAAAACGAATGACAAATTGAGATAATAACTATAATCATTTTTCAAAGGAGGAAATGCATTTACCACTTTGTAACAATCTATGCAAAGTTTCCTTCATAGTTTTTTTTTCTTTTTCTTTTCCTATCTATTTCTATCTGTACTATACTAGAAAGAGAATCCTCCCCATAAATCTTGATATAGAAAATGTAAATGATACTCTTATTACATTTTTGTTTGACATTTGCACTAAATTGTTTTGTCAATAAAATTTCTTGTTTATACTCATTTCAATTTGTAAAAACAATTACCAACTAGCCTTAACTAAGGTCATGGTAGACTAACCACAAAGCATGCGAATAGCACGTAGATTATTTAATTGACTTTTGTTATCACTCCCATATAGATAGTGGCAAGACGATATATAATTATGATAAGATTCGATACTTTTAATTTGACTAACTCCATTATAATGGTGTAATTTTGTTATAGATGTATTGGCCCGTTATGAAAATAGTTTGTAAATATCACAAAAATACTCATATTAAGTGCCATAATAATCATAACCCACTTTTAAACCATTGAAACGAGAAAAAAACGTGTTGATTTTCAATTTGCTCCTCCTCCACTGTAAAATAAAGACAGAGAAAATTCCACATTTCCCTTTTTTTATCTTTTTAATTTTTATATCCCGCCCTTAACAAACCATATAAAGCCTCCTTGTCGCTATGTAATAAGATAGGCCGGCAGCTAGGCTCCGCCATTTCCATAAGCCTCTCTTTGACTCTCCAACTCTCGAACTCCCACCATTTTCTTCTTCTTCTTCTTCTTCCACGACCTCAAAAATGCCGGGCTGCTTCAGCTTGACAGCGTTGCGCGACCGCTGCTTGCGCTACTCCTTCTCATCGCACGGCCTAAAATCGACCACCACCGATTTGGGTGAAGGCACAATCATGCACTGCTGGGTCCCCAAATCCCACTCCCAATCCAAGCCTACGCTGGTCCTCATCCACGGGATTGGCGCCAACGCAATGTGGCAGTGGCACGAGTTCGTCGCCCCTCTCGCCGCCCGCTTCAACCTCTACATCCCGGACCTTATCTTCTTCGGCGACTCCTTCTCGACCCGACCCGACCGCTCCGAGAGTTTTCAGGCCCAGTGCGTCGTGGGCCTCCTGGAGGCCCACGGGGTGAAGAAAATGAGCGTCGCTGGGATTAGCTATGGTGGGTTTGTGGCCTACAGCATGGCGGCACAGTTTGGGGAGCGGATAGAGAGGCTTGTCTTATGCTGCGCCGGGGTGTGTACGGAGGAGAAGGATATGGAGAAGGGGATGTTTCAGGTGAGGAGTGTGGAGGAGGCTGTGAGTATTTTGCTCCCTCAGAGGCCTCAGCAGGTTAGGCAGCTGCTGAAGATCTCTTTTCACAAGCCTGCTAAGAATGTGCCCTCTTGTTTTCTCAATGATTTTATTGAGGTAAGCAAAACTTTCTGAACCCTCCTTTTTTTTTTTCTCTAAGAATGAAATTGCATGTGTCTCTATGTGTGTTTTGGGGTGTTTAATTTGTTGGGTTTAATTCAAAAGAGCAAATTGGCCTAAAAAAAAAAAAAAAAAAAAAAAAAAAAAAAAAAAAAAAGTTTCTTTGGCCTAATGCAAGTTAATATAGTTGATGCATTGTACAAACATACATTTCAGTACCATATGTATCTGGTTTGAATATTCACAGGGTATCTGGGATCATACATGAATCATAGCCAAATCAATTGTCAATTGGCTGATTCGTTTTCATAAGAAACAAGATAAAATGATGCTTCAAAACTGTGAAACTAGCATCTAATCAATCATGGGAAGTGATATTTGTGTTTGGTGGAACACAACGAAACCCGTTTTGGTCCTGTTTGTAGGATGTAGATGGTGAATTCAGATTGACTCGTGCACATAATCACTTTCATCTCTTTTGCCAATAATTTCTTTTTTGCTCTATCACCAACAGATTGTATCTCTTTTGTGTATTTTGGACTATGTTTTGCCTCACATAAAAGTATCATCACAGACACAGAGCTTTCCTCTGTTATTCAGGGATATGTGTCAATCCTAAGTGTCAATGGGAAAATCTTTAGGCTGCCAGAGACTACAGTTCATGGTCATAAAGTGCTCAAAATATTGTTTGTTTACCGTTGATTCTGTAATGCAGCGGCAATCGTGGTGCAAGTCCTGTTTGTTCATATTAAATGAAGATGTTCTTCAATATTTCTCATTACCGAATATTATAGGCGATATAGTAATTTCACCTGAAACTTGTCTTATGAGTTTCGGTTGACTGGCAGGTGATGTGCACAGAACACCTTCAAGAGAGGAAAGGATTGATTCAAGCATTGCACAAGGACAGAAAATTGTCTGATCTTCCCAAGATATCCCACGTAATTTTCTAATATGTTTTGCATTTTGGGGCCTAGTGTTTATCCTTTTGGTTTTCTGGAGTACTTAAAGGCAGAATTTCTTCTTGATGCAGCCTACACTAATCATCTGGGGAGAGCATGACCTGGTATTCCCACTGGAATTGGCGCACCGATTAAAAAGGTAAATCGGGTGGGCTTAGTTATTTCTATAACATTATTTGTGTATTATTTCTATAGAACATTATGATTAAGACAAACCAAAATCATGACCACTTCTAAACATCCTTGCATGGGTCTATGCATTTTTTCGAAAGTTTGGTCTTACTGTTCTTCCTCTGTTGCAGGCAAATAGGTGAGAGTTCACAACTAGTGATCTTAAAGAATGCAGGGCATGCCATAAATGTAGAGAAACCCAAAGAGATGTACAAGCACATGAAGTCTTTCCTCATTGATCCACTTCCTCCACCTAAACAAGAAAGCCACAGCAACGGCCGCAAGGTGGATTGAAATTTGAAGAGAAGGTGAAGAGCAATCAAGATGACTAGATAAGTAACTGGTTTTCATTTAAAACCTACGATATGAGATATGCTGGTGCGTATTGTGGATTATGTGGTCATTTTGTATATTTATAAGACGAAAAGGTGTATATCAGCGCAGTAGAACCGGATTACACAGTTGTTGGTTTCATGAAAATATCATGAGGGAAATGTTTTCTTACTAGACTGTCCGGTAACATAGGATACTTGTATTGCCAGACTATGAATCTAGACCATTGGATCATATTAATTCTTACATGAACGCTTGCAACATAAGCAACTATTTGGTAACATAATAAGGGGGTAATAAAGACTATGCTCTTAGGTTCCATTTTGGATTTGACAACAAGGCTAAATTTGCTATAGAAAAAAACTAGAAAACATTGGATTCAATTTATTTCAAATAACTAGATGTAAAACATTTGTAATGGATTTAAAATGACTATATGTAAGGAGTCATTTGAAATCCATTTATTTTCTTCATTTTCTTATACAAATCTTAACAGATATATGTATCATGGATTGTAGTACAAACAATTTAATCCTATATTTGAAATTACTCCATCCAAGCAAAGATAAGATTGCACTTGCCTTGGAAGCTTTAAAAGTTAAACTCATGTAAGTGCTTTTAAAAAGTAAAAATTATGTTGGCGTCCATGAAAATGTATATGTTCCATTCACACGATTCTAAAAGCCAGTAGCATCATGAGGTTAGCATTCTTATAATTTGCAATAAACACAATAAATTCAATTCAACCACCCAAACTTCCCAACCAAAAGCATATCAATTGGTCAATGAGTCCAGGCAAAAGGGCATTGAATTTGACTTGCATATCAGCAGTCTCAAGTTCGAACTCTTATATGACATTTTAATTGTGTGTGTGCCATCAACTGTAGTGTAGACTATCATTGTACTAAAAAAAGCATATCAATTGATCCGATCCTTGAACGTACCTGAGGCTGAGGTTAATTTAATTGGATGGTTAAGGTTTCCAAGTGGAGCATCACATCCTATATGTGAGGAAGATGCTGATGCTTTGCTCACCTTTATTCCTCTTCCTTTTCAATTTGACTGTTTTATTATTCTATTTTTTTCTTCACATAGTCACATAAATATTTGTTGGGGTCCAATTACAATTCAAAAAAGATCAAAACAAGAGTAGAAGATTTCCCAAAAAACCACGAGCGCAAACCACATGTTCCCTGCAAAATTGAAAAGACGACGAAAAAGTCAGCACTAAATTTTAGTTCCCATTTGCTAATTCTGTAGCTTCCACCTTAAGGCCTAAGCTATCACTTCTTTTTGCTCACGCAATAAAGTTGTCTTTATCCTCCAATACCAATCCCATCCCAAACAAACACACAAAGTTCTGCAAAACTGGACTGCACTTTCCACTAAAGCTCAAGAGCATCCGGTGTGCATTTTATGACAACGAGGCATCAACATTTAAAAATGATTATCTAATCAAAATGAAAACTTTTTTTTCTTCTTTAATAATTTAAATTAAAAGAAAAAGAAATATATCGAAGAAGAAGAAGAACTTACATGCAGGTGGTAAATTAGAGGCAGAGCCCCAAAACAGGTCCTGATCTGGACTGAAATTATTGTTGCAATCCGAGGAGGTGTTGTAGCCATTCTTACACACGCAGAGAAACGAATAATCATCAACCCTATACCCACAAACCCCATCACTCATCTCACAGCTCTTGCACTTGGTGTCCACAATGCCATTATCCAAATCACTATGGCTATACTTTAACGCCACCCCATACTCCCACCGGGCGGGGTCCGTCGGGTAGTCTCCAAGGGACACCACGGAGGTATACCCGGCGCACTTCAGGCCGCAGAGGTCCAGCTCACCCTTGCTATCAAGATTGCCGGGTGAATACACACAGCAAGTGTTGGTAGGGGGGAACAAAGGCAGGCCAAGACCAACCACAGAAGGGCACGTGTAGATAGAAGCACAGAGGTTAGAGTAGGAAGGATCACAGACCGGGATGCCGGAGGAGCCTCCGAGCGTGAGAGAAGAGGTGGGGGGTGGGCAGGACAAGAGGATGAAAGTTGATCGGCCGAGCTGAAAAGGGCTGGCCCAGTCGAGGCCGAAGTTGGATGGGGAGGGTTGCATGGAGGAGCAGGAGGACATGGAGGGCGGGGTTAGGGTTAGGGTTTGGGTGGAGTAGGAAATGGAAGTGATTGGGTATGAGGCTGTGTGGGTGGTGAGGAGGAGCTGCTGCTGCTGCTTTTGGTCCTTGTTGGTAATTTCGCAGGATATGTAGGGTTGGAAAGTTGGGGAGCCACAGCCAGCGCCTGTGCCAAAGGGATATGCGAGTTGAAGGGAACCACATGTGGTTTGGCATGCAGGAGGTTTTTGGGCTATGGTGAAGCAGAGGAGGTTGAAGAAGATGATGCATAAAAGAGCTGGTAGGAGTGTTTTTTGTTCCATTGTTGGGATTCTCTTGGCTTCTTTGTCTAATATATGATGATGTTATGATCTTATCCAAGAGGACCAAGAGGTGTGTATTTGTGTTTCTGGTTATAGGAGGAGAGACAGGGAGACAGACAGTGGGCAATCAGATAAATTTACTACTTTTATTTTATGAACGATATTCTAAATTCATATAACTTATAGAAGAAGAGACTCAAATTTGAGTGTAAGGGGACGAACTCACTCTCCCCCACAGCACCCAAAAGAAAAGTGTAGAAGAATTGATACAAACAAAAAAGAACAAAAAAAATGAAGAAAAGTGTAGAAGAAGAAAGCAAGAATCATTAAAGATTTGCATAATGTAAAGGTACTAAAATTGATAATAAAAAAACTATCCGACCTGCCGGATTCGAACCAGCGACCTAAGGATATCTACCAGGTAACCCCACTACAGTCCTCCGCTCTACCAACTGAGCTAAGGTCGGTTGCTTGTTCATCTTGGTGGTAAATAATATTTATATCTTATAGATGTGAAAATAATTCAAAAACCCCTTAATATGTCCGAAATTTTGAGTCAGCCCTCTAAAATTGGTGCCATTCCGTATTGCCAAATTATTTATTACCTTATAGAGGGAAAAAAACAAAAAAATTCTTAGTGAGGCCGTTACGCAAAAGATATGTGTACTTTCACTTGAAATAAATTGTAGCTTTTGAATAAAAGGGTTGCATAACTTTTTAGATCGTTTGAGTCCGAGCTTTCCCCAGATTCGTCTCATGTTCTGCATCTTTTTTTCAAGGCTAAATGCAGTGAGGTTTGATGGTGGCATTGCTTCATGGGGTGGTTGTAATGGTCATTTAAGTTGAAGGGTTATGTGTTAAGAGTTTTGGGTCTTTTGGGTTGTGTGCTTGACTTGAGAGTATTTTCAATTTTAGTGATGTGAGTTTTGTTATTTTTTGTGCAATATGTGTGTGTTTTAATTTTGCGTGTTTGGACTCATTGATTTTGATGCCCATTTGAGTGTGGTGCTTCAGCTGTCTTATTGACGTATTGACTGTAATATTAGATTGTATCTAATAAAATTTGCTATTTTTATGATTAAAAAAGAATAAAGAAAATGAATACGAACTGTGGTCATAGTATATGTATAAGAATTACTCTTGACAAAAAGAAAACGACTTGTACATTGTCTAATGAATGATGATCTTAAGTTGAATTGAAATGGTACTTTTTTATATAAAAAATCTTCGACAGAACGAGGAGAAATTTTAAAAAGAAGAATTAAACAGCAAGGGGATAATTGGCCAATAAAGCCAACTCCAAGAATGAGATCAAACTAAGCATACAAAATCAACGAAAGCGAAACATGAGAAAACCCACCAAATCTTTAGCAGAATCGGTAGCAGCACCAAAAAATTGAAACCGTACTTACATAGGAAGAGATTCAAATATATCACTTTGGAGTCAAACATTCCACACTCAAATCTCAATATTAGGTAAAAAGCTTTGACAACTAGGTGGTGTAAATTTGACACACATGGACAATTTTTGTCCTTTACTGCAGTGCTTTGGATACAATCCTGGTTGTTTCAATTCAAACTGTGCCGAAATTGATAATTTTTATGAGAAATTCAAATTCATTATATATATTGTAAAGTAGATAGTGCTATACACTAGTCATCCATCGTAATGTAGAGCATTTTTTATCAATCTCTCAAAATTATTATAAGAAGGTCCACCAATATCAGTAGCTTCAATTGCCTTTTTCTTCCATTCTAGTGCCTTTTGCTTCAATTCCTTCCCCTTCTCTCCTTCCATCATTTCCTTAACAAGTACTTCAATTTCATAGCGCTTCACATCGTACTTTACCTCCAAACCAATCCCCCAACTGCTGCATGCATATCCACAGTTCGTCTGTTGATCGGCAAAGAAAGGCCAGCAAATCACAGGCACACCCTCACACACAGTTTCCAAAATAGAATTCCAACCACAATGTGTCAAGAAAACAGCAACAGATGGATGTGCTAAAACTTGCTCTTGTGTGCACCAACTTGCTATCTTACCCCTATCTTTGATCTCCACAAAATACTCTGGAGGCAGAAGTGCAGAGTCATCACTTCCCATTACCACGTCAGCCCTAACTATCCACAGAAATGGGTGCTTGCTATTTGCCAGCCCCCATGCAAATTCTTTCAAGTGTTGCTCTGTCATCACAGCCACACTCCCATAATTTACATACACCACTGAGTTCGGTTCTCTCTTGTCAAGCCATTCAACACATTCTCTGTCTTCCTTCCATAAGCTTGGGCTGAGTGACTTGATTTGGCTGTCATCAGCTGGGACATGCCTGCATAGCAAAGGAAGTGGACCTATTGTGTAAATGTTGGGGAAAATCCCCGAGATTGCTTCTAGCACTTGGTGTTCGAATTCGTCGAATGTGTTGAAGATGATTGCAGAGGATTTCAAGCAGTTTTGTGCTTCTGATCCCATGAAATCAAACATTATTTCGTTAGGGTGGTAAGGGATGTCTTTGAGCCTAACATTTTTCATGCCCGGGATCCAATCGATTAGCACATCAAGTGGATCATCTTGATTATCCAAGTTTTTCTCTAAAACACATACATGTAATGGAAGTTTGTGATCAGATTAAGAGCTGATAGTCATATAAAGAGTAATTCTGCATATTTCAACAAATTTGTCAAAGCAAGTAATTCTTCATATCTATTCATTAACTAACACTTAATATATTAAGATTCCTTGAACTCCTTAAAATTGAGGGCTTGAATGAAAACAAGAAATGAAAAAATGAGCACCTTTGAATGGAACCAAGCCTCTTTGTAGGAGTTCACTATACTGCAAGTAACCCATGAAGCCACAAGCAGAGGCAGTCCAAAACTGAACCTCTGGAATGCCCAATTCCACCGCAGCCCTGCTCCCAAACCCCATGACCCCATCTGAAATTACGCAAGTAACTGGGGGCACTTCAGACAATTCACCAAGCTTAACCAGAAGCTCTTTGAAGGGACCAAGACAGTTTTTTCTGATGGAATCACTGAGTGCAGGAACATCTTGGGTAGCATCTTTGTCAGATGGTGGAAGCCCATCTGGTATGGCCTCAAATCTAAAGCCAGGTAAGCCCACAAGGGATGATGGGTGCCCTTGAGACTTGATCAGGCGCCTGTGGTTGAACTCAGAGTTGACAAAGGTTATGTGAAAGCCCCTTGAGTGTAGGAGCTTGGCTAATTGCATCATAGGGCTAACATGCCCTTGTGAAGGGTAGGGGACACAAACAACATGGGGTTGTTGTGTTCTGCCTCCAACTGGAGCCATCTTGGGTAAATTTTACTTGGCAAGAGGCAAGAGGCAAAAGCTGCAACTAGACATGGAAGAAGTCTCTTGTTTTAGCCGCTGATCCATAAATTGACCTTCCAGTCCTTTGCTCTCTTTTTTTTTTTTTTTTTTGTATGGGACATCCAGTCTTAGTGATCTTATCTCATCATATTCATTGCCTTTTGTCTTGCTTTGTTATTCAACTCAATACATAGTCAACAGGCAATTCGAGTATCAATCATATATATGCATTTGGAACAAACTAGAAGGCTGAATGGAAATATTAATTTTATTCATAAGCTTAGCCAAGTCTGCTTGGAAACTGTAACAGAGTTGGGCTGCAAACAACTGACGTCCAAATAAAACATAAACATTATTACAGCACTTGAACATGAAAATAAGATAAAACCCCTTAGCAAATAAAAGCTTAGCCAAGTCTTGACAAGGAACCACATTTGTTCCTCATTGTAGCAGTCATCCACCTTAATGGAGAGACTTAATCAATCTATCAAAATTATTGTACGATGATCCTCCAATATCAGTAGCTTCTACAGCTTTTTTCTTCCATTCTCTTGCCTTTTGCCTCATCTTCATCCCCTTTTCCCCTTCCAGCATTTCCTTAACAAGTGCTTTGATTTCGTCACGCTTCACATCGGGGCTCACCTCCATTCCAATCTCCCAGTCAGTGCATGCGTATCGACAATTCGTTTGTTGCTCAGCAAAGAAAGGCCAGCAAATTACAGGCACACCTCCGGATACACTTTCAATAGTAGAGTTCCAGCCACAGTGTGTTAAAAAAGCCCCAACAGATGGATGATCAAGCACTTGGTCCTGTAGACACCAGTTTGCTATATAACCCCTATCCTTAATCTCCTCAAAAAATTCATCGGGTAAAATAGCTGAGTCTCCCTCTACCACATCAGGCCTAACAATCCACAAAAATGGGTGCTTGCTATTTGCAAGCCCCCATGCGAATTCTTTCAGATGATGATCTGTCATTGTAGTTATGCTCCCATAATTTACATACACAACTGAACTAGGTTTCTTCTGATCAAGCCATTTCAAACATTCTGTGTCTTCTTTCCATAAGTTTGAGCTAAGAGACCCGACCAATTTGGTTTCGGTTTCAGGCAATTGCCTCTCAAGCAACTTAAGGGGGCCAATGGTGTAGATGTTAGGGAACATGGTCGATATTACCTTTAACATTTCATGTTCAAATTCATCATATGTGTTGAAGATGATTGCAGAAGACTTCAAACAGTTTTGTGCTTCGGATCCCAAGAAATCGAACATTATGTCGTTGACATCTGTGACTCTGATGAAGCTGGGGATGTCCCTGAGCCGAGCATTTTTCATGCCTGGGACCCAATCAATTGGTGTATCCAGTGTACCATCGTGCAGGAAAGTCTCATCTGAAATATGCATGGAAGGTGAACAATATGTGTGATCATACTTTCTATATGGTCACATTACAAGAGTATATTTGATCTCAAATATTACACTAAACTCATAGGCTAACATTCCACTTCAAAGTGTTCAAAATGTTCAGACGAAAAATATAGATTCCAACTCAAAGCTGTTCAAGAACTGAGATTCCATACATACAAAGATCATAACTATATCTTTTTTGGCTTTAATGTGAAACACATATTTATTTATTATTATGTGCGGAAACGTGTCACTAAACCAAATGATCATTAGTAATATATTGATTCTTGAAAATATACAATAACAGAACAGATTGTAGCTAGGTCCATCTAACAACATTGTTTTTCGGCACTTGTTAGCGAGAGTGAGCATTTACAATTCATCCAAGTTCAAAATGCAAATCTCCAACAATAATTGGAGTAGTTTTGTCTGGTTTCTGTTGTTTATTATTCATTATGCTCAGATTCTCTTTTGTGCATCGGTTACAACGATGATGTTTTAGCTTTTTGCTGATTTTTCTTGTGTTTTCCTTTGTCTGTCTTGTTTGTCCCGTTAAAAAAACAGAGAGATGCACCCCGTTTGGTTTCTCTTGTTTATTATTATTATTATTATTCTGTCCTGTTTGTCGGGGGTGCAAGTTTAATATGCGCTTCCTCTTTCTGAGAAATTTATTTATATAATCCCCCTCCATCGATATTCTAAGTTCAAAGATTAGCCTTATGAAAAAGCAAAAAGCAAATGTGCTTGGAATTGAACGATTCAACGTCAAGTCAAGTGTGTCTTGATAATTTATATACACACAATAATTAAAAATGTTCATAAGCCTAAAATAAATATGCAACGGATTAAAGGTTAACAATAAAAATGGGTCCACAATAATTAAGGAAGTATACATACCTTTGAATGGAACAACGCCTCGCTTGACGAGCTCACTGTATTGCAAGTAACCCACGAAGCCACAAGCAGAGGCAGTCCAAAACTGGACCTCCGGAATGCCTAACTCCTGAGCAGCTTGCCTCCCAAATCCCGTGACACCATCTGCAACTATACAAGTAACTTGTGGCACTTGAGATGAGGAGTTGATCTTAGTGACCAGCTCTTTGAATGGACCTAGGCAGGTTTTCCTGGTGGAGTCACATAAGGCTGGAACATCTTGGGTTGCATCCTTATCCGAAGGAGGCAGCCCGTCCGGTATGGTCTCGAACTGGAAGTCGGGCAAGCCCTTGACGGAGTCCGGGCCTTTGGACCGGATTAGGCGCCTGTGGTTGAACTCTGTGTTAACAAAGGTTATGTGGAAGCCTCTTGAGTGAAGAAGCTTAGCTAATTGCATCATGGGGTTAACATGGCCTTGAGCTGGGAAAGGGACACAAACCGCATGTAGTTTTTTGGGTGCTTCTCCTATTGAACCCATCTCACTTTACCAGTATAAGCAAGACCTGTGTGGTGAAAGCCAACTTTGCTCTTTATGTCATTTATAGGAAATGTGCCAAGCCTTGCCTCTTCGGCACTTGATACCGACATTGGAGTAACTTTTGTCAAAACAAAACAAAAATTACAGTTTACTAAAATTCCTCATGTCAATAATGCTTCAGATCATCACATGGGGCGACATGGGATAGGTAGAAATATGCATGATTACCTTGCCCTTGCTGCAGGGCCGCCCCTGCCTACCAATGGACACCTGTGCGTGCGTGTAAGAGCTCATTTGTTATTTTCTTTTCTATGCCGCTAGCTTCCAACAAATGAATGACCCCGCCAACATTAGAGGAGTAATTAATTTTACATCGTTGTCATTGAAGGGCACGTTTTTCTTACTAAGAATATGAATATTGCAGGAATCATAAAATATAAATATTATAACTATATAAAGTATGACCGTTCCTGCGATTTTGAGAATCATAAACAACAAACGAATACAACGAGGCCCTTATTTTCAAATTTGTTTGCTTAACACAGAGAACAATATCGTGTACCCAAAAAATAAAGAACAATATCATGCATTGACGAACACAACACAACACAATGCTTACTTGTTTTAGTCGTCGGTGCGCACTAAGAGGAACAAACACGTGGGGAAGAAAAAAGAACAATTGTATTGTTTATTTGTTGTGCTTGCAAACAAATCCGCAACAATCAACACAAAAACAATACATGCGGGTTAATCTGGCAGAGAGGGTTAGTCAAATACGTGTGGGAATTTTGGATTTCCTTTTTGGGAGTTTCTATTCTACTTTATGCGATATTTGGGTAATGGGTTTATTAAATATGTTAGGCCATTTTTGTTTCAGCTAGTCTAGTTGCAATTTTTGTTAGGCTGAACCGATGAAACCGATTGATTTAAATTGTAATTATCGGTTTGGTTTGATTTTGATTAAAAAAATTTCAAACGGTTTTAAAAATCGAATCGGACCATATATAATTTAGTTTGGTTTGATTTTGAATTTTTATAAACTGCTCTAAATCAAATCGGACCATTTATGTGTATATATTTTTATTTTATATTGTACATGTTTAATACTCTAATCATGTAATAACTATATATGGATATTTGAATTGAGCTATATTAGTTTTTGAAATTTGAAATTTTTATGGCATATGTTGAGCTTTAGGATGGTTTCATACTATAGAAAAAAATTAAGTATGGAGCAAGTTGTAAATTTGTTGGTTGTAATTGGGCTAACAATGTTGAAAAAATGCAAAAGGAAAGTGAATTGGACTTAGGCCCAAACTGGCCGAACCAAACTAAACCAAATCGTCTTAAATTGATTTGGTTTGGAATGATATTTTCTTGACTTTCGTCAAAATCGAACTGAACTAAATTGTTATATTGTAATTGGTTCGGCAGTTGTTGGGTTCATTTTTAAACATGATTTATCATGTCATTCACCCAATGTTTTGAGTTAGTTCTTAAAATTTTATAGTTTTTTTCTTCCTTTTTGTGTTTTTATAGATTTTACCTTGGTTGGAATAGATGCGAGCTAAAAGTGCATTATTGAATATAAAATATGTTTTTGCTCATTTTCGTAGGTCAACTTCTTGGCCTTGATCAGAATGTTCCGGTGCTCGGATGCGGTGAAGCTCTTCATGAAACTTGTTCCAATGGGTTTTGATTACAACATATCCAAAAGTTAGCTCCATTGAAAAAATATTACCTCCCCAACTGATCCAACATTGATATAATTCTGAAAATCTATTTTGGGTCACTTTTACCCCTCTTTTGGTATCATCTCCCCTTCTAATTGTTACCACACCTCTTGGTAACAATTAATTACGTTGTAGAGATTTGATTTCAGATTGGTAATAAATTAGAATCTCTTTCTATGTATTAAAACCAAAATGAAATGATGGAAGTGAAGAAAAGTGGAGCATATGCCAAAGACTTTGGGTAAAAGGTAAAGTATCTTATGGATTATGAGTAGAAAGAGAGAAAGAGAAGAAGGTAGCTAAGGGGTAGCAGCCAAGCAAGAAGAATCATTCTCTACACTTTGCAATTTCTGATTTTTAGAGAAGGAGGAGAGCAAGAGCAAACAAAGAAAGGGGAAAATGACATGATAATTGGAGAGAACCTTGGGAAGCCTTGAGGCAAGGATCCAAGACGTTGAAGATGCAATTCTCTTTCTCCTCATTGTTTTTAGTTTCTTTCATTTTATTTATTTATTGTATTTTCTTAGTGTCAATGTTATTTCTTATTTTTCTAGCGCTTAGGTTGAACCCCTAAACATGATTACACTTTTGTTTTGATATGCTTTGAGTTTATGAATTTCTAGATGTTGTTGATGAATTCCTTTTCACTAAAGATAAGAAAACAAAAGGGTCCAAGAAAATGAGTACCTTTGAATGGGACCAAGCCTCTTTTTAGGAGTTCACTATACTGCAAGTAACCCATGAAGCCACAAGTAGAGGCAGTCCAAAACTGAACCTCTGGAATGCCCAATTCCACCGCAGCTCTGCTCCCAAACCCCATCCATCTGAAATTATACAAGTAACTGGGTCCACTTCAGACAATTCACCAAGCTTATCCAGAAGCTCTTTGAAGGGACCAAGACGGTTTTTTCTGATGGAATCACTGAGTGCAGGAACATCTTGGGTAGCATCTTTGTCAAATGGTGGAAGCCCATCCGGTATGGCCTCAAATCTAAAGCCAGGTAAGCCCATAAGGGATGATGGGTGCCCTTGAGACCTGATGAGGCGCCTGTGGTTGAACTCAGAGTTGTCAAAGGCCCTTTGAGTGTAGGAGCTTGGCTAATTGCATCATAGGGCTAACATGCCCTTGTGAAGAGAGGACACAAACTACATGGGGTTGTGTTCTTCCTCCAACTGGAACCATCTTTTGCTAAATTTACTTGGCAAGAGGAAAAAGCTGCAATCGATCAAATATTGTTATCAAGGCTTCTTTTATTATATTTTTACCAACTCTAAGTTGGCCTTCCAGTCCTTTGGTCTTTTTTTTTGGTTGGAATACATCCAGTCATTTCGTCTTGGTGATCATATCTCATCATATTCATTAGCTTTTGTGTTTTTTTTTATAAGGTTTCTAAATTTTAAAAACCGATTTTGGTGTTTGGAGTCAAATTCTATTTTTGAGTTTAAAAAACCGTATTAAAATAGAATATATACCAAACGAGCCCTTAGCTTTTGAAACGCTTCGAAATCTAAAACAGGGATCGACCCAATACATAATCAACAGGTAATTCGAATATCAATATACGTATGCATTTGCAAGAAACTAGAAGTCTGAACGGATATTAATTTTATTCATAAGCCCAGTCTGCTTGGAAACTGTAACAGAGTTGGGCTACAAACAACTAGAGAAACAACTGACGTCCAAATAAAACATAAACATTATTACAGCACTTGAACATATACATATTTGGTTGTTCTTGACAAGGAACCATATTTGTTCCTCATTGTAGCAGTCATCCACCTTAATGGAGAGACTTAATCAATCTATCAAAATTATTGTACGATGATCCTCCAATATCAGTAGCTTCTACAGCTTTTTTCTTCCATTCTCTTGCCTTTTGCCTCATCTTCATCCCCTTTTCCCCTTCCAGCATTTCCTTAACAAGTGCTTTGATTTCGTCACGCTTCACATCGGGGCTCACCTCCATTCCAATCTCCCAGTCAGTGCATGCGTATCGACAATTCGTTTGTTGATCAGCAAAGAAAGGCCAGCAAATTACTGGCACGCCTTCGGATACAGTTTCAAGAGTAGAGTTCCAGCCACAGTGTGTTAAAAAAGCCCCAACAGATGGATGAGCTAGCACTTGGTCCTGTGGACACCAGCTTGCTATATAACCCCTTTCCTTAATCTCCTCAAAAAATTCATTGGGTAAAATATCTGAGTCTCCCTCTACCACATCAGGCCTAACAATCCACAAAAATGGGTGCTTGCTATTTGCAAGCCCCCATGCGAATTCTTTCAGATGATGATCTGTCATTGTAGTTATGCTCCCATAATTTACATACACAACTGAACCAGGTTTCTTCTGATCAAGCCATTTCAAACATTCTGTGTCTTCTTTCCATAAGTTTGAGCTAATTGACTCGACCAATTTGGTTTCGGTTTCAGGCAAATGCCTCTCGAGCAACTTAAGGGGGCCAATGGTGTAGATGTTAGGGAATATGGTCGATATTACCTCTAACACTTCATGTTCAAATTCATCATATGTGTTGAAGATGATTGCAGAAGACTTCAAACAGTTTCGTGCTTCAGATCCCAAGAAATCGAACATTATGTCATTGACATCTGTGACTCTGATGAAGCTGGGGATGTCCCTGAGTCGAGCATTTTTCATGCCTGGGATCCAATCAATTGGTGTATCCAGTGTACCATCATACAGGAAAGTCTCATCTGATATATGCATGGAAGGTGAAAAATATGTGTGATCTTACTTTATGGTCACATTACAGGAGTATATTTGATCTCAAATATTACACGAAACTCATAGGCTAATATTCTACATAATATGGTGTCATTTTCTAGTTAGGAGAACCGGACCTAACTTTCCGAACAAAGTAATTATGTATTTTGCAAGTGGTTAAGAGTATTTACTTTGCATTCTAGCTCCTATATTTGATTTCCCCTTCATCAATATCGCTTTGTATATAAAAAAACAAAAAAATATATTTTTATATTAAACAAAGAAATTATGTCTATGTTATCATGCATACAAAATTAAGAGTGAATGACTTTCAACATGTTTTTCTTATAAAGAATTAATTTATATTGATTAAAAATATTTATATTGTAGAATATGTATAAAATCTTGAAAGAAGTTAAAGATTAGTCTTTTTTTAATAAAAAGCAAATGTGTATTAAAACAGAAATTAAGAATCCTAGTTCTTAGTTTAGTAATATTTTTCTCCGTTTTGCTTGACACCTCCTCAAAATTAAAATATAAGAAAAAAATACGTAATGTTATTAATCTAATGGAACTTTTTTCCATTTTTTAAAGAAGAGATATCTAGTTTTCAAATATTTTAAAAGGAACAAAAGGATACAAAAGAGTCAAAAGGATAACACCACAGCTCAACCAAGAAAAAGCAATGGTTGAAAAACTACGCAAGTGTATCATTTGGTCTACCTCAAGCCTCATAAAAAATTTATCACTCCAAGGAATATTATTGTGGGATTGAATGATTCAACCTCACACATAAAAATGTTCATAAGCCTAAAATATTAAAGGCTAACAATAAAAATGCGTCCATAATAATTAAAGGAAGTATACCTTTGAATGGAACAATGCCTCGCTTGACGAGCTCACTGTATTGCAAGTAACCCAAGAAGCTACAAGCAGAGGAGGTCCAAAACTGGACCTCCGGAATGCCTAACTCCTGAGCAGCTTGCCTCCCAAATCCCGTGAGACCATCTGCAACTATACAAGTAACTTGTGGCACTTGAGATGAGGAGTTGATCTTAGTGACCAGCTCTTTGAATGGACCTAGACAGGTTTTCCTGGTGGAGTCGCATATGGCTGGAACATCTTGGGTTGCATCCTTATCCGAAGGAGGCAGCCCGTCCGGTATGGTCTCGAACTGGAAGTCGGGCAAGCCCTTGACAGAGTCCGGGCCTTTGGACCGGATTAGGCGCCTGTGGTTGAACTCTGTATTGACAAAGGTTATGTGGAAGCCCCTTGAGTGAAGAAGCTTGGCTAATTGCATCATGGGGCTAACATGGCCTTGAGCTGGGAAAGGGACACAAACTGCGTGTAGTTTTTTGGTTGCTGAACCCATCTCTCTTTACCAATACAAGCAAGACCTGTGTGGTGAAAGCCAACTTTGCTCTTATGCCATTTATAGAAAATGTGCCAAGCCTTGCCAATTTAAGCAAGAGATTGTGACATTGGAGTCACTTTTGTTAAAATAAAAATAAAAATTACTGTTTACTAACAATAAAATTGCCCATTTCACTAATACTTCAAATTTATGTCCTATGTGCATCCGGAGACAATTTCTCATTTGTTTTTAAATTGTCAATATGCTAATCACTGGCATAATCTTTCACCTTCTTATATAATTAATTGTTTTACTGTTTGCTGGAAAATTTGAGAACAAAGGAATCGTCTACTCTTTCAAAATAAGGCACCACAGATTGATGAGGCCATTTCACACATAAGAATTGAAAACTAAAAATTAAAATTGAAATGGTAATCAAATGGGCCCAAGATTTTGAAAAATATGAACTATAAATATTGGCTATGGTAAATTTGTTAACATGGAAATATAGTTTTTGTTTTTGTTTTTGTTTTTTTTTCCATATACAAGCAATACTCTTAACCACTTAAACCACAAGTTCTTTAACCACAATGTGTGGTGCGGTTGGTAAACTGCCACCTCCAGCTGGTGGACTGCCTAGTACCTAACTGGTAAGGGTTCGAAATCAATTGGGAATACTTTGTGGTTAGAGGCAAGTCGAACTCCGAGCGAGGATTAGTCCCACCCTTCAAGTGTGTGGACACTTCATTGTATATATCCAAAAACCTACAAGTCCTTTGCTGACGTGGAAAGATAGTTAATGGACCTGCAAGTCATTTTTTTAGAGATTTTCTATTTAAACCCCACACTTCTCTTAGTTCACCCCATGTTTTAAGTTCACCCCAACTTTTAATTTAAATTTTCACAATTTCTAAGAAAACCCCACTATCTTCCCAAACGACACTTAAATACACTCCAAATTGAAAAAATAAGAACTAAAAGAGATTTTCTATTTAAATCCCACAATTTTCTTTGTTCCTAGCAAAAAAAACAAACAAACAAATGAAATCCCAAATTCGAAATTTAATACTTTCTGGAGAAAGAGAACAACTTTACCTCTCTCCAAGAATTATAACTGGAATTCTAACACATGGGTATTGTTGAGAGAGAGAGAGAGAGAGAGAGAGAGAGAGAGAGAGAGAGAGAGAGAGAGAGATTTTGTAAATAGGAAGTTGAAAGGAGATTTCTAGAACTTAATATGAAGAGTGGTGGGGTGTGTGTATAGATGTACTAGGGTAAATTATTAAGTTGGATGACCTTTTTTGTTTTTTTACACAATAATAAAACTTATAGCTTAATGATTTAAGTATTATAGTGAACAAAGAGAAATGCGAGGTTTAAATAGAAAATCTCTTTTTTTATGTCTGATTTTCTATGCATAAAATCCAAGTAGATTCATTTTTTGGTAAAAAAAAATCCAGATAGAATCTTGACCCGTGAAGGTAACACCAAATAATATGTTGTGTTGTCTTACAAACTCAATGCAGGTACGTATCCTACGTGCTGTTACATCACATCATCCATCACTCAACTAGTTCATCAAATTTCGGACTTATGCACAAAAATGACTGCTTCTCACTGCTGTTTGTGCAAAAGGGGATCTGTTTGCTTCAAATATCGGCCAGATGTTACAACATGTTGCATCCTCTTAATGTGGGAGACTGGAACCACCACTAAAATTTAATTTAGAAGAAGAAAAAAAACTCCAAAGAAATTGAGATAAACTCTCCTGTCTTCGTCTTCTTTCTATTTTTCTTCCCTCTTGCACAAAAGCCAGGGTCCCGATCAGCTAATTAATCATGCCTGTACTCATGTGAAATGTTCTTACGTGTGTGTCACTTCTATATCCCTACCAATGGAAACCGGTGCGTGTAAGAGCTCATGTGTCATTTTCTTTTCTATGCCACTAGCTTTCAAGAAATGAATGACCCCGGCCACATTAGAAGAGTTGTTTGAGAGATTGTTCTCTGTTTTGGTCTTCTTAAAGCACTGTTTGTTGCTGATTTATGGATCCTCTTCATCTGTAACTCCAAGTAAGCTGGACTTCAAGTTGTATATTTGTTCTCACTGTATGCTACAATGTTTGTGTCTGTTTAGTCATTGAAAAGTTCAATAAATGGATTCTCAAGGTGGGCCTATGGATTCATTTTCAACCTATTCAAGTTTATGACATTTCAACCTATTCAAGTTAATTGTGTCCCTACAGTGTGGTAATAAAATCCCGTATAGCTTATGCTGAGTTCAAATCCACACACCCTTTATTTTTGGGATTTTTGTTAAATCACAAAAGGTCCTGAGGTTTGTGAAATATTCACATTTCGTCTTTAATGTTTTTTTATGACACTAATGGTTCTTAAAGTTAGCCTCCACATATCAAAATGGTTCTTGTCGTTTGCTTCCGTCAAATTTTCTGTTAAATTGATGACGTGGCACATGTGTGGTACCCACACAGCCAATGGTATAGAGCCACGTGGAAGCATGAAGGTGAGTTCTTGAATAGTTTTTCGAGGGAGAGCATGTGGGAAGCACAGGTCACGGCTTTGGTGCCGAGTAGTGTTAACAGTGGCAGTACTAGTAATATGAGGGAAACCCAGTTTGACAAAACAAAAGAATTATGAAAAAAAAAACCGAGTATAGCCGAGCGTCTATACTATTCTTGGTCAAAAAATTGGGAAAACCAAGTATTGCCGTCCGGCTATACTATTTCTTTAAAAACAATTTAAAAAGCCGCGTATAGCCGCACGGCTATACTATTTCTTTGAAAAAAACATTACGAAAAAATTGAGTATAGCCGCACGGCTATACGATTTCTTTAAAAAATATAGAAAAACAGAGTATACCAGCCCGGCTATACTATTTCTTTAAAAACAATTTAAAAAATCGAGTATAGCCTATACTACTTTTTTAAAAACAATTTAAAAAGCCAAGTATAGCCGCACGGCTATACAATTTCTTTGAAAAAACATTAGGAAAAAACTAAGTATCGCCGCCCGGCTATACTATTTCTTAAAAAAAACAAAATGCCTTTGAAAAAAAATTAGAAAAAACCGAGTATATCTGGGCAATGATATTGTGTCTTTAAAAAAATAGAAAAACCCGAGTATAGCCGGGCGGCTATATACGGTTAGCCTATTTCTTTGTAAAAAATATGAAAACCTGAGTATAGCCGTGCGGCTATACGGATTCCGAACTGACCGCCTTAGTTCAGTTTCTTGGAGAAAATGTGTGGGAGGGGGTCGCTGTACTCTCGGAGCCGACGACATCCCTAGGGCTTGCCACTGCAGCCATGGCCCCGTCCGTACTGTTAACATGGACCGGTGAGCAAAAATCAAAACTCCTTCTCCTATTTTTTTCCTTCATTAATTTCTCATTCGAACTTTACTTTTCCTCTACTTTCCTAGCAACCAAACAGATTTCCTTGTGTGTTATGGTCTCTTTGATTGCTTAATCTTACTGATTGGAACGAATTTTTGGTGTGTGCTTAGGTTTCGCCTGCTGTTCAATGCGTCGCCGGGGTCAAATTTGCATGTTGTTCGTAGAGAAGACGGAGCACACGGTGACGGCATTGTTGTTCACTGTATGAAATGCGGGCTGATCCCTAGTTTCACCAAGAAAACCGAGAAGCCCGATCATTATAAGATGGTAATAGCAGTTACATTTGTGGTTGATGCTTTCCAGTCATGGTAGTTTAAATTTGTTATCTTTCTTCAAATTTAAATCTCAATTTTCCATATAAGCAAGCTTGGATTGTGTTGAGATGTGATTTGTGTTTGAAGAAGACCGAGTATAGCCGCGCGGCTATACTATTGCTTTCCCAAAAGTTTATGTCGTTTCAAAAAACTGAATTCAGCCTCGCGGCTGTACTATTTCTAGCCGCACGGCTATACTATTTCCGGACGTGGGCTTTGATCTAAATCAGGATGATGAGGGTGGTGTGTGAAATGGAGTAATCAGCCATAAGGAAGACGTGTTACTTTACCACAAGTCTCTAGATTAAGTTGAAGAAGATGTGGCATAGAATGGAACACTTTTGCCATCAAACTTTTTGTGAAATGTGAATTCTTGGAAAAGTTTGTCTGCCCACGAAAGCAATGGCAAGCCAAGTCTGGACTTCATTCAGATAGAAACATCGTGTATTCTAGGCTTTTCTTCAAAGAAAAATGAAAAAAAACTTAACTCAATGAATTTTTTTTCCTGCAGTTTTTTTTTGTTGTATGAAACAATTTCGTACAAAAAAAAATTGGCATATCCTCTCCTTGGTCTGAGCCTAACCACTAGTTCGATGTTCAAATGTCTTTTACAAGCTGTTAAAAGAATCTATCGCTATATTAAAGACACCATTGAACATGGTATTCCGTTCCTCCATTGATTTTTCTTTGCAAGATTTTTTGGAAGCAGATTGGGCTGGATCCTTGGATGATAGACGTTCCACTACTGGTGCTTGTGTTTTCCTTAGTCCTAATTTGCTCACATAGACTACTAAAAATCAATCACGAAGAGTTATGCGATCCTGAAGCATAACTTGCACACTTTATGTGATATTTATGAATAATATGAGTAGAGGTTGATGTTGCACATTTGGTAGTTTACGGATATAATGTTATACCATTCAAATTCTGCATGTCATTGTCACATATGGATTAGTTAATGAGTCCTGGTTTCAGCCATCCATTAGTTATATTAGTGGGTTAAATAATTTTTTAGTACATATATTAGAAGACAGACGTCCTTAACAAATACATCCATTATTTTTGCTTTATTATTTATTATTTTGAAAATATTTGTGCTTTTATTAGCAAATTACTGGAATATCCTTTTAATGTAATTTGGGAAGAGTTAAACACCAAATGGCTTAGAAAAATCGAGATGGCATTGGTCCGTTTGATAACCACTTCATTTTTAATTTTTAGTCTTTATTTTTTGCGTTAGAGTACAAAGGAAAATGAGAGTGAGAATGGAGCGAGGATGAGATTGAGAGAGAGGATGAGAGGGAGTAACAAAAGTGAAAACAATTATACTATAGGTTGCAACACACTACAACAAAAGAAGATAACTGGCATCGTCAAATTTGGGGAAAGATTACACACAGTAACTGTAAGATAATTTTTTCACTGCAAATCCTACAAAACACAATGTAAAGTGAGTAGATATTAACATTAGCATCAAACTATCCATCTGGCCAGGGGAAAAATTTCTTTTGAAAGGAGAAAAGCAAGGCATCGATGACTATTGATTGAAAATGAATATATAATTATCGGGCCGGGTCTGAGTACGGGTACCCATACCCGACAGGAATTTTTACAATTCGAGGATCCTTGTACCCGACCCCAAAATCTCCCCCTGTTAAGGCTAAGGACCCAACAAGAATTTCTGTCATCCCTCACTTCCATTTTCACTCTTTTTCCTCTATACTCTAGCACAAAAAATAAAAAATAAAAACTAAAATTCAAATGGTTATCAAAGGGCCTAAAATTGCAGTATAAATATAGATGGATTGAGAAAACAAAAAATTAATAGAAAATTCTCTGAAAAACATTTAGAGGAAATAATAATAATGCTCCTGAAACACCATTACACATTTGATTAAAACATGGCACATCCATCACCATCGTATATTACATAACCCATTGAGAACTTCACTTACACATCAACCTAGGAAGCAACCAAAGAAACATCAAGGGCAAGTACAGACCAATTCCAAGTAAGTTGAAGAGAGTTAGCGACCCCTTTCAAACCCAATACGAGTTCTGCTGGAGCCCCCACCTTCATGGCCATCTCGCATTGAAGACCCAGCACTCGCTCTCATTGTTCCTCCTGTACCAACTTTTTCCATGGCTTTCTTACCCTTCTTCACCTCTGTCAAGAACTGGTCCAGACCAAATGGATCGGCTTCTTCAACATCCTTCTCAAACTCAACCGGCCTATCTCTTGGACCGCTCCTCTCAGCAGCTCCCCCAAATCCTTTGTCCGGTTTGAAGCGATCAGTCTTCATAATCTTATCCATCTGCTCATCAGCACCTCCATACATATCAGCATCAGCATCCTTCTTCGGCCTGTACAGGGTTGAGAGTGTAGGCTGAGCAGTAAACAAGCCTTTGTCATAGACATTGTACTGGTCATCAGTGGCAAAACCAGAGTCCATTCCTTTCTCCTGGTTGAACAGCCTCTGGTCATACATGACCTCTCCCCCTCTTCCTGCTCCAGCAGAAGCCATGCCAAGGGCAACTTTCTCACTAATATCACGATCTCTGTCTCTAGTAATTTTACTCTTCTTTCCCATCGCTGCATCTTTGGCCTCCAACCTTCTTTCCCTTTCCCTTTCTCGGCGTCGCTCCTCCCGGATCTTCTCACGCTGCAACCTCTCTTCTCTTTCCTCCCTTGTCTCCTTTGGGTAATCCGTCTCCTTTTCCCTTGGACGCTCATAATCACCTCTCATTTCAGTATCCATTATTGTTTTCTCAGAAGGCATAGGGACAGAAGCAGGAGGTGCTGCACCTGTCCTCTCAGAACGAGCTTTTTGAGCTAATGCCCGCAGCTCCTGCTCTTTCTTTTCCTTCTCCTTCATTATCATCTCCTTCTGAACTTTAGATCTCATTGCAACTGCTTCTCTAGCCTTCTGCTCTGCTACATACAAAGACTCCGAAAGCTTTGCAAAATTATCATTAATCTGAACATCTTGAAGGCCTCTCCCATCAGCTGCTAGACGTTTGTCCAATGGGATGGTGTACCCTTTCGGGTTCTTCCAGTTTGAAATGCAAGGTGGAATCTTCCAATCCTGCTGGTCTTTTACAGTCACTGGACGAGGAGGGGAATGCATGACTGGCACTGGTGGGGACCCAGAAGCCCTAGGAACGCGCTTATGCTTGAACTTAGGAGGCTCAAGTGGATCCACAGGCATCTCCACCATCCTGATAATCCTCTCCTTGGCACCAGAATTAAATGCCAGGGATTTCTGTGATGGCTTATACTTGATAAATTTCGAGTCTGACGACTGTTTGGGTACATTTTTTGGCTGCGCAGCGCTCAATCTCACATTCACAATCTTCTCAAGTGCAGCCTTTGTTTCTGCTGTTGTTTCTTCAATCTCTTTCTGCAGCTCCTCCTCTTCATCATCATCCTCTTCCTCTTCCTCATTTTTCAAAATTTTAGGCACAAGATCCTTATGTTGAGAGTAGACAATCTTTTTTGAATTCTCATTCTGCTTAACAATAGCATCATACGCAATGTTTCCATGCGCATCAACAGTGACTGGAAGTATCTTCGTTCCAAGTTTTGCGGACTTGTCCCTGCCCATGCCAAGAGGGTACTGAGCTATGTGAATCTCAGGGAAAGCACCCCCATCCCCAAAATCCTCTACCTTCCTAGGTACAAAGCCTTGACGCTTCAAGTAAGGAGGTACAGGATTAGGCTTGATGACAGAAGATTTTTCTTCCTCAGCTGAACTGAAGCGCTGCTTGAACCACGGATCATTTGAGTGGTCATAGTAAGTTGTTGTGGTTGATTGTGCGGGCGGCAGAAGCTCCTTTAGAGCTGCCATGGTGATAACCTACTTATGGAACTGCACACAGAAATCGGAAAACAATGACCAAATTAATTGGTTCATAAACATAAGCAAAGAAATACATCGATTTTGATAAAATTAGAATAAAAAAGACATCAAAAGACTTTGGGCATCTCTGGAGTACACGCCTAAGGAACTTGTTCACTTCATCTGTCTATGGAGTTAAATTCTTCAAACGATTTTCAATTACTTGGGCATCCCTAAGCCATCATACTTCACAAAGAAATTTTACAATTGACTTAACCCATTTCAGTTCTAGTCTATTTCTCCGTAAATTAAAGTTATTGGCCATATAAAAACGCACAACGGAAAAAATTCAATAAAATTGTTGTATGCTATAAATCCTAAGGAGAGTAGATTAGTGCAGATCTAATTCAATCAAATATAGAAAACAAAAACAACCGTAAGAGAGCAGATCAAATTCGAAAAAGTTCTTGCATACAACATAAAAGATCAAATCACAAAAACAAATTTGTTGGTTTTGACCCAAAATCTATCGGCAAGAAGATGAAAAGTCAAAACCAGAGGCATGAAGAAAAAATAAAGAGATAACTTACCGACAGAGAAGATTGGTGCAGTGGTGATGCGTCGTCGAGAAGTTCTGAATTGCAGAGAGACCCAAGTGTCGTTTTCAGGTACGAAATGGATAAATCTGCAGGTGAAGAAAATTTAGGGTTTGGCTTAAGCTCAAGGGAAAAATAAGCGACAACCAAAACACCAGGGAGAGGAGGGTTTTGTTGTCATCCAATCCGATTTTCATCACGGCACCAACGAACCGACCTTGTTCTCAAGCCGCAGGGGCCCGGCCCAAAGTGATCGGGCTTGAGCCCAAGTTTTTATTGCTCTTTTATCAGGCTTTACTTATCTTATCGAGCTTAATAATTTTGTAAACCTCAAGCACGTTTTGTAATTTATTAGTTATCAGGAATAAGGACTAAAATATCGATAAAATCAACAAAATATCAAGGATATATATATATATATATATATTTTTTGGGTTTATGATATTTTGGAACATATCGTATAAGTATCGATAATATCGGAATATATCGACATTAATAATTTCTCTCACACTTCAGCAACATTTGGCCAAAATATCTCTATAATATCGATAATATCGAGATGATGAAGATAACTAAAAATTTGAAGAGTTATTTGCACTAACACCCCCTGAGGCTTCTTGTGTTTTCACAAAACCCCCTTAGGTCTCAAAAATTACTCGAACACCCCTTGAGGTTTTAGTTTGCTTTCACAAAATATTTTTTCGTTGAGTATTTGTCCAAAAATTGATGATTTAATTGAAAAAAAAACTTATGCAAATGACAAAATTAACCTCAATGAAGTATATGCAAT